GCGCAGCGGACCCCGAGCTGCTATTAAGTTTGAATATTATAATACTACAATGTTAATCATAAACAATTTTCGTTTATTGTATTATGTAACTAATTGTAAGAAACGTTGTTGAACGGAATTAGGTTTAAAAATTGTTATCCAACCTGTTACTTTGAAAATATTAAATTATGATTTATTTATTAATTAATACTTACGTATTAGTATAGTTTTTAAAGTAAACATCTTGATTAAAAATACATTGAACACAAAGATTGCTAGAATCGAGATATCAATAAGTTGTAATAAACTTTAAAACTCCACACGGTCGAAGTCGTGGGCAACAGCTAGTATGTTCTAATTTCTAAAAGGAATTGCACGATTTTGAATAACTAGATGATAAACAAAACCTTGTAATCAATTATCATGGTTATAATATATTTAAAGAACCTTATGGAAATTTTGAACATATTATGTTTACCATTTATTAACAACCTTAGTTTCAAGTGTGTTTTTGCATAAAACTGTATTCCTTTAAAGCTACTTACTGTCTGCCAGTTTTAACCGAACTGTCGTATTTTTCAGATACAATGTAAAAATGTGACAGTAAAAATGTTCATACATACATATCAATTAGAACTGAGCGTATATAGCGGGCTTACCTGTGACTAAACCAGGGAATTTTAAAAATATTTGTTAAAAACCAATATATTCCTAGTCGAAATGTTTATATTTTTATGACTATAGATTTTTTTCCAGAAAGTCATGGATTTTTTTTATTAATTATCTGTGCTCTTATCAGTTTCTAATTAATCATTGTCATCACACGAGTTTGACATAACCTACAAAATTCTTTGTCACGTAACAACTTGTGAATGGAATGCCTTACAAATATAATGACGTCATCGGACTACGTAACTTCGTTATGAAATCGTCACCAAACCAATGTCGGTCAATGCTGACATGTTGACACCTAGTTATAGTCAATGAGTCGTAATTCCTAAACACAACATTGCTCTTAAACTATTTTTAAGCTGAAACTAAAAAGTAGTTTCGTTTGCGCTATTCCAGACTCCTCTAGTTCTGTTCCAGATTCTAACAGCTTTTATGGAGTTATGTGGTGACAAATATCCATACTTATTACTAATAGTATAAATGTGAAAGTTTAGATGGATGAATGGATGTTAGAGTTTGTAGTTAAAACCGCTTAACGGATCTCGATGAAATTTGGCGTATTCTTAAAGCTCACTACTTTGTTCTTTGTAATTCCATATTATAATTTAAGTAAGATATCGCTTGGAAATCTTAAATTGCTATATTTAATTTACTTAACACGTTCTTTGCAATCGACATACAAAATACATTGTGGCTAAAGTAGAGCCCAAAGTGGCCATACCCCGGAAAAGATAAGATGAGATAAAAAATAACACACACATATACAACTGTGCACATACTGTCTAGAGGTTTTATTATCTTTCCCAAGATATGTATCAAAAATTTTTGAATCTGTGATGACATATGGAGTTTAAAGTGTTTAAAATCACGATTTTAGACACAATCTTGTTACTGAATTGTAATATTTATGACGCGAAAGTTGGCCACATTGCATTTGATCATTCCATCAAGGTACATTGACAATATGCATATTAATTAATATGATATACAAAAAACGTATCATAGACTTTTAATTATTTCATATTTGAAAACAAAAAAAAGTCTTGATTGTTTAAATATACGGAAGATATCGATAAAACTAACACCATTTGAAAACAAATATCGTGTCAAAGTTTGTTGTTTGTTTTATATTTTACTAACTGAATACGAAATACGTTGCAATGCCAAATTCAACATAATGCAAATAAAAAGATATGCTTGCAAAAAATTCCATTAAACTGGTTAAACATTTTTATTTAACTTTATAGATTTTTTTATTGTATTTCAAATTGTTTCTTAATTTAAGGTTGTTTTCGCACTAGCGAATTTATAGGTCAATGTACAGTACGTTAAGACAACTAGAGACTCTTCTAAATAAAAAAAAACTAGCAGACCGAAAATTCCGCTTCAACCTGTTTTTATAAATGGAATTATAGTAGCGCGAAATCAAAAGGACCAAATCTTTTCGGTCCGAGTATCGGCGCGTCAAGGTCAGTCAGTAGCTGCCATTCGTTGTAATAAGAGGCTTCTTCATGGTTGTGTTGCGCGAGCGCATAGTAAACATCCGTGTTTTAACGATTTAAATATATTTTGTAACAATAAGTGTATTAACCATGGTTTTAAATTTGTCTATAATTGTGACAAAAATGTCAAATACGTGTTTCACGATTCATTCCGATAATCAAAGCATGTACAAATAACGAAGGTGTTTTTTTTTTTGTTTTATTGTAAATTCTAAACGTTCTGATGTTGAGACGACAGTTATCGCATGAGTCCGGTAAAACCGCGCTCATTAGAGCACATGAGGAATATTTAGATAGACGGTAAGTTTTTTCTATTGTAATATTTATGTAGGAAAAAATAATAATTTACATACGTTATTGCCAAACTCAAAAGGTTTCTAATGAATACGGCTACAAGAAAAGAAGTCTTAGTGTAGATTTCGTCTTTATAGTCTAAGGGTCTAAGTACGAGTTAGTGTACCTACTCTTACTAAATTTACACTAAGGATAGCAAGTCTAGTTAGACATCGATAATTAAGCAGGAATTAATGTCCAACTAGACTTAATACCTATGGCCATGCCTGTCAAATTATAGCAAAATGTTCATAATGTTTTTCTATAAATTATCGATAAATTGATAGTTTTTTTTATAAGAAAATACTACTCTAAATATGTTCGCATAACAAAGAGTTGGATGACTTTCTGAAATATTAGAATATCATCAACGTTATTGATTACACACCATTGGTTTATCGCAATACTTGTAATATTGCGTATCATGCAATGCAATGGACAGTTTGAAAACTAACAGAATTATCATAACACGGTTAACAAAATCATACTGATATAACCTTTTGTCAGGTTTCCAAAATAATATGTCATATTGTTCAACTAACTCGTCATTATTAATGAAAAATGTATTGAAAAACCTAGCGTGTGTAGAGCGTTAGAATAGTTAGTCTATAGACTATCGTCTATAAAGACTATAGCTTTTGCGCGCGACTCCGTCCGCGTGAAATTTTAAAATAATGATGTAAAAAGAAATGAAAAAAATATGACCTAATAGTTTTTGAGCCTATATTACAATGAAACAAAGTTTTCTTCTTTATAATATTAGCAGATCATAGACTGGATAAGTTACAAAAGCGTGCATTTTCACTGCTGCAATGTATAAAAATCTACTGTTATACGCCTAATTGTAAGGGGAAGGCGTAAGAGCTAATTCTTTGGAAGGTGTTAGAGAAGGCCTATGTCCAGCAACTGGTAAATGTCATGATGATGCGTCTCATTTTTTTTGAGATCGTAATTTGTTTTGGCTCAGGTAATACAATAGTCACGGTAATAATTTAAATAGAAACAAAGAATAAACTCTTCGTCCAATGAATAGAAAAAACTCAATCATTGTTGACGTTCTAACTTACAATAAGGAAATGAATCTAAGTAACTTTATTTTGTATTTACTTCTAATATCGTAAAAATGCATTCTGTTATTTTCCCGCTAAGGATTTAAAAGTAAGAATTTGCAGATGGTTTTGTAACTGTTTTTTTTTTTTTGTTTTAAATTAATATTTAATCCATTATTTCTAAACTATTATATTTAACCTCGTTATGGAAATAAGTTTTTATTGCAATAATTAGATTTTATATTTCTGATATTTTCAGAGACCTAACACCTAACACCTAACAATTACCTAAATAATTTATGATCTTTAATGTTTATTCATATAAGGTTACTTGCACCTAAAAACAGTATAAAAGTATCATTGTATTCATTAGCAAGGTCATGCAGGTTAATACAAAACTGTTCACGTATCTACCTCGTGGTCACCGTATACAGGGTGGTTCAAAATATAATCATACTAATATTATAAATGCGAAGTTTAGATGGATTGATAGAGTTTGTAGCCTAAACGGTTGAATGGATCCGTATGAAATTTGGCATAGATGTAGAACATAGTCTGGAAGAATACATAGACTACTACTACTCGCTTTGTTTTTTTTTAAATTCCACGCCGACGGCATCGCGGGCAAAAGCTAGTTTAAACTAAACTAAAATATTAACTTCGATTTCTATGTTATAGTTAATTCCGTATTATCTATTCTATTTTAACGGCTCCTGTAATTACTATCTGCTATTTTTTTTTATCTTAGCGGCGTCGTTTTTACAGGGAACAGTACGCGACTGAAATGTATGTGAAACTACAAGTTATGCATAATTTTTTTGGCATCGCTCTTAATACAAATGCGGAATATACGTAAACACATAAATTATTAAAAGTAATCGTGGAAAAACACTGATCTTTGATCAATTTATTATACCTGAACCCGGAATGCGGTGCAGTGGTGAAGTCAAAATAATGTCAAATGCCATAGAGTAAACAAGTTGTATAGATACGAAAAACATTTTATTACCTTTAAAGATTACTAGCTTTCGCCCGCGATTCCAATCGCGTGGAAGTAAAAAACAAACTAAATAGCCTATATGTTCTTCCAGATTATCTCCTACATCTATGCCAAATTTCATAAAGATCCATTCAGCCGCCAACTCTAACAAACATCCATCCATCTAAACTTTCGCATTTATAATATTAGTAAGATTAAGCATAAACCTAACTTGTTAATAACACATCCAATAAGCTTTTAACGAAGCTACAAAGGTCTAAAACCATTTAATGCTTGTACAAACAACCTGTATTTACTTTTTAATTTACTGAATACATTAAGAAAGCGGACTCCATTTTATTTGACTTGTCATTTATGAATAAACTCTATGATGTGTACGGTCGCGTTCTGAATTCGGTGCGTTAAGGATTTATTACTCCGAACATACGTTCCGTAAAATAATTATCATGAATATTCTTGTTACAGGAGGACCAGATCTCTGAACGCACCCTCTCCCATCCAGCAGTTTGGACCATGTGGCAGGATAATGAAAAACTCGGCAATGGTTATGTATGTATAAAAAAAAAATATTTAGCTTATAGTACTCAGTGATAATGTAGCTTTCTAGTGGTGAAAGAATTTTTAAAATCGACCCAGTAGTTTTAGAGTTATTGTTGTTTGTACAAAAAATATTCATTTGAACTACCGAACTGACACAAAACACAGAAGTAATAAAGCAAAGTTACAGACCAATTAATACCTTTTGCTAATATGGTTGAAAACTGCGTAAACAATACATGCATACTTTACTAAACCTATATCTGGAAACGGGAAGAATTATTCGTTTTTGGGAAAGATTTATATATGCCCTTTAATAGCAACAATAGAACAAAGCATATAATTGACCTATATTTATTCTATTTCCTTTCTTTATTCAGATAATATTTGAGACATTATACATTAAACAACTATTTCAACTATGTTAATATTACAGGCAAATCCAGGACCCGGCGTCGCAGCGGCTGACCTGGTACAAACCGCCGCTTACAGTGCTCGTCATCAAGAAGGTGCACGATGCCAGCATTCTCGCATCATTCGTTCAGCTCGTCCACTGGCTCGTTCATGTGAGGATACAGTTAATTCCTGTTTATAATCAAATTCAATAAGAAATTAATTGACCTTTTTCTGGCTGATAATGTCATTTATTGTCTATGGATTATTTAGAAAAGTTTTAAAGCGTGTGGCACACATGAAACTAAATTATCGCGTAACTGTTTATTCTCGCTTTGATTCCTATAAGCTTATATGGAGGTACGCTACTCGATTTATCGTTCTGCAACTTAACTGTTGCATTGGCTGCGAAACAATCGACAATCGCACAATAGTTGGGCGATAGTTTAGACAAAGATTACTACAAATTTCGCTCATACTAAGTTTGTTCCCAAGTTTAACTTTATACCGCGTTTATTTATAAGGCTGATAATGTTTAAAGTAATGATATAAAAATGTCTGTTTTCAATTCTTTGATTACGGCCTTATTTAGAAAGATTGTTTAAATATTTGTCGTTCTATGGATATTGAATATATCACTAGTACATCATCATCATCATCATCACCAGCTCACTATACGTCCCCACCGAGGGGCTCGGAGCCTACCCTAATATGGGGTGACTAGGCCTTAGTCAACCACGCTGGCCAAGTGCGGGTTGGTTGACTTCACACATATCTTTGAATTTCTTCGCCGATATGTGCAGGTTGCATCACGATGTTTTCCTTCACCGTAAGAACGTCGGGTAAATTATGTACATATGAAAATTCGAAAAATCGAAAATCACATTGGTACATGGCGGGATTCGAACCCAAGACCTGTAGATTACAAGTCAAGTGTTCAAACCACTGAGCCACCGACGCTCTTACATGTATTATCTTGCTACTAGTACATGTATTATCTTAATTATACAATCAAAATTGAATCGTAATGTTGTTAACTATAGAGTGTGTTTTTAAGTATCGAATCATCAGTTATTTTGGTTTTCTGAAAGTCTAAAGGCAGACATACCTTGCGACCCGAGGCCCGTTTGTCCTCTTTTATAAAACTAAATGTCAACAAGGTATTACAACTTGTAAAGTTATCTTCGCATTGTTTCTCAACATTACTATTATTAGTATAAAGTTGGCAATGTCATGAATTGAGATAACTACAAAGGGAAAGGTCAACGACCAGCCGTCACCGCAGACCACACGTCTATTAGCAGACCGCTAGAAACTAGATCGATCTAAATCTAACACTTATGTGTCATTTAAACAACCTCTGATATAATTACTAATGAAAATGCTTCATGTAATTGTTATAAGATTAACTAGCTTTTGCCCGCGACTCTGTCTGCGTAAAATTAGGGACAAAAACAAAAGTGAGTAGCCTATATGTTCTTCCAGATTATCCTCTACATCTATACCAAATTTAATCGAAATCAGTTCAGTCGTTTAGGCTACAGGCTCTAACAAACATCCATCTAAACTTTCGCATTTATAATATTAGTATGATAGGAGCTGACAGGAATTCATCATCATCTCTCTCTCTACCTTATCCTACTCCCGTTAGGTCGGCGCATCGGTTTTTCGTCCACCAAATAACTCTATCATCCGTCATCTCTGTCATCACTCCCTTCATCATGTTACCTTTCACGTAATACACATCTCTTTCTAGGTCTAACTCTACCTTTTCCACACTCATAACTGTTCTCCTTGTTGTATGCGATTCATCCCGCCTATGCATGCCCATACCACGCTAACCTTTTACTATTAAATTTGATGTATAAAGAGTGCATAGTGGTGAACAGAAATAAGTTAGTTGACATGTTAAAGAGTAGATAATATCCGAGTTATTTTGTGTGATATTTTAAAAGTGTACTTTTACGGTATCACAAAGCGTTTTTCAAGTGGCTCTCAACACGTAACGACTGGGATAAGATCTTGTTGACATTCTAACCCATATTTGAGTGAAGTTGCGGAAACGATTCTATGATGCCAAGAGTTACAAAGTATGAGTATAAAATAATAAATATATTCTAGAAGATCCTATTGTACTTGTATTTTCAAAAACACTCCTTTTTTAGTGAAGTTTGAGTAAATCTCACTCTTCAAAATAATTCAAACCGATACAGAAATTAACAATGGAATTGACAGCTGTATGAAATTGTCAGCTTCAAGTAAATACTTACGCTTTTCCTAGGGTCTACAGAAGACCATGCTAGGATGTACGGTAAAAAATAACGTTGAAATTTTGAAAAAAAGGAAAGTTTTTGTGTTTTGTGTAGGTGAACTTTTAACACGTGACATTTTCTCTTTGTTTAATGTTCTCATGGTGAAATTTTCTAGGACAAAAGTATGGTAGTCTTCGTGGAGGCGGCAGTATTGGATGACACACTGCTAGCGGAGTACGGGGACTTCGCGTCAGTGCGGGAGCGGCTGATGACCTTCCGTGCTGGTACCGATGACCTCACAGACAAGATAGACTTCATCATCTGTCTTGGGGGAGACGGCACGCTGTTACACGCCAGCTCACTCTTCCAGGTTAACTAACTATATTACATTACTTTTAAAATAAATAAATATATAAAATAACATAATATTTAATCCTTTGTCAACACTACAATTATGAACAAAAAAATATTAAACCATAATAAATAAATAATAAATAAATAAATAATAAATAAATAAATATAAAAAAAAAGAAAAAAGAATATTTAAAATTAGCGTTGCAATGCTGACCGGATTGGGCCCTCGCTCAGCTATAAATTTTATGACCTTGACCAGTCAGAAATCTTTAAAAATGAAAGGTTTTAACAAAAAACAAGCTCTAATTAAACTAATGTTATGAATAAAATTGTGCGATTCAATGACGGTAATTATGATTGAATAAACATTTTTATAGTCTTAATTTTTTATCATAATTTTATCTGTTACTAGCGCTATTTTTTTTTCTATATAAGATCTATGCTGTAATATCGATTTCATGGACATATTTCTGTGTGTCAACTGTCAAATCAAGTATATTGTCGTACCGCTCATTCTTTGTGATAAAAAGAGACAGATATATTTGGTCAGGGACCTTATAAGCTAGCATTTTAAATTACTTCTGTTACTATTGTTCTACGTAAGGAATAAAGACAAAGGACAGGTGGGACTTGTCCGAACAATTGGTGACCCATTGTGGACTACTAAAGTCACTGACTTGTCTACCATACTTTTTTTACCTGTTAACATTATTCCAGTAGTGAATAAAGCACCCCAAACTAGAGAACTACGAAACACATCCAGCGCTGGACTGGAATAATGGAAACGAAACTTCTTTTTAAGACTTATTTTATGCAGATTTTCAATGCCGAATGTGTAAAAAAACTAAACAATGTTTTTTTTATCCTCTTTTCAGCAATCCGTTCCTCCAGTAATGGCGTTCCACTTGGGTTCCCTCGGGTTTCTGACTCCATTCGAATTTAACAATTTTCAAGAGCAAGTTATGAATGTTTTAGAAGGTATGTTTTTTAATGTTCATACTTTGTATAATTGATTTGTTTCTTTAAACATTTTGTTCTATACTATATCTATACTATTGTTATAAAAAGGATAGCTTTGTATTTTTATATATACCATAATACATATGGTAATAATTTAAAAACTACTGGTCCAATTTTTTTTCCTAAAAATTCTTTCACCGTTAGAATGGTTATTTTTCAGCGAGTAACTATGCTTTTTATTATGTTTTAATTCCACACGGACGAAGTCGCGAGCAATAGCTATTGAAATTATAAAGAAGAAAGAGTTGGATTTTTGTATGTATTAAAATAACTCAAAAACTACTAGGCCGATTTTAAAAATTCTTTCACCATTAAAAAGCTACTTAACCACTAAGTAACATGTATTTTTTACTATTTTTTTTTTATTTCACGCGAACGAAATCGTGAGCAACAGTTAATTCTTAATACATTATTTATGCATTTTTTTCTATTTAATACCAGGTCACGCAGCGCTAACATTGCGGTCACGTCTCCAGTGCGTGGTGCTGCGGAAGACCAGCAACGAGGATAAGAACAAGAAGAAGCCGACCACCATCCTGGTGCTGAATGAGGTGGTGGTAGACCGCGGACCCTCGCCATACCTCTCCAACATCGACCTCTTTCTTGACGGAAAACATATCACCTCCGTACAAGGCGATGGTGAGATTTTATTATTTTTAAAAATAAGCATTTAACCTCTTTTGTAAGACTTTTAGCTTTTCCATGATAGTTCAGTGTTGTTATTTAAAAAATTGCTCTTTCAACCTCAGAGCGGTTTAAGTAAATCTATATAAAATTATCATCACTTTGTTCGGAACAGAGAGACAGTAAAAGTAACATTTATTTTTTTAAAAAAAAAAATAAATGTTTAATCCTTGTCAACACTACAATTATGAAAAAAAAATTTAAACACAAAATAATGAGAAACATAACTAATGAAATGAAAAAAAAAGGAAAAGGAATATTTAAAATTAGCGTTTACTTAAATAAAAAACGTTTAATTAAAAAATACTTTATCTTATGGTATTTATAGAGTTCATATTATTTTAATCATTATATCGTCGTCTTTGAAGTTCTACTGTAATTATCTTACTATTGCTGTAAATTCGATAGTTTACATAGATTGATATATGTATGTTTGGTACTGTATATCTCGAACTGCTCAACGGATATGCCTTAAATTTAGTATAGATTTAGGACATAGTCTAATAATTGTTTTTTTTTTTGTAATTCATGATTCTTCCGCGACTCCATCCACGTCAAATTAAAAGAAAGCAAAAGTAGCTCATGTGTCATTCTAAACTTTCCTTTACATTTCTACATCTGTAGTGGACTGTATGATAAAATAAAAACTTCTTCTCGGAGATACTGACGCCTTTATTGCTACCAAGATACTGCACGTCAAATATGTTAAACATTAACTATTTATATTTTACCGCGACCTCAATAATTGTTGCCTCGTGCCATGATTTTATTAATTTTTGTTAAATCAAAGACACCGCGTCCTTCGCCGCGCGCTGTTAAAGGAACATCAAAAGATGCCGCCCTTCGGCGGCGCGCGACGACAGTTCGGCCGGGGTCATCCGAGGTTACACGTGCCGCGAGGTGCATCCAAGGGCGGCACGTGTAACAGCGAGTAGGCATAGCAATTACGTCGCCAACAACATCTATACCAAATTTCATTTATATCCGTTCAGTTGTTTAGGCTACAAACTCTAACAGACATTTTGGTTATTCAATAAGATTTTTGACATATGAAATCTACAGGGTTGATAGTGTCGACGCCGACGGGCAGCACGGCGTACGCTGTGGCGGCGGGTGCCAGCATGATCCATCCCTCCGTGCCCGCCATCATGGTCACCCCCATCTGCCCGCACTCCCTCTCCTTCAGACCAATCGTCGTGCCCGCAGGGGTTGAACTCAAGGTACCAACATAAACCACATATTTGATATACAGAAAAGTATATTTTTTAATAATTTGTCAATATTGGTATCATAATTATATCAAGAAAAATATTCGAAATTTAAAAACTCTTCTTTAGAATGTTAAATACATTAACAGCTGAATACTAAAACAAATCATAAACGCTACGTTTCGTAAACAATGCCTACAATCTGACAGATATCAAAATTTTAATGTAACTTGGAGTTTAAGTGTGGTCTTATAATTTAAAAGGCTAATATTTAATTGCTTAGTATTCGGCCGTTAATAATTAAATAAATAAGTTCTCATAGTTGTAAGCTATTTTAGCCAACGGGAAGAACTGCAAGGTGACAAATCTCGAATTTCAATATTAATAATGAAACGGCTCACCAGATGTTATACGAATATCGCCACTTAATAAATCGCTCCACAGAAAAAAATCAACAATAGTTATAATGTTAATAAAACTAATATTTTAGATAGCATTGTCACCGGAGGCGCGAAACGCGATGTGGGTGTCATTCGATGGCCGCAACCGACAAGCCTTGCAGCACGGAGATAGGTATAAGCTATAAGCAGACTACAACACTCTGCTCTAACGAACGCCACTAATGCTTTATATTATCTGTGCCTTTTCACATAATTTTAATCTGTAGACTTTGACATTTGACGTTTATAAATGTCAAATACAAATTGTCATTTATCTATTTTGAAAAAAGAATTGTCGTGTCTACATTTATAAAAAACATGTGAATAGGTTTTATGTGTAAGTATTTATTATTATTTTTAGTGTAGATTAAGGAAAATCCGTTCAAATAGGTAGTAGATGAAGTCCGCGGGATTGTTTCAGATAACTCCTAGCCTAGAGGCGCGTAATGTCGCCTGCGTTTCATTCGACGGTCGCTCGCAGTTGACACTTAGACCGGGCGATAGGTAACCTATATTTTGGTCTAAACGGGAGGTTCTTTGACTAGAAAAAAGTGGTCCAGTCGACCACTGGTGATGGAGATATCATTGATCACGAATCCTGCAGACGGATTAAATAACAGTGTTGCCATTTTTAGGAATTTTTTTACTATCTAAAAATGGCACAGAATACTTAAAAGAAATGAGCTTATTCAAAAATGCTTGACAAATTAAAAACAGTTTGTTAGATATTGTAAAAAGTGAACTTCAGTCATTGGTTTATCTAGGGGCTCTGTTCCATCACAATTCATGTTACTATAAATTAGGTTCTCTATCTTGGAACTAGTTTTCTCAAATACTTACCTCTTTATTAACAAATCATTAACTTTATGCGCCTATACTAACTTACATCTGTATGCTTACTACCAAAATGCTATATAATAGGTGAAATGCTTTTTTGCTTGTTTTTTTTAGTTCTAACTATTACAGTAATCTTTAATTCATGTAAGATTTATTCGATTACAAGCGTTCGCCCGCGACTCGCGAATTAAGAAAATGAAAGTAAGTAGTCTATGTGTTCTTCCAGACCATCCTATACGTCTATGGTAAATTTTGTCGAAATCCGTTCAGCAGTTTAGGCTACAAACTCTAACAATCATCCATCCATCTAAACTTTCGTATTTATAATATGTTAAGATTCAGAATTTATTGCTTTTTTTAAATTCTTAAATAGGAATAATGTTTTTGTTTATGACAATTATTATAATATAATAGTATGTTGCAGATGAAATAAAAAATACACAAATGTTTTGTAATAACGAATTTATTTTGATTTAATTGTTTCTTCAATAACCTACATTTCAACTGAAACATGCTTTTAGTAGCTTTTATTTTTTTATGCTAACAACACTGTTATTCCACAGTCTATACGTGACGACGTCAGTATACCCAGTGCCGTCGATATGCGCACAGGATCAAATCTCAGATTGGTTCGACTCTTTAGCCGAATGCCTGCACTGGAATGTTCGCAAGAAGCAGAAGCAAATCGATGAGCTAAGTGACATGACGCACTCCTCCAGCGATACACTCGAGGAACTTGACGCCAACCACCACGATGATAGGCCCGCGGACACGTGACCATACCATAGACGACATGGATGTTTATAGACTGGAAGATTTGTCTATGGCCTCAATAAAATGTATTTTTATGCGGCACTACTCTAATATTGTGTCAAAAGTATATTTGCTATGTTTCAATAAAGTAAATGAGATTTTAAACTCAAATGTGGACATCCCATCCATTAATAATTTGATTGAAATCTTGTATTTATAATTGTTACTATAAGTATCAGTTATCGACGATTATGAATGAAATAAATGTTTTGACATATGAATTCTATAATTTAGACTGCACAATTAATTTTATTATCTAAAATATAAGTTATGTATGTTAGTGTATTATGTTGGACAAAAAATTATTTTAATTTTTTAATAAAATTACATCAAAAGTAAAATATTATTTATATTTGTTTCATTCTGTTCATAATCGTCATAATATATTAATAGGTATGTCCATGTAATATAATGCTGATATTCTTGACTGGTTTTATAAATCTTTGGATGTGTGATCTATGGTTAAGAAAACTTTTTTTTATTGTTGGAATGAAATTGTATACACCTGTGTTCCCAATTTTCTTAACATTCCTTTAAAAAAAAATAAGATATTTGAATAGTGTAGCATATATGGAAAAGGCTGAAAATTTGCCGTAAATATTGTGGGACAGAGATAACACTCTACAAAGCCAGTGTCTTTTTCTAAATGTCATGTGCAATATTGGCTTTGTGTATTAAAAGTTTCTGGTTAAAATGCCAGACATTGTTTAATATTTTACAACAATCACAAAAATTGCTTGAATACACTGATGTGCAAAACCTTTTTCAGAACTTGAATAAACACTGAAAATACTTTCGAGGTGCTTTATGGAAACCTATAGTGCCAATCCAATTTATTTCTAAGGTAATATTAATTGCACAAAAATAGATTTAAAAGACAATTATCATGAATTAAGATCAAAGTTTCTCATTGTTATTGCGGGACTGGTTTAACATTAGAAATATAAATAGTATTTTATATATAACATCAAAGAAAATAACATTTCCGTGTATTTAAATTACATAAGATCGGTTGTTAGAATAAATGCAAAAGAGTGTTTGTTTATTATTTTATGAAAAAAAAATGTTTGTGTTTTTAAATATCTATCGATGAATGCCTAAATGTTTGTTATAAATTATACAGATTTGACAATTTTATTTGTGTTATCTTTTACCACCCAATGCCACTATTAGCAGTGTATAAAGGACCACAAAATTAGTGGTCCAGGTTCCGTTATCAATATAGGAAACTTTTATCTAAAATTTGTCATTTCTAGCAGAACTACGGCTGGATATAGCCCGTATGCAAAACAAGCTTTGTCATTTAATAACAATTTTTTGAATAATTAAAGGTGGATCGCTAGGAAATTACCAACTGCAAGCTTCTGCGTTAAAATAGCGTTGGCACAATAAAGCAAAGCTGCCGGCTGACAGCCTTCAAATGTAGAAAAGATGCGTTGCATAAGCTTTGGCATGTCAAGTTCATTTACTCTTTGGTCTTTGTTATCTGTACTCAACTTTGACAATAAAATTATAACCTCAACGATACATAATCAAAGAAATTAATAACATAAACATACAATCAAAATAAAATGATAAAACCAACGGCTTTGGTAAATTTGGTTTCAAAAAGAGGAATTTGTTTGACTGCAGTAAGAGAAGGTAAAAGAAATTTTCGAAAATTCGTCATAGCCAATAAAAGAGGCTCAAGGATCCACAAGGAGCAGCAGATGTCAGAAAAAAGAGAACTAGAGATTGACAAGCGAGGTGTACGTGATGTTGGATATTACATGAATGGCAAATTCGTCAAAATACCAGAAATGATACCAGAAATCATTGTGCCTGATTTAACAGATTTTAAACTAAAACCATACGTATCTTATAAAGCCGAAGATGTTATACAAAGTGAATTTACAGCGGAGCATCTTTTTAATGCAATTTATAGCAAAAAAATTGCCACAGATTTTAAAGAAGGCAAATTAGATGCTGACGGTCAACCACTTGAGCCCTCGGAGGAAGAAAAAATGCAAGCAGATGAGGCTGTTCTAAAAGCAAAGAGAACTGGTTCAGATATATTTTAAACGATGTATAGTTTCCTTAGAATATAGTTATTTAGTAAATGTAAATTAAATTATGTTTAAAACTGTATTTTATTACTAAATATAAGCTTAATTTCAATATGAATAAGTAAGCAGACCAGAATTAGACAAAAGTGGCATACTTGCCCTCATTTAACATACCTGTTTTTGCATTCTGATTGCAGAAACAATTCCAAGTGTATATGAGAATAACAATGGTAACTTATACTGACTTGTCCGCCAGTTACTCTAACTTTCCCCCTAACCCTCGGCTGTCTGGTTTCCCCTGCCAAGGGCATTTTGTCTGGCTGGTATTATTTATGTATAATTTCTTATGTATCTACTTTCTTAGTACAAATTTTGAAAGAGACATTTATTTTATTAATATAAAGACTAGCCAAATGGAAACAAGGTAATTTTAAAAGAAAAATAACTAATTTCAACAAAAGACAATTATTACATATAACACTTTAATCTACTAATAAGTTAAACATCTGAGAGTTTTATTTGTTTTTTTTTTATATATCGTTTTTACTGAAACCTGTTGCTTAAAAATTAGTTGAGTAATCTTTATGCACAATTAAAAGTTTATTTTAGAGGTTTATATTGTAATACATATACTAATTGTATTTATCTTCCCATATTTAGACTATTTATTGATCATATTTATGTTATTAATACACGATAGGGTACTTTCAATAGATAAGCAGTTATTGCAATGACCCACGACCCCTATACGACCCTTGTTTATCTTAAAATATTAATTCTACAACTCGGAGGTATTTTATCATTTAAACTGCAGTTATCTTTTCGCGCGGTTGTCAAGCGCGTGCACAAACCCAACAAACATAAATATAATGGGTGGTAACTATTCCGCTATGGACCCGATGGACGTAGCTGTCCCCGACTTAGATAAATTATTCGAACGTGATGGATATTTGAAACCATACGAACGTGAAATTCGCAGGCGGTGAGTTGCTTTAATTCTATTATATTATAGTGATTGTTAATTAAGTAACTTTCGACTTAGAAAGTAAAAACATTTTACGTTAGTAAATTAGGTTAGGAAGTTGTGTTTACGGTGTTCGTCACATCAAGCGCTTTAGAGCTGCAAGATGTCACTTGCCAACAGAGTAGTTTTTGGTTTATTATCATAAAAATACACTGTATTAAATAAAAAAAAATCTAAAAGATTACTGTAAACTTAAAATAATTCTGGAGTTTGCATGTAGATTATACATAAATTTTAATAGTGGAAAAAAATTAAAGTAGAAAAGATACTATCTAAAGCGCTTTCATTGCTATCGTGCCATTCTCAATGTCAAAGTAAAGGTCGTTTCGTTTCATTTTGAAGTTATTTGAAATACTGTACTATGTTATTATGTTAAGAAACAAAACAGGATTGTTTTTAAATGCTCTACAATATTAACATAAAACGAAAGAGATAAATATCTAGATTATTACATAAATTATTATTTTATAATCAGTACGGTTATTTACATAAACATCGAGCCGGAACACAGTAGCGGTCCAGGGTTTAAGCTACTAAAGCGAATAGATCAATTGGCCATTCATAAGAAATAACTATGATCCCATATTTTTATAGTTATTTCAATCATTTATAACCGATCTAATATTGTCAAATACAAAAAGGCTTTTTAACTTTTTGATAACTACCGTGTTTTTACGACTTTCGTTTATAGTTAAAATTACATTAAAGATTGCGAATGGTTTTAGATATGGGTGCTTCAAGGACCTATGGGAACGCATCGAGACCTGGGACGGAGGGTTAGAAGCGTTCACCACTGGATATAAATATTTCGGGCCGCAGTTCAACTCTGACGGATCTGTTACTTGGCGGGAATGGGCGCCGGGTGCTCACTCATTGCATCTGCAAGGAGAGTTCAGTAAGTAGCAACATAAAGTTAAAATAAATTTCAGTATATTAAATATTGTATTAAATGACATAACCTAAATCCTTGAGGAACCTCGGCAACCAATAGGTAGATCGTCTGAAGAGGTCTTTCTTGGTCGATTTTTTCTCCAGCAATTCCATTTACACCATGCTTAAAGCCTACAATAAGGCGGTGGGCTAGTTTCTGCGATGTCCGCATGGCGCTAGTTATGCAAGCGTAGAACGTGTGGTTACTATATTTAATGTTAAAAAATAAAATATAACTTACAGATGGCTGGAATTCAAAAAGTCATCCATTCAAAAAGTTGGAGTATGGGAAATGGGAGTTGCATATCCCAGCTGAGGCGGGTGGTTACGCGTTAAAACATGGAAGCCGTGTACAAATTATTGTCAACGAACATCTATACAGGGTGTCTCCTTGGGCGAGCTATGTTAAACCATTCGAGGGATTTACTTACCAACAATTTATTTATAAACCGGAACAGGTATGTGATATTGATTATTTTAATCACCCCTGGTACTTAGAAAACTAATGCTTTTTTGGCTCAGAACTCTTTAGCTAACATATTTATATGTTTTAATGAAGGTATGAAATTAACTTTCAAATGACCATATATGATTTTCAGCCATACCAGTTCAAACATCCAAAAGTGGATAGACCGAAATCACTGCGTATTTACGAGAGTCACGTCGGCATCGCCACTCCAGAGGGCAGAGTGGGGACTTACACTGAATTCAAAGACAACGTGCTACCTAGGATAAAGAAGCAAGGTAACAATAAAAGCATTGCCCGAGGGGAAGAATATTAATGAAATAAAAAGTTTTATTTATATACTAATTTTTAAAATTAAGGGACAATGTTAGTTTTATCAAAATAGTAGCTTTCGTCCGCGACGCCGACCGGGTAGAATTAAAAAAGTAAGAAGCCAACGTGTTCTTCTAGACTACGTTCTACATATTTGTCATTTTTATCGAGGTCCGTTTTGAAGTGTCGGGTACAAATTATAACTAACATCCATCTATCAATTTAAACTTTCTCTTTTATAATATTAATAAGATTAGTATAAGCTTATCACGTACATTGACGTTTTTATAAAATAGTTAATACACGTGTAAATCAGTAACCACATTATAAACGTACTAGCTTTTCGCGTGCGGCTTAATCCGCATGAATTTATAAATTTATTGTTTGCATTTGTCAAATTCTCAATTGCAAATGTCAAAATACCAATTACCTTACTTTGCAATCTTGCTTCCTTGATGTTGGCAATAACTTATGGTCTCTTTCCCACATTAAGGTTTTTATCCAAAATATTTACCCCTAAGTTTAATGGCGTGAAAATATATAGCCTAAAGCGTGACGTAAATGTAGGGCTTTTAATTAAAAAAGAAATTGTTCAAAATTATGCTGTAATTGCTGAGATCTTAGGCAACAAAGAAGTGTGTGTTTACGCTTTATTATAATAGTACAGATTAGAGAGATCAACGTGCGAGATAGTATAATAGTTTATTGTTCGCAGGCTACAATGCGATACAATTAATGGCTATAATGGAGCACGCGTACTACGCCTCCTTTGGATATCAAGTCACCAGTTTCTTCGCCACGAGCAGGTATCGTTTAACTTCCACATTAATAATATGAAGAGAAAAGTATGTTACAAATAAACTCGAAAACTAATAAACCGATTACAAAAAATCTTTCACTATTAGAAAGCTAGATTATCCCTAAGTGACATAGGCTATAAAAAATTTAGTATTGTCTTAAAATGTTTAAAAAACTGTCCAATGTGTAAGAACCTTTAACTTTCTGAATCCTTAACTGCATGATTTTTCCTTTTTAAAAACCATAAATTGAAACGTGTAGAAAAGTGAACATAGATTAAAATAAACAGTTTTTCAAAATAGCCAATGTGAAGAAAAGACTGATGTATAAATGCATCATCATGCGTTAAGGTTTAAGTTAAGTTTATTACATAATCAATTGACGGTCAATTGTCGGTTTTAGCGATATCTGATTTTATTTATTTTATTGAATCACAGAAGTACACGCCACAGTAGAGTATCACCATAGAGAACTGACATAGACATTAGCATAGAGTATAAATCCTTTCGCAGTCGTTACGGCACGCCGTGCGAGCTGAAGCAGCTGATAGACCGCGCTCACGAGCTGGGGCTGTACGTGCTGCTGGACGTGGTGCACTCGCACGCCTCCAAGAACACGCTGGACGGACTCAACGAGTTCGATGGCACCAACGCCTGCTACTTCCACGACGGCCCGCGCGGCACACACACACTCTGGGATAGTAGACTGTTTAATTACTCAGAGTAAGTATTATATACGACTTTACAGATGTAATACAAAGCAGCATCAGCTGCACCAAAGGTCTGCTCGTAGGAAGCAATATAACGCAACAGACCCCACTCTAGGTAACCCCATGTGATGACTATGGTAGACAAACGTACCTCCCCTTTATAAAAAGGACCAGATATAGGATATATCTGGTTTCGCTCTTATAAAATGATTTTCACCTAAGACTCAGCCCGCGTAGAATTAAAAAAATGTGTTCTCCCAGAATATGGTCTCTATCTATGCCAATTTTCATCGAGATCCGTTAAGTTAAGGCTTAGACTTACTGTAACAAACATCCATCCATCTAAACTTTCGTATTTATGGTATTAGTAAAATGTGATCGCTTGCTATTTGTTCACAGAACCGAGGTGCTAAGATTTCTGCTATCGAATCTGAGGTGGTATCAAGAGGAGTACATGTTTGATGGATTTAGGTAAACAAATAACAAAACATTATTAAAATATACATACATATACATACACGTATAAAACATGAATTTGATCTTTTATCTAAACTTTTTGTCTATTACCATACTGATTGCGATACCAGGTCTAAAACTCCTGGTACGTATCTCCAGTACTGATAAGAAATGCATAAACCATAATAATTATAACTAGTTTTATTAATGTGCTACATCTTATACCGCAGGAACTGAAAGAATAGAAAAAACTCTACCGCTTTCTCTCTCTCTCTCTCTCGCCCAATCGTTATTTCGATGCTTTCGCCAACATCAAGGCTGAAAATAATTGAAAGTATAAAAACAAGATTAAAATTTGGAATAGCAGCTAACTAGATAGACGAAGTCTAGTATGTTTGACAAATGACCGGTAGGCACTGAAATAGGACATCTGCCGCTTTGAAAGTGTTAACATAGAAAAAATTGTATTTTCCTTTCGCAGGTTCGACGGCGTGACGTCAATGTTGTACCACAGCCGCGGCATCGGGCAGGGCTTCTCCGGACACTACGACGAGTACTACGGCCTCAACGTCGACACGGAGGCCCTCGTCTACCTCATGCTGGCCAACGAGCTGGTGCACCGCCTGGACAGCCGGGCCATCACCATCGCTGAAGTAAACTACATTTTTATATACTCTATGTATATTAGTTCTTGCGCGCGACTTCGTCCACGTTAAATTGAGAAAAATATAGCCTATATTATTCATTCATATTTACAACAAACTTTGTAATATATAGTAATATTATAAAGAGGAATGATTTGTATGTATTGAAATAATTTAAAAACAACTGGGCTGATTTTAAAAATTCTTTCACCGTTAAAAACGTTAACTACGCTTTCAATGAGTAACATAGGATGTATTTTTAATTTCACGCGAGCGAAATCGCTAACAACAGCTAGTGTTTTATACAATTTTTTTTATTTGTTAAATGTGTTTTATAGGATGTGTCAGGAATGCCAGCATCAGGTCGGCCAGTGCGCGAGGGCGGCACCGGCTTCGACTACCGGCTGGGCATGGCCATACCCGACATGTGGATCAAGCTGCTGAAGGAGGAACGCGACGAGGACTGGAAGATGGGCCACATCGTGCACACTCTTACCAACAGACGCTGGATGGAGGGCACCGTCGCGTATGCAGAGAGCCATGACCAGGTTACACAACTTCAATTCTGAATTCAACAAATCGATCACAAATTTATTTAATTTTTTTTTAATTACTTATTCAACAACTTTAACACTACTTGTCAGATATGCCATACTATAATTAACATAACATATGCACCAGCTTTAATAAGAATCATCTAAATATGTTTATCAGGAGCGAAATTCGTAGGTAACAAACATTTGCAAAAAAAATAGGTATCTTTCTCAATTGTCTTATTTCCTTTTAAAGGAAATTATTAATTAAAAACATAGTAGTATGAAAAAGGTTACATTAGAATTAAGATTCTAATGCGCCGTTCACACGTGGCCGGTACAGTTAGTCCAGGCATAGATTATATTGATTCACTGGCACTTTGTGTTCACTTTATGCCTGTCCAGTTATTAAGTGTGCACCAGGTATAATTTCCTCGATCATCACGGTCCAATGTGGCAGGCGCTGGTGGGCGACAAGACGATCGCGTTCTGGCTGATGGACGCGGCCATGTACAGCCACATGAGCTCGCTGAGCGCGCCCAGCGCCGCCGTGGAGCGCGGCCTCGCGCTGCACTGCGCCATCCGCCTCATCACGCACGCGCTCGGCGGGGAGGCCTATCTCAACTTTATTGGTAACTATTGTGAACTACTTTCAATTCACTTGTAAGTCATTTTTTTTATATCATAAGATGGCAAACGAGCGGCCACCTAAATCCCCCGAAATACCAAAACGATCGCTGCCCATAGACAATCGCCATAGCGGATGCGTTGTCTACTCTTAATCGATGGAAGAGGAGACGCACATAAATAGGATATTTCCCCTTCCTGTGCGTCTCCTCCACCGTCAAATCCACATTCCCTACCCATCCTTTTCTTATAATAAAAGGGACTGGGGTATAATTATTTTTTTTTTAACCAAATTATTAATTAACAAATGTAAAATTATGTTTATGACATTTTCAGAAATAATCTGAACAAAAATCTACTAATATTTTTATTAAAAAAGAAGCGATTTTCTAAGAGTGACCTTTGATGGAAATTGCAATTTAACACTCATTGTCGCAAACTTACTTAGACTTCACGTTCATTAGTGTGAACATTTTGAAACTATCCAGGCAATGAATTCGGTCACCCCGAATGGCTGGACTTCCCGCGCGCTGGTAACAACTCCTCGTACCACTACGCGCGCCGCCAGTGGAACTTGGTGGACGACGACCTCCTCAAGTACAAGTTCCTGAACGAATTCGACCGCGATATGAACATGCTCGAAGAGAAATACGGCTGGCTCAGATCTGATCCGGTAAGTATTAAAAGTTCCCTTGCAGACACAGAACAATTAACATTATAAGTCATAAAATGAAAATATTTACGCTTTTCTGGTGATAAATGTTAAAATCCTCCCCTTCTCCTTTTGTAATATGGATTGGAAGAAACAGGAGGTTAATTATTTATTTTTTCTTTCACAGGGTTTTGTATCATGCAAACATGAAGGTGACAAAGTAATTGCATTTGAGAGGGCTGGTCTTCTATTTGTCTTCAATTTCCATCCATCGCAGAGTTTCACAGACTACAGGGTCGGTGTGAATGTGCCAGGGAAATACCAAGCGGTGCTATGTTCTGATAGTAAGAAGTATGGTGGATTCGGACGGATAGAGCCAGAAGGGGAATTCCATTTCACACAAAATATACCCTGGGGCAATCGTAATGATTCAATACAGGTAAGATTTAAATACCATGTACGGAAGATGGAATAAAAATCACAAATTATTAAGTAAAAATTTATTATCTGTTTCAGGTCTATATCCCCTGCCGCACAGCTATTGTCTATGCTCGAAGTGATTAAATTTCCTTTCATTAACAACAAGTGATATGTTCATCATATTTTTGCTCAATTTTATTTTGCTGTACTTGTGCTTGCCATATAAAAGTGTAGTTGTTACATTTATATATTTTAAAAGTATAGTGAAAATGTATCTAAAATTGTTAAAAAAATAAAGTATCTGTTTTATGAAAAAATCATTTTATTTTTAAGTTGGTACACCAATAAGTAAGTTGTTTTTGGGAGTACAAGATAAAGGAGTGAGTCTTGACAATGTAACACTGTAGCCATGCTCTTCGGCAAGTCTTGCACGATCAGAATCAATGATGCCCATACATCTAGCTCCTCTCTCTGTTAGAACATGATCTTTGTGAGTTTGATCAGCTGCATGGCCAATACACAAGTATTGGTCAGTATTCAATGTGTTAAATGTAGCACTTCTTGGATACACAAGTCTATCTGTAGCATGAACAGAGCCATAGCAACAAGGACAGAGCACAAACTTGGCGTTGGCCCTCAAACATTTGTCCAAAACTAAATCACTTGCCACCCCACAAGCATGTAAAGCAACTCCAATGTTGAACTTACCAACAAAGAAGTCCAAATTACATTGGAAGAAGTAGACATTTTTTAGACACATTTCATGGACTCTTTCCCTCGCTCTTAGTAATGACTGTTCTTTATTTTCAAGCAATATTACTGTGCAATTGGGTAACAAATGTGCAAGAAGTATACCTAAATGTCCACTGCCACTGCAAAAATCAACAATCAAATCTCCATCTTTGGCTATTTTTAAGACAGCTTGAGCTAGATTTTCCAGTTGTTGTGATTTTCTCATTATTCTTACATCTGGTAAATGTCCAGCAAACGGATTGGCACCATCAGGGATATCATTCCATGAGATACTTGATTCATATTGATTACTATTAACAGACAGCTCCATACCAATCTTAAGTGCACTTAAAGCATTTTCTATATCCAGTTCTTTAGTAAACAATCTCTTTTTAGGATTATGTCTCTTTGGATCTGATTTATACAGGCTCACATCATCAACTGTAGGTATACTTATACTATCTAAATCCATAGATTTTGATGAAATTTGTGGCAATATGTCTAAAATATCTTTTACATCTGCTATACTTGTTATATTAACATACCATTTATATGTCAAAGGGAGAAGAGATTCAAAATAATTAGATCCAAATCTTTGAAACATAATTCTATAACAGGTCAATAAAATTAGATCAGCTAATGTAAAGAAAGGGCCTTCTGCAAACTTGTGACTTATATTTAAATCCTCTATTTTGGTTGTGCTATCAATTTCAAGTGCTTTCCGGCAGTTTGATTTCCATTTTCTGGGCTTAGAAAGTCTTTCTTTGTCTGATAGTTCACTTGGAACCTGTTCTTTTTTCTTTTCATTTAAAATCAGACTTTCTTTCTTTAATTCTCTTGCTAATCTATATACATTATGCACCCTAACAGGTTTATTGAGATGATTTTCAAATCGTATTAGATTTATGGGCACTTCATTCAGTAACTCATTGATTACTACGTCTTTGACAGTCTTTATAATGTCCACCTCACAAAATTTTGTCCAAATAGATACTTCATTTGGCGCTTGCAAACAACCTTTACGGAAACTAAGTAATCCCTCATCATGCTCTTCGCATATTTTCTTTGTAGATCTGTGTTTACAAATATATCTAGCTACGCCACAAAGTCCTGATATGATCGTATCTTCGCTTTTCAATACGGGAAAATTACACGACAAAACTTGCCAAGGTACATCTGTTGTGTATAGAACCTTCAGATTTTCTTCATTTAATTGAAACACAGGCTTGAAGTTTTCGGTAACTGAGTTTTTAAATATAAACACTACATCAAGTTCACAAGGTTTACAAAATTTAAAGATGGTATAGGACACCAATGACTCTAGAGAAATATCAATTTTGCTAGATTTATTGTAATCTTCAGGGGTCGTGGATGCTTCTAAGTAAACTCGATTTTTCATGATTAAATCTTAAAAAAACTAATATCCACATATAAGGTTATGTTTTCATTTTAGTTTTCCGACATGACCAATGACCATAGACTTTGTTGCTTGACAACTTGACATTCCCAAAGTAATGACATTGATTTTTTTCTCTTTGGTCATTGGATTTATGGTTAACTGCCAAGTGAACCAATGTCACTGTCACCTTTACGTCAAAGTTATAGGTTATTGTCCTAAGCCTAAGACAATGTTTTCAAAGTTCTGAAATTTCCTTCGTACAATATTAGTTTGAGAAAACGTAGTGATACAGCAGTATTTCATACATAAAAATTAGATTTTTAAAGCACGATGTTAGAAGTTGTAAATGGATTCCTACTTGTTTATTTTATAGTTTTGTGCACTATCAGCGCATTAGTCCCGACTTTAGTAAAACCTGTAAGTTAATTTTATTCTTACGATTATTTTAAAATTGTTGTATTAATTTTGCTAAATTTACGACAGAGAGGTATACGATATTCAGAATTATTATTAAAAACCTATTCTTTGTTGTTTGTGTTCAATATTTTATATGTTATTAATTTCCAGATCGTAGCGTGTTTCTCTGGCGCATCACATGAAGAACGAACCGCTTGGTCTGAATTATTAAAACTAAAAGAAGTACAAAAAGGTATATCAATGAAAGACGAATTTGCAGCATATTCGAAATTGCAACGTAAAATCAATAAACTGGAATCGGAACTAAAAGAAAACCGATCGTCACGTATGAGTAAGAGTCTGGCTATAATTGGGTCAGTGCATATTGTATTACAAGTAGTTGTTGCTTTACTTATTGTGATATCAGTTATTTGGTTTAGAAGAGAGCCTATAGTAGCATTGAAAGGTGACCTTTTCCCTCTCTCCACTGTACTCCGGTACCCTAGCGATATGCCAAATGCTATTTCTACTCATGTGTGGGTTTTGATAACAAATTTGTCTGTAAGAACATTGTTGAAACCAATTTTAAGCTAAGATAATAAAAGTTTAGACAGTTTAACAACATAAAGACTGATTGGAGCACACTAGTACCAATTTATATAGATGTGTTAGGGTGCATTCAGATCTAAAATGTAATCCATTGGGATAATATGTCTATCAATTTATTATCCTAATAGAAAACATATGCAGATCAATCCTCAGGCCAATGTACACAATGGGAACTTTCCATCTGTTTAAGAAAAAGAGTAACATCTTTTAGAAGGTTCCATAAATGACTCTCTTTGTAACGTCACTGCATATGTAGACTCAACTAGATCTGGTTGCATTCTAAAAATCAACAAGCTCATACTCATCTGGGTTTTAATTGTAATGTTTCCCTTCTAAGTAAAAGGGGCAATTTTGTATTTAAATTGTTTTAGTATTTGTATCTCGTTTATGGATTTTGAGGCATTAACATTTAATTAATCAAAGGAATGGAGGGAAGAATATTTGTTAAATATTTATTAGCTTTGTAATTTTTTATAAATGTAAATTAAAATGACTATGGAAAATTTCTTTTATTTAACAATCCCTTTCAAAGGCATTTCAACGGAAATGGATCTCTAACAATATTGAAGCAAAATGGTTCTTTAGCTCAGTTTTTAAATTTGGACAGATAATGTTTTAATAATGTTAAATATATTTTTTAAATCTGACAATAAAAGAAGTGCTTTATTTTTCTTTTTTAGTAAAATTTTGCAGTTGCATTATTTACTTATTTTAAAAAAATTAAAAAATCATGTTTACTCAAAAATGAGTAACTTTTGTAAAATGCTCATGGGGGTCAAAATTATCACAAATCTCTCTATCTCCTAGCGGGAGTATGTCAAGTTACCAATAACCCTGTAAGATCATACCAATATTATATGTGAAAGTTTAGATAAATGGATGTTAGTTTGTAGCCTAAACGGCTGAACGGATTTCGATGAAATTTGGTGTACATGTAGAGTATAATCTGGAAGAACGCATAGCCTACTCACTTTTGTTTTTTTTTAAATTTCACGCACACGGAGTCGCGGGCGAAATCTAGTATAACTATATCTACAAAGTTATCTATTGTTTTATAGGTAACTGTGTCGTCTTAAAAAAGAAAAACACTTTCAAACTAACAAAATCATATAGAATAAAATAAAAACAAACTCATTTTTTAATAACTTTTTATTTACTAAACAAAAATTAAAGTATCTTATATTCAGTCTGATTTACATCAAAATCTGTCCTTTCAAAATATTTTCAACAAACAATTTCATGTCTGCATCACATCAGAGCTTAATAGAATCCTTGCTTAACATTACGACTCAATTGTGCTCTATAATTAGCAAAAAAAAATCTAATATAAAATTTAGCTTAGAGGAAGAAATATATCACTAGACAATATCAGAAATTAACAAAACAAAACCCAAGAAATGTAAGCAAACTTGGGGAAGCTATGATAGCTTTAAGTATACCAACATATTTACAAGCGCTTTATCACAGCTTATAACTTAACAAGTGCTAATGTTGCCATGACAATTCACTACGAATTTAAAACATCCTGTGTAATATAGAATATCCACGAACATCTCCAAAAGCAGAGTTTTGTTGCCAGTTTCTCTCAAATTAGAATAAAACCACAAACACTTGACATTGGCCCAATCCGCTGTGGGAGAGCCATAAACAAGAAATAGAATAGAATAATATAGAATATTCAACATGCCATAATTTATCTGGGTTTCTACTTTACATGAAAAGCCCTATTGTTGTCCTTGTTTATTATAAATAGAATGAAAAGAGATGACTACAATTTAGCACAGTCAGCTGTATAGCTTAGAAACTTACACATATCTTCAGTTGTACGAAAATGTATACAAGTTTCTATAGCTTGTTAAATGTGTTCATATTTATGCAGCTTTTTTTATATATATAAAAGGTGGCAAACGAGCAAGCGGCCACCTGAATACACCGAAATAGAAAGCGACCGCTGCCCATAAATATCCGCAATTTCAGATGCGTTATCTACCCTTAATTGACGGAGAAGACGCACATAAAGAGGACATTTTCCCTTTTTATGCATCACCTCCATCGTCAAATCCACTTTTCCTTCCCATCCTTTCCCCTTAAGAGAAGGGTGGAAAGGGAAAGGGACTAAAATTGGGCAGCTGACTGTACTTGCTTTTTTATAAAAATCAATAACCTGCTGATTATTTCCACAACAAAATATGCAATATTAAACAGGTTTAGCAGATTTTGTTACTACAAATTGACCAAATTTAATATTAAACAAAGTGTCTAGAAATCTAGAATATATACAATTGAAATGTGAAGAAAAAAGAAAAAAACTAGGTTTCTATTGCCACATCTGTACATAAACGAGGAAATTTCGTCAGTTTCCACTGATAATTAAATTACACCCATAATTAAATTTAGAAATCTCGACTATTTTCTTAACAAGTATAGAATAGTTAAACTGGAAAAGCAGAATTAACTAGAAGAGTCATTTAGTGGGAAATTTAATAAAAAAGAATGATGCGCACATTCCATTTAAGTAAAAACTGATTTAATATTTAAAAATCGATTTTCCATTTCTTATTACAAAGAAACGTTACAAAAGACTAGAAAACTATGACTAATTCTAATTATTCGGAGTCTTAAAAGCGGATTATTTGGTCAACGCACATAATTAAAATCGGAAAATATTAACAATGTAAAAATATTTTTTTGACAATTTTTCTGATAATCAACATATTAAAACTTTACTTAAAACATAAATTCTAAGAATTCAACAGATTTTTTTTATTACGGAACCATTTCAGTAATCGTAATATCATCAGAGCACCGTAAATACTAAACTTTCGTTAAAAATACATTCATATAAGATACCATAGAAACTATTATACAAAAATACGCTGAAATAAATACACTAAGCTCGTTCGGATAGAACTTTCTCGACATTTTTAATGAAGGAATTCTTTGCAATCCTTTATCTTTACTATGTGAAAGATGTCCAGTTTATTGTTTATAATAGTATATTCAAATTAAATAAAAATGAGAAATCAAAACAAACCCATCTTGATAATACCTTTATAAGTCAGACAGACTCTATTACAATAGAGATGTTTTTATCATAAATTTAATCTCTGGAATGTTCCAGAATAAATTCATAGACAATACTATTTCAATTAGTGGAATATTTTCTCATTTTAATTGAATTAGAGTATACTATATTTCGATATTAAAACTGAAAATCAGAAGAAAAGTACAGGATTTCTTTTAAATTGGATATGAAATTTCCTATTGCATTTTACGATTGATGACGTCACAATATGGCGCATTTGCATTCTCGAAACGCGTTCCGTTTTGCAAAAAAAATTATAAACTGGTAAAGATGGTATCTAGTATTTACAAGGACTTATGGATTATCTGATATTTATCTTGCAAATTTACAAGGTAAATGTGTTTTGTGATTGCATTGCGACAGTCTAAGTGTTCTCGTAGAAGGAACTATTGAAATGTGTTGTAAGTAGGTAGACGACCGCCTCGTAAGTGGACATCATTATCGCCGTGTTGGGTATTTGACGAACCAGCTGTGTTCCTAAACCCCTGTAACAGAGAAATAAAATCTTACTACCTCACTATTACTAAAATGCGCAAGTTTAGATGGATTTTTGTCAGAGTTTGTAGTCTAAATAACTGAACGAATTTGGATGTTCTGTAGAACATAGTCTGGAAAGAACATATACTTTTTTGGTTATTTTTTTAAATTCCACGCAGAGTCGCGGGAAAAAGCTAGTATTAGTATAAATATGTATAGTGGTAGGGGTACTAAACTAAGTCAAATAAACCGTACCTATATACTCCGCGGTATCCCTCCTCCACCCAGACGGTTTGGAGCGTCTGCCAGAACTTGCGGTACTTGTCTCCTTCCTCGCGCAGCCGCGTTCTTGCTACTTCTGTAACACAGTGACAGTTGACAGCTAAGAAGGTATGAAGATAAGACTGCACGTGTACACGAAATATATTGTGAATAATTTATACTACTGATATACTGTTGTTATAAGACAAATAAAGAAACACTACAACTTCTATTTACACAAAAAAAAATAATTAGAATACTATCTTCTCATTTATCTCCCTTAATTTTTTTCTTTACTGATGTAAGCATTGCCAGTACTCAAGAATTTAATTCAACCTTTTTACAGTAATCAAACCTTTTATGTACAATCGGCTACATAAATATTTACATACTTACAAATCTTTATAAACTTTTTGAATCCGTAGGACATTACAAATTTCTAGTGACATGACATGATGACAAACCATGGCAACCTTGCTTCCTTGATATTGGCAGCTTGTAGTTTATGGTCCCTTTCCCACATTAGGGTTTTTATCCAAAATATTTACCCCCTTAATTTAATGGCATGAAATATATGTAGGCACTTACGTCATGCTTTACGCTAAAGACCTATCTTTTTATTGAAGAAAGAATTATTCAAAAATATGCCGTGATTGCTGACATCTTACGCAACAAAGTAGTGTGTGTTTACGCTTTATATTAGTACAGAAGTATAGATAACTTACCATGTGGATAAGCAATACATGAAGCGACCGTCTTTGAGAAAGCACCGGCCGCCATAAACTCTACGAAGTCCCGCGGCGAGCGCGTGTCGCTGGGCACGCCGCCGGACCGCGCGGCGATCAGGCGCGCCTTCACCCCCTCGTACAGCACAAAGTGAACCACCGTCTCACTGATACCCATGTACGACGCCGTTATACCTTTGTAGAAACCTTTTATACCCTGCAATAAACACTAGGGTCAGTTACTGTTCAGCTTTCGCCCGAGACTGTCCGATTGGAGTTCAAAATGTAAGTACGAGTTCTTCCAGACTACCTACATCTATGCCTTCATGAAATCCGTTCAGCGGTTTAGGCTACAAACTTAACACATCCATCTAAATAATCTATACATATAATAAAATTGGAGTGTCTGTTTGTAACATAAAAAAAATCAAGATTTCGGGAAAATTATATATTGGCGTTGCTGATAAATTAAAAAAAAATGTCTATCTGTTTGTATGTCGGCTGGTCCGATTTCGACAGGACTTTCACTGGAGGGTAGCTAACATGGATAGGCATATTTTATATGCTTCTTTTTTTATTCCGCGTTGTCAAATTGACTAACGGGTGGTCCAATTTTGATAGGACTTTGAAAGATAGCTGGTAAAAGTTAGATTGCATGCGGTAATGATGAGTTAAAAAAAATCGCGCTAACGAAGTTTTCGGGCGATAGCTCGTTTCAATATAATCATATATTACCACATAACACGTATGCGGTGTACCGTGACTGTTGGCGGCTAACAATCGATATGCGCCCATTGAAGCGGCCAAATCTATATTGAGCGATTGTTATCCTACATGAAATATCTAACATTGCTTTTAGAGTAGTTCGACTGAATTATCTACATTAAATTATGTGTCTTAAATCTTATTGGGGTAGATAAAGATACATTTATAAATGGCTGGATCAAATCTGAACATGCAGGTCAGTCACGAGCTTTTATATCCATCAAGTAGCAGTTCTCGTGCGACTTCATTAGCATGAAATTATGAAAGTTTTATTTTATTGTTTACATTCGTCAAATTATCAATTGCAAATGTCAAAATGACATGACATGGCAAACTTTGGCAATTTTGCTTCCTTGATGTTGACAGCAACTTATGGTCCCTTTCCCACATTAGAGTTTTTATCCAAAATATTTACCCCATAAGTTTAATGGCGTCAAAACATATAGCCTAAACCGTGAGGTAAGTGTACGGCTTTTTATAAAAGAACGAATTATTCAAGATTTTGCTGTAATTGCTGAGATCTTAGGCAACAAAGAAGTGTGTGTTTACGCTTTATTATAATAGTATAGAAGTATAGACATAGATATGAGAAAATCACACTAAAAGTATCTCTTAGTCCAAAATTAAGTGGAGTAATGATATAATGAGAGTTGGAGTGAATATTTTTTTTGGTAAGACAAGCAATTTAATAATTTAATACCTGAATATCGTGACTAATCTTTTTATATGAATATTAGCAATAACAAACGTGACTACAGTAGTGCGTGCCCGTTGAAAATTATTGTTTACTTCGTATAAAGTTAAATTTGCAAAAATACAAGCAGTATATGCAAAATATGAGCGTTTGATCATATTTCCAGTATTTGTAACATGTAAAGTTAGTTTTATTATAATATGATATGTTTATTCACTGTAGGTACGTCATTGCCAGGTACAAGTTACAATTACACTAAGTATACTAAATGTTGCGCGCGACTTCGTTCGCGTGAAATTAAAAATTAATAAAATTAGCCTATGTTACTCATAGATAAATTACCTTCCTAATGGTGTAAGAATTTTTATAATCTGCCTAATAGTGTTTGTGTTATACCAATACATACAAAAACAAAAAAAAAAACACAAATCTCTATAATATTAGTATGGATATCAAATCAAATATCCAACTCGTAATTAGCATCACAAACTGAATAATAATTTAAACTTTAAATTCTATTGTAATAATAACGTGGATAAGATTTAAAAATATGAGAAAAAAGTAGTTTTCAAAACATAAAACGGCTACTGAATACGTATTGAAAGCAGCGTCAGATATCAACGAATTCTACATAAATGTTTATAAAGTTACCGTCTTAGCGTATATCCTCTTTATGCACTGCAACGCTGTGATGTTCTGTCCGTCCAGTTGCAGGCGAGTCTTCACGAACCAGATGGGATTCGTCATTGTACACGACATGAAACCTGCAATTGAAAAATATTATAATAAGATTTTATAAGCGCCAGTACCCTAATGGATAGGGGTTTCCGATCACGTGATCAAGGGTTCGAATCCCGACTTTCGAATATTGTAAAACTATAGCTACTAATACAGTAGAACCTCGATTACTTAAACCTCAGTAACATAAATACATCTATAACTTCAAAAAATAATATGTTTCCTTCCCATCACAGCCCAAAACTTCTATGACGTAGACCCTTCATAACTTTTTGTGTTTCCTTGGACTTCAACTTATCGATGTTCTACTGTATTTTAACAAAGAAAAAGATTTCCATACTTTTTTGTAGACGTTTTCAAAATATTACTAATTTCGGGGGATCCCCTACTATTATAGAGTACCTAATTAGTAAACGGGAATTTCTGTTATCTCAATTAGTGATTATAATATTCTTAATTTCATCAAACAGACAGTTCTTACAAAGATTCGTATTGTGGATTTCAGATTAGAGCCCAAAACCTCTACAACATACACCCTTGATAACTTAAAACCTTTATAACTTAAAATATTTTGTGTTTCCCTTGGACTTTAACTTATCGAGGTTCTACTGTTTGGACCAATCCATCGAAAAGAGTTGCATGGATATGGATCTTTTAAGAGTTCTAATAAATATGTCACTCTTTTTATTGGTAAATAATTGCTAGCAAAAGTAATTCACCTGCAGCGCTTGCTGCTGAGAGATGTACAATCGGTGTGTCAGGCGGTATATGTTGATTGAGGATGGCCTTTGCCTGGGAGTACGTGCAGAAGTATATCGCCCTAGAGGGCGCCACCCCCACCAGGTTAGGTCCCAGCCCTTTGAACAGCGCACGAGGACCTTCAGTCTGGACGATATGCCTGTAAGGTATACACCAATCACCTCTACGCTCATATCGTATTGTTTTAATATGCATTGACGCACGCGGGACTATCTGCTTTTGATAAATAAAATTGTAAACAATAACAACAAATGATATATTTTTAGCATTTAAAGGATTCCATTAACTTAAGATCTATTGTTTTATTTCTTATCAAAGTAATGGGAAATTAAGCATTGATATAATTTTATTATTGGAAAATATGAATTCTATACCATAACAATAATAATTAACACACTGCTTTGTGTCGTAAAATGACAGAAATAACAGCACATTTTTGATTAATTCTTTTTTAATAAAACACCCTACACCTACAACACGCTTTAAGCTATATTTTCACGCTATTAAAATTAGGGGTTAAATAAATTGAAAAAAAATTCACGTAGGAAAGGGACCATAAACTGTAAGCTGCCAACACTAAATAATTATGGAGGGTAAATGTCAAAGGCTTTCGTTGTTATTTGTGCATTTGTAGCCTCACAGGCACAGCTAGTGATATAAGAGTAAAATTATAAACAATTAATAACGTATAAAAATAAGCATTTATGATGGTTAAGTGACGTTAATCAGCACAATATTTGGCCGTGTCAAGAGCGTGTCCATGCGGAGCGCGAGTGATGCGGGCGTTTGTTATCTATTAGCGGGTATGTGATAACAGCGCTAGTTACAACCGGTTCTAGTCCCTAGATTATCTCGTTGCTTGAACTGCCTGGATACTGATATCTTTTAGTGGATGCAATCTGACAAGTCATGAAAAAAGTTTGTTGTTTTTAGTCAAAGCTTTCTTAATGGTAGAATAAAATATACGGCTTTATTCTTGAATTAACATATTTGGAGCAGGCTCACACTCTTAACTAAATATGACACAACTGTTGTGCGATTGTCGATTGTTCCGCAGCCAATTCAACTGTTTAGTTGCACACTAAAAATCGAGTAGTGTGCGTACCTCCATTTATGATTATGGGAATGAAAGCGAGACTAAACAGTTCTCTTAGTATGGTTAAAAGAGTGCTATTAATATACGTTTATCGTACAAGTTAATGTCACTTATTTGCGTGTATAGTGAAGACGTTTCATCAATTTTCTTAACATACGTTGATAGGGCTTCTTGCAATTGATTTGAAGACTCCTATAAAGTTCAATCAATGTTGCTACTAATAAAATCTATCAAGACATTGTCGTTTTACGTCAACATTACGTACAGTTATCACAATTTGACTTGGCAAATTAGAAATATAAACTCAAACACTGCTTGGTACTTGTATACTTCGAGTCGTCTGACGTAAAGAGATGCATATGTTAGTATATACTAAATAACGTAATTTTAAGGGCCTGTCCCACCACTGGTTGATAGGAGCTTAAAAATGACGTCATTATCAAATAAAGGAACAAAATCCGTTATTTCCATCACATATTTTACACGTTGGATTGTTGACAATTTGGTGAGACAGACCCTTAATGTCTTAGATGTAACCCTTTCCGATTTGTGTCAATTTTTATACCCATCAATAATTCGAAGGTTATTTTCTTGTACTAGAGACACGACATATTTTTCGAGTGACGAGCTGATGTCTAAGTACGCGTTGGCATTCAGCCAACATGTCAATTGACACAGGCGCATATTAGTGATGTCCGTAACTTGGCTTATGGATAAATTGGAGCTGTTACTATGTGATAATCATCCTACATGTTATTCCGGTCAGCTATTTATAGACGGAGAAAGTCACAGTAACTTGTAAATGTAACTCTATTGTGTCTCAATGAACGCTAGATTCATGAAGGAAGTTTGTTTTAATATTTAACGTTTTAAAAATAGGTAAATACATCAACTAGCACGTTCGTGTCTAAATTAATTATAGAAGCAAGAAATAAATAATTACAGTTGTAATATCGGACATAGTCGTTTAAAATGATTGAAATTATTCTACACTTCGAATAAAGTAAAGGGTCACTTCATTTAACAAATAAAAGACGCATGGCCGTCATCAGAGGGTAGGGATAACAGCTGCAGCTCTCTATAGAATAAAAAAAGTAAAATAGTTTTAAAAACTACTTCTAATAAGACAGTATTAACGGTAGCTACCCCCCTCCCTTTACCTAGTCTAGATAATAAGCTAACAACGCCAACGAAATGATGCATTAAAAGAAATTCTCCCCTTTACTTCATAAACAGGTTGGTTATTTATAGCATCTTTGTAGAACGACACGTTTTAAACGAATCCATTTCTTTCGCACATTAAAATATCCGTTTAGTTTTACAACGATAATTTAAATTATAGCAGAGATTTAAATTTTAGAATTTCATTTACGTCATTTTTCATGCAATACGATAACAAGTCGCTTACTAAATAAAAAACTTAATCACTAAATACTACATGACCTAGAAGCAAGTCGATAACTAATTGGAAATAACAATGCAATTAAACTATAATAAGGCCGTAAACATTTTCCTGCTAGATTGCGCCTTGTTTGTAAACACCATGAATAAATACCATGCTTAAATGCGAAAAAAAAACAAACGAAAAACGTTACATTTTAAAAATTGTAACTCTTTTCATCGGATGAATTGTAACATGTATTGTCCAGTATTATTTAAAATCCGTTTTTTTTTCTTGCTATCGTTTGCAATATTTTTAAACGAAGTGCCAGTGACTTGCGCATTATGATTGCTTTTGAATGAACTCGAGCGAGGTCATTAATTATTTATTTGAATAGAACTAATGATATAGACATTTTTATAAAAACAGTAAACACATGTAACATTTTAAAATTTTACAAGTCCTTTTACTGTTATAATAGTTCGGTAATTCTAATCAGATAAAACCGGTTGTGATGACAACTTTCAAACATTTACGAGTAAAGTTGATATTGTGATTTAACTAGTTTTGTAACCAACAGCTGAGAGTCGAGATTATAAAACTAGAGATTCGACAAACGAAATGACTCTAAGAAAAGAGTTCTTAGATATCCAGGAACTACATGTATCGATGGGGTGAAAGGCTATTATTAAGCGGTATTAGGTTAAATGTTCAGGAGAGCCTTTTAAAGTTTTCATTTTTAGAAAAAAAACATAAAAGCAAATCCTAAAAATAATTACAATTGAAAGATTTTCAGACCGGTTCTAGACAAAAATGACTATAATTCTGCATACTTCATTAAATCCACTGACTATTAACTGCTGATTTTTTGGCGCTTCATACTGTTAAGAAGAAAATTAGTACCGCGCTGCAGAATTGGCGAAACACTAGATTTTTGGCATAAACGTCACATCTCTGACAGCTGTCAATGTCATTAGAAGGATTGATATTCGCGCGCGATCCTAATCCTAACGCGAAGTGTTGCTCTGACTTTAAAAATGATAGTATAAATTGAATAAATTGTTAAAAATACATGGCTACTTAAAAACGACACCTACATTTTGATTGTTTCAAGCGCTACAAAAGTGCTCTGATCTTTATGAATGCCGGTTCAAACGACGCAGAAAAATTCGCTGATTCTAAATACACATATATAAGTCATGATCGCATAAAATAGCGGTTGAAACAAATAACCTTTCACCCGTCGCTATAACTCTCTTCGTGTCGTCTCTCCACACGATACGTGGGATCCGTATCCGTTGTATTTCTACTGACCTGATGCACTGTATAAGGCTCATCCTGGAGGTGGTGCGCGCGTGTCCCGCCCTGGCGCACTGCTGCACCTGGTAATTGTATGACATCAGCATACGATCTGCTTGCTTGCTGTATGCGAACATCGCGCCCATCGTACGCCTGTAGCCCCATTTGGCCTCCTGCGTTGGTTACGTTGCAAATCAATTTGCTTTATTCATATTAACCCCAAACGTTAATATCATGAATATTAGATTCTTTTTAATAAAATGTTAATATATTACTAATAGATTGAATAGAATTTAATAAGATATTGTAACAATGATGAGATTGTTTGTTTTTTAAATATAATTTTACAAGATAACACAAAAACGACTTTTGTATTTTATTTAAAGACTGTAAATTTTTAGAGTATACGTGGGCAACTAATAAGTACATAGATAAAATGTCTTCTTGTTATTATTTTTGTAAATTTATAATTAGTTTATCCAGTTCCATCGATTTAAGGCAAATTTTAGCGAGATGTGTCATTCTAAAAATGTTTATATTGTCAGTGAATAATCGTATATTTGGCATACAACATCAATCAAAATCATAACAGTGGAAAACTACAGAAGCGGAGATGAGATGAAGTTTTACTTGCTAATTAAATTTTCTCACCGTCAGTGAGTACTTCAAATATTGATAAACGCGATAAATGACTGATAGCGCCGTGCGAATTACAATATATTACAATTTATTGCTGTATTTACACGTTTGTAATTAGATTGCATCATCATCATCTTCATCGTCCTCCTTATCCTACTCCCGTAGTGGCGCAACAGGTTTTTGTCCTCCACATAACTCCATCATACGTCATCTCAGTCATTACTCCCTTCTTAATCATGTCACCTTTCACGCAATCCATCCATCTCTTTCTAGGTCTACCTCTACTGGTGTACCCTTCCACACTGATAACTAACGTTCTCCACGTAACATGCTTATACCATGCTAACCTTTTACTCCTTACCTTCTCTATCACTGGGGCTACTCTCAAACTTTCTCTAATATACTCATTTCGCATCTTATCCATTCGTGGTACCTCACACATCCATCTTAACATTCGCATTTCTGTCACATGTAGTCTCCTTTCATCCGTTCCTTTTACTGCCCAACATTCAGATCCATACATCATCATCATGTACGAATATGTAAACTTCTTAATTCAATATGTAAATTCAACTATCCATTCCTCAGATAATAAATAAAATTTTGGTGCATAAATGCGATACAGTTATGTAGAAGACAATAACCTATCGCGCCGACCCTACGGAAGTAGGATAGGGAGGAAGATGATTTTTGTGCTCAAATGTTTTTTCTACTTCGAGGTATATTGCGAGACAATTTTTCTAGCATCTTTTTAGGCCCTTATTAAGCCCAATTTCCCCTTTTTTAACGAGCACAGATAATGTAAAATAGAAACTGTAATGAATGTCCGTAAGAAAAATTATAATCTGTTATATTCATTATGTTTACTTAACTTTACAAATAAAACATAGAAATGAAATTATTACTGCTATCTTAAATAATATTCTCACGACTTTAAACAGGTCTGCGCTAGTTTTCATGACCAAGGAAATTAGCATCAATTATTATGCATATACATTTTAATGATTATAATATTACAGACTTCAAAAAATATATGCAGATTTGTATACAATTATGTCAAATACTCTGCCGATATAATTCTATTATTTTGATAGAATTTGAAATATTGTATACTAGCTTTTGCCCGCAACTGTCCGCGTGCTATTTAAAAAACAAAAGTAAGAAGCCTATGTGTTCTTCAAGACTATTCTCTACAAGTATGCCAAATTTCATCCAGATCCGTTCAACCGTTTAGGCTACAAACTCTAACAAACATCCATCCATCTAAACTTTTGCATTTATAACATTAGTATGATAGACAGAGTAAGATTAGAATTTGATGTTTCGGTTTGAAAATAGTTAAATCTCATAAGAGATGTAATTTTTTCGTCGGAAAAGTCAGTCTCGTCAATCTTTATATCAAGCAAACATATGTAAATATCCGGCTTTCTTTATCAAAGCACGATTATCATTCCACGATTTGATAAGTAAAGTTTTATTAGTGGACTAAAACAAAGTTTTAGCGAAACTTCGACATTAGTGTCATTTTCAGCTGAAACAAAAAAAAAAAACTTTTTTATTGTACAACTTGATCTATGTTCAGTGTTTACTTGAATGCTTCGAACTCTATTTATAACCAGCCTTGAAATCTCTTAGAAACATAACAATTCATCTCATGACATCGTACGATGTCGGCTTTTATATCTAAAGGTAGGTTTACATTGATCTAAATATAGCCAAAGTTACGTCGCCAATGTTCAGTCGAGCAAAGTTTTTGCGACTAATATATATAGTATAAACACAATATCATGTTACCTCAATATTTTAATACTAGTTGTTGTCCGCGACTTCGTCCGCGTGGTATTACAAAACATAGAAACGATATAACGTAAGAACCTTATCCCATGTGTACTTTGTTTTATATCTGTGCCAAATTTTAATAAGATATGTTGAACTGTTGCAGTATGATCGAGTAAACATTAAAAAACTAAATTAATGAATCCCATGGGAATCGTAACTATTCCCGGGATAAAAAGTAGTCTACGTGTGCTTTCAGACTATGCTCTAAACCTGTGCCAAACTTCATGGAGATCCGTTAAGCCGTTTAGGCTACAAACGCTAACAAACATCCATCCATCCATCGTAACTTTCGCATTTATAATATTTATATGATTATATTATATGATTTATATGATTATAAGATAAGATAACGTACAGTTAACAGGATGAAATGTTTTTCTAAAATACAAAAATGAAATTATGACTTAAAAAAAATTGCATGTAAACCTGTCCTTACGTACTGTTGCTAATAGAGAATATCGTGCTGTTAACTAGTTAAAGCATGTGCGCAATTGTTGATGATACGTTGATTGCACTTGCGAGTAAACATCGTCAATTACTGAGACGGGATGCGTCCAAAGATAAACAAAACACTATTGCCGATAAGATAGCATATGTATATAAGATAGAAAATCTTTGGCACTTGGTCTATCCAAAAATACTCTTAGGTCAGCCGGTGTTCGTCTATCTCACTTCTTACTTCTTTCTAATATTATAAATGCGAAAGTTTAGATGGATAGATGGATGTTTGTTAGAGTTTGTAACCTAAACTGCTGATCCGATCTCGATGAAATTTGGCACAGATGTAGAACATAGTCTGTAAGAACACATAGGCTACTTACTAAGTTTCTTCCTTATTTCACGCGGACTAAATCGCGGGCGAAAGCTAGTGAATTATAAATATAACATATATGTTACTAAACAACTAAAAAATAAATATTGTAGAGTACCCTTACAACGCTCCGACTCCGGGAACAAGACTATTCAAAAAATGAATTGAATGGTTGTATGGATTAAATAGGTCCAATGGGAAAAAATCTAACGGGAAGCACTTTTACGTAAAAATACTTAAACACATCAGTTGTAATATTACAATTTTGGTATTAACAGCCCATTTCCACTGTTGAAACAGTCGGCGACACATTATCACTGACTTATAGAAAAATGTGCGAACTCTGTTTTTTGTACGGGTTTTTTTTCGGTGTATACCTACCTTAAGGGTATCATCACGTTTAATTACGCGTTTTGTATTTAAATTATAAATAATACGATAAGATTATCCAATCAGTGACGTATGCTGGCAGTAAATAGGTCATTGCCGACTGCGCAGAAATATGTTCTGTTGTAGAACGTACAAAAATATATAAGCCAAGATATCCGCGGGCGTTACCTCGTTTATAAATGTTTACTCGGAAGTAAACTTTAAAAGTATAATGTAATAAATATTTATATGCGAATATTATGCATCCTTGTATAACGTAAATTCTATACCAATAAAACTGTTTGTTGATATTTAGACAGATTGAAGGAAACACACGCACATAACTAGGATATTTCCCCTTCCTATGCGTTTTCTCCGCCACCCAATCCACCTTTCCTCTTAAGAAAAGGGTGGCAAGGAAAATGGACTAAAATCTGGCCTAACATTAAGAGTTTAATATAAGAATTTACTAGAATTTAATTCCACAGACTAACATGATACAACCTTATTCGGTAACAACTTTTGAAATTGGGACACAATTCACTTATAAATTAAAACACTGGCATGTTTTAAAACGATTCCAAAAGACAAAAAAACACTTTGTAAGTAGTATTAAAATGCAGATACGAGAGTATTCAAGTTAACCAGATATGGACAGTGAAGGCTGTTCGTCGGACACTGAACTAGTGGGAAGGTTGTTTTATTTTAATTAAATAAGTATTACGGAGAATATTTTCAAAGTATTATGTTGCAGTTAAAATAAATAAAAACACTTCAAAATCATGGTATAGCAGATAAAGAGATAGATTAATCAATCTAATAAGGAAAGAAAGATATAGTGGACATACAAAAATTTTAAAGAAACAAACAATTTATGATACAGGAAACAAAGTGTTTCCTCGTGCATAGATTTGAGATGTCACATGACTTTATATTGTTGGTTTGCTTTGCCGACACTTCCACAAAAATACGTAAATCCTCAGGATAATTAAGAAGAGTTGCAGTTAGGAATAAACTCATACAAAAATCACACATCAAAGTAACCACGAATAAAACCAAATGAAGTCAGTTATTGTAGAAAACAGAAGAACACATTCTGGAGAATTCGATGCAGAAACAAACATGACTAAGATCGGACAAAACAACCAAAAATACGGCAATACGAATATGCGTATCAAAACTCAAATCGTATGTTTACTGCACTTTGATTCCGAGTTATAAATACGCCTTGATCCATTTACAGCTCGTATGAATCTCGGACGATGATCTTATACGATCGAAATGCTACAAACCTGGTTTATTTTACTGATAACTAAACGAAAAAAAAATTACAAAACCGATTTAAATCGTTTCGGGTATTTTCATGACTGAATTTAGAAAAACCAGGAATTCTTACTAGCTGTTGCTCGCGTCTATGGTCGTGCGGAAATATTTTTTTTAAATAAATATAGCCACGTTTATCAGTGATTACGTAGCTGTTTATTGATGAAAAAATTTTTGAAATCGGCCTAGTAATTTTCGATTTATAACATTAGTATAGATGTAGACAGTAGAATTTCCTTTTATGATTTTTTTTTAAACGATAAGCATTAATATGGCAATATTTCACTGCTGTTTTATATTCGTTGTATGGCGACCTATAGAATGAATGGCGTGTTTGATTTAAAAGTAAATTATTTTTTTTTACTTTTACTTGCAAAAAATCTGCGAGTAGGGTAAAAATCATTAAGGTATAAACAAGAACATTGTTTACGAAACAACAAACGAGAACAATAATTTTGGCGACAGCATGGTCTGGGTAGTTGCCAATTACTAGCTCAATTGATATATGAAAACATACAGAGTCTAGATAACAGATATTTATAGGATAAGGGAGTAACTAAATTACTAATTACTAAATAAAATAAATCTCTAGTGTTGAAAAATCTAACTATTTAAGTGAACACAAATGACTAAGATAACATATAATTGAGATATTTGGAGGACAAAAACCTGTTGTGCCGACCCTACGGAAGTAGTATAAGCCGGATAATGACAAAAATAATTTTAAAAAAAATCTTATAAAAAGAAGGTACATTCTGTATGAAAAAACTAAGACCAGTTTTGATTAAAATGCTTCAATAACCCAATCTAAACTACAGTATCTTACTAGTACAGTTCACTAGTTGTCTAGGGCTATGTTCAGCAAGTTACAAATACATAAAGATTGAAAGAATTTTATATATTGCAGATATTATGTAACAAGGTATCTTCAATCTTATCATTCTTATATGCTACATGATAAAACAATCAGATATTCTAAATATTGTCATTTTGAATTATTTAAACTTTCGTGAGACATGATATAACTAATTATTTTACGGCTCTTACTCATACTCATTATTGAGCTTGTTTCGCATCGCGCTTCGCCTTAAGGACCCCCGCAGGGTCTGAAACTGGTTGGTGCCGTCACCGAAAAAATAGATGTAAGTAATAGTAATAAGTTATTGTCATTTTAGATTAAATTATACAGTTAAAATGTAATCTAGAATACAAACTGGCTACGTAACTTATACGATATGCAATTTACAGTAAGACATCTTCTAAAACTACCCTATATCTCCGCAAAAACAATAATTTAAAAAGATTTTATTGTTTAATTTTAAAAGAGTGATTATTTAAATATGCTGAATGGTGAAATATTACAAGCAACTGATTATAATTATAGTAAAAAAATTAAAAACACTAATATTAAAGTTACAGGCAAATAAAAATGTAAAGATAATGTTGGTTATAGTTTTAGATTTGACATAAAAACAGTAAATGCGTTGTTCAAACATTGCTGATATTCAGATAATGTCATATTTACTTAATTAAGAATAGAATAGTTATAATTTCTTATTTTTAGTTTAAAAAAAAATTGAATGTATATTTAAAAAAATCTTTTTAGCAGAACAAATCCGAAGGTAGAAACACTATCCCGGTGTAAACTATTGTTTACATATGACTAACATTTATAATCAGGATACTTTAATTCACTTCATTATAGTTTTTTTTGTGGAAGTATTGTTTATTAAGACATGAAATGGTTACGATTGCTTTCATTTTCAACATTTCATTGCCAACATTACCAAATAAAACTAGAGGGGGACAAAAACTGGAAATTTAAAAAAAAAAAAAAACTTTACAAAAGTTAATTCTGTATGAAAATACAATTTAGACATACTTTACTGTAAAGAATGCTATTAAAATGGTTATCTTTTATATAATTTATTTGATTGGAATATACTTTATCATAATAAATGATGATAAAATGCTTGCAGGGGTAATCACTAGGTAGAGATAAAAATATGTCAAATTTATCACAAAAACAAATGAAAAATTTAGATATTAAAACACAAATATTTACTAAAAGATTCATTATAATATTATCCTTGTTAAAGATTATTAAATGGTATTTAGCCTTATGAAGTTATATTCTTCTTTTTGATTTCTGTGTATAATTTGTTTTTTTTTTTCTTCTTCATTATTAGTTTTTTATTGTATTTTAACTATGTTTTGTAATATTATGTATTATCACATAGATATAGTGTCACATTAGATTTATTCTGTAAAGATGCTATATTCTCATTATAATATAAATAAAAAAAAATAAAAAAATTCACTGTGATTATATTATAAAATACTTTTTTTTAAAATTGCATTCAGATGTTTTTTTTTAATAAAGTAAAAAGGTGTTTTTAATTTACATATTTAGTTCTCATCATTGTTACAATTAAGGAATTATAAATTATATATTATGTAAGTATTTTACAAGCTTATTGCCAAATATATTCAAAATTGTTAAGTGTTCTTTTAGAGGCACCCTCAGCGTAGATTTATATATACCAATGTACATTTAATTAACTGCAAAACCAGTTTTATGTTAATTTACCTGATGTTTTGGTATCTTTGAGCAAACTCTTCTTGTGCTGGCAGTGCCAGAATGTGACGGGGGCTGTGGTATGCCCACACCTTTGGACGACTGCAGACGAGTCTTCACTACTTCAAGTGGACATGTGACTACGGCTCCGGCTGTTCCTGCCAACCTGTGGATATTAATTATGTCAGTTGGAAAAAATATCTGAAAAATAATTAGCTTCTTTTTTATTTACAGTAAATTTAGAACAATTTATGAGAGTGGACATAACTAAACAAAAAGATTGTCAACATGTATTTCACTATTTCACAATTCACAACTTAGATTGCAAACACTGAAATTGAAAACATATTTCAGCATAAAATAGTTACTTGTTTGAAAATTGTCTTATTAGTTATGTTATAAGCTGAAATTACAATTCAGTACCAAAAACTAATAAACATTTGTTATTTTTGTAAACCATGTAATACAGCTCTGTTTTAGTATTTAGACTTGATTTAATAATGTTTTCAGTTCCAAATACAAGCAGCCAGTGTATGGTGTATGTAGAATTTGTTGACATGAAATAGAAATACACTTTTTATAAAAACATCAACATTGCATTGAAGGGTAAAGGTAACACAAATTAAAGTTCTGCACTATTAATATCTAATCAAGTAATTTTTATCCAGTAAAAAACCTATAACGGCAATCTAGGTCACTATTATGTAAATAATATTGTCAAGACGTGATAATATAGCGTCTGCCGACACAACTCCTTTGTCGATATCAATGAATAAACATGTTTATGCAAGCCATAATTAACAAAACCAGTAATGCGAAAGCATTGTTTATATCTTGGCTCTCATATGTATCAAACACATTTTGCGCATTAGACCATACGTTGTACAGGAATGTAATATTATGCAAAAAAGATCTTAAACTTACCCCCCAGCCACAAGGTGTATCGCGGTATCCCTCTGAGACATTTTAGCGCCTCAAGAGTGATAACATGACTGCAAATTGCAAAATCTATAAATAAACAAATGCACCACTACACCACTAATATATTCAATCAAGTAGCAACGATCGCACAGTGTTTGTTGTTGCAAGTACGCAATACTTCAAGGAAAAAACTCTATCTTTATATAGAATGTTAACAACTTTGCATCTACATCATACAAAAACAGATATTCTTTTACATTTCAAATATGTTTTAGAGTCAGCACAAATTCTTCACAACACCGCCGCACTGGAAATTCATCTGCGTCGTCGTAACAAATTACGCACACAACTGTCATATTATAGAAACTTATTGCAAAGTGCACACTAGCGAACTGAGTGAAGAGTTCACGTGCGCAATCACACGTAGTTTCTCTATGTAGTTTATGTACCAGGAGAAAATAGCACCTTATCACAAATGCATACAAGTTAAAACCGCGTAATAGGTACTTGAAGATTTTGTGTAAACATCACTGTTTTTTTACATACTAAGAAATAGTTATAAAATACCAGTTTTACACAATTCATTCACTGCAAAATTAATTTAAAAATCACTTTAAGGAAAAGTGGAAATGATTTGCAAGGCGTTTTTGATCAAGAACCAGAGACCTTTGTCTATGCTTAGCTGTCAATGTCAAAGGAAATGTCACAATGACATTACACTCGATGACATTTTAAGTCATTTTATTTTTATTTGACTTTTAAATTCCGATTGCATAACTTTCTACATTGAAGCAAATAGTTTTGCACAGGCAGTTACTTTTATAAGTTATATTTCCACGTTCGATAAATATAACTGGAATATGTTGGCGACACGCAGTTTTGGAAATTTAATGTATTAGTCTTTTTATATCTTTTTCTAATAATTGAACATATAATTAGATTACATATAATTCTGTTTTCTAATTTATGTATCTTGTTTTTGTATTATTATTGTTTCAATTACAGTCGCGCTGCGGGCGCTACTCGCCTAAAGCATACATTGCCCGAGCTGCCTTATGAGTACAGTGCATTGGAGCCGGTAATTAGCCGGGAAATTATGAGTCTCCATCACAGCAAGCACCATGCTACGTACGTAAATAACTTAAACGTTGCAGAGGAAAAACTTGTACAAGCTCAATCTAAAGGTAAATTAAGGAATGATTGCATATTATAAATATTTTTTTAAAATGTTACATTAAATTTGGTTTTGGCAGCAGCAGAAACAAGTACATTGTTATCACTTTTAAGTGCTGTTAAGTTTAATGGAGGAGGACATGTGAACCATTCAATATTGTGGTGCAATCTTAGTCCTTGCAAGACGGAACCATCCTGCACCTTTTTGAAAGCTGTTACACAGTATAATTTTATGTTTACTTATGTAGAAGTACTTTTCATTCATGGCCATAAAATTAGAGTATAATTTACATAGTAAAGTAATTGATATAGTTAAATTAAGCATATAGTTTAGAAGTAGGTATAATTATATGTATGTAAATGAATTTAAAACATTTCTAGGTGACATTGACACTGTCATCAGTTTGGCACCAGCCCTGAAATTCAATGGTGGTGGTCATATCAACCACACTATTTTCTGGCAGAATCTCTCACCAAAATCCAGCAAACCCTCTGATGTGCTCATCAAAGCAATTGAAAAGTAATTATAAGTGATTCTCTATAAAAAATAGATTAAGAAAAATACATACAAGTTGAGTATTTCCTTTAAGAAGTCTAAAAAAGCCTAATTTAAATTGGACTGATTTATTAAATCAACTTGCAGAATCCCTAAAATAAATCTCTTAAAATAAATGTACATTGTTAAATAATATATCAGTATATTAGTAAAATAAAAATCAAATTACAACTTAGTTTATATTTGAACTTAGATTACATAATTTGAGAATAGATATCATTTACTGTAAATTATTTATTAGCCTAATATTCAATCATAAATAGCTGAAATTATGTTTTAAGTTTTTATTACAAGTAGTGTATTAAATGTTATAATTAACAATTTCAAGGGACTTTGGATCATTGGAGAATATGAAGAATCAACTTGCAGCAGCTTCCGTTGGTGTGCAGGGCTCTGGCTGGGGCTGGCTTGGATACAATAAGCAAATGAAAAAGCTACAAATTGCCACATGCCAGAATCAAGACCCATTGCAGGCAACTACAGGTATTGCATACTACATGTTTATGTCTGAAATGCATATTATCAAAATTTAAACATAAGTACATACTAGTATAAATGCGAAAGTTTAGATGGATGGATGTTTGTTAGTTTGTAGCATAAAGGGCTGAACAGTTTTCCAAGAAATTTGGTATAGGTGTAGATGCTAGTCTGGAAGAACACATAGGCTTTTGTTTTTTTTTTATTTCACGCGGACAATGTCGCGGGCGCAAGCCAGAATGAAAAAACTAAAATGTACAGGTCGTTTTTTAATGCTTGTTTAGAAATGTGTATATGTTAAATTAATATAAAAAAAAAAAAACAGAGTATAAACTGCAGAATTGGCCCTTACATTAGTTTACATAGGACCTATCTATTGTCTTCAATGTTGTATAATATAAGTTGGTCACTTCAAGGTTGGTTGTATAACGAAAAATGTTTGCTTGTTAATTAATTGTTTTTACAAGATAGCGATACATTTGCAATGTAAATATGCTTGTATTTCAATAGAAATTACATTCAAAGATATATAACACTTTTCTGAACTAATCAATTGTAGAGATAGTACAAAATTGTTTCATCTCAGGATGTGGACACTAAATGACTAAAATTAAGTAGTTTCCTTATCATTGGTTTGACTTCGATAGCTTCTAGTTTGTTTCGGGTTGTTTGTTCAAAATGTCTAGATAAAATTACCCATTTAATTTCTGTTTCAGGACTCATACCTCTCTTTGGTATTGATGTGTGGGAGCACGCTTATTACCTTCAATACAAGAATGTGCGCGCAGATTATGTAAAAGCAATATTCGATGTCGCTAACTGGCAAGACATTTCTGCCAGATATGATAGTGCTGCCAAGTGAAATGTTTACAGTAATCCCACTTAATTTAATCTCAGCATTTCGGATATACCTTTAGAAGTATGATTACATATGTAAACGACAACCACAAAGTGCTTGTTGTAGATTCCAGAAAACGCCTTATATTATTTTATCTAAGTTGTTAATAATACATGGATGTTTGTAGCTATTGTGTTTTTTATTAAAAATATTTCCTTCTCATTTATCCTGAGTTCCCTAAAATGTCTTACATGTTCATCAAATCCATCAAAGAGAGTGCTGCATGAATGAATCTACTTAAAAGAAGGTATCGTTGTGAGGGAGTGATCGAATATAAAGACAAAATTAAATTGTAGATCATGAAAAGACATTCCAATGTTTGAGGATGAGGTAATATGATAGACAGAAGGTACAGCAAGTACAAGTGTGGAATAAAAGCTAACCTTACAGAATGCCGGAAATACTATCCTCTTGTACGTGATATGTATTTAATGTAATTTATGATGTAAAACAAAGATATAATATCAAAGAATAGTTTTCAAATATACTAAATTCTATTGAAACGGAACGTAATGTACTTGCAGAATTGCAAAATGTCAAAGAAACGTCACATCATATTTTGATTGCCAAAGTGCGGAGTCTTGGGACAGTGATGAGAAATAAATAAATAATTATTAGCTTTTGCGTCCTTGTAAAAACATTGATTTGTGCTTTCCGTTTACCTACGAGATATTGTTCGCTCTTCTGTGAAGTCATATGTAAGTTATTCATTTATATTTCACTTCTTATAGGGCGGTTCGTGAACTTGTCGCTGTTATTGATTTTTCAGAGGATAGTTCTAGAGCAGTTATGGATGTTTTAATTGAATAGGATCTTGGATTTAATGTATTATTGTAATTAATATTAAGGTAATGAGTGTCTTTCAAGGGGTTTTCTATTCGGAATATAAATTTTTGTAGTTAATAGATTTTTAACATAAAGCATTTATGAGGACGAGGCTATTACTAGTTAGACAAAGAAAATATTGAATTGATTGTATTTACGCTTTTGATGAAAATAGTTTCTATTTTATTCAAAAAAATCAGAATTAAAAATGTCTCGTACATTATGTATTATATTTTTTTCCTTCTTCATATGTAATTTCATATTTTGTAGTGGTCAGCACCTCCATATTACTACCGTATTTTGTACTAGATAAAACTTATCAAACTGAAACTTTTATTTTATAACATAATTTTTGTTGTATTAAATAGTTCTTAAAACATGTTGAAAATGTACCTATGTTTTTTTAAAACAAAAACTGCATGTAAGAATTCAACTACAATCTTTAAGATTTAAAAGTAATTCTGGATTTCCCTATTTCACCTTGAAGAGGCATTTACAGATTCACAGGGCTTGAGGTGGCTGAGCGCAAATGGGGCTTAGCCTAAACCTTGTTTAGAGAGTAACTAAGCTTGAGGGCTCTCTCAGGAGCCTCAGCATGAGCTGTTACTTCATTTTTATTACAGGATTGGGAGACCACCGATTTCCCGAGCCATAACACCTTGTATTGCCTGTCATTCTATTTGAAAAAAAAAAGATATGACATGTTATGCAAGTGCTGATAATCATAGTTAACAAAAGCCATAAAATGTATTGATTCTGTGATTTAACCACATTAATCCACATACACCACATCTTGATGTTGTATATTTCTTCGTTGTTCATAATTATATCCAAATTAAGTTTTGGAATATAGAAGACAAACAACTATGAAGTGTATTTTTACAAAAATTTACTGATCGCAGTAAAGTAGACATTACTACCTATAACAGAAGAGTACAAAGACTTTTTCTATTAAAATCAACAATTAACATAACATTAGTGTTCATGTAAGTCACTTGATTGTAATGACATGAACAGTGTTATGACTATTTTTTCCTAGTGTTATAATCAAGGGGTACAAACGCGATGGGTATCGCAGTACCATGGCGCCGCACGCGATTCCAACGTCGTAGGTCAATGTACCATGATATCTAGTCTATAAGGGAAATTCTATCATTTATTTTAATTCCACTATAGTTGGAACTTTTAGGCATTATGCTTAGAGTAATACTTGTTGGGTTCTTTTAACATGAGCTTTTAGGGGTAGCTAAATTACCTGCATAACAATTTATATCTGCCCTACTATTTGTTGAAACAGAGATAGCAATATAATTTGCAACCCAGAGAATTACTAATTTATACATGAATTAACTGGATAGATTGGAACCAAGTTAAATTGGAGTAAAAATGAACTTTGTTTATTTAATCATTAGTAGTTGTTGCTCGCGACCTCGCCCGCGTGAATTAAAAAAATAATTAAAAACGCCCATGTTACAGATAAATTACCTTTCTAATAGTGAAAGAATTTTTGAAATCGGCTTATTAGTTTTTAAGTGAATCGGATATATATAAAAATCCTAAAATACGAATCTTTACCCTTTATAATACCAGTAAAGAAAACAATGTCGCAAGTCTTGCTAATTTCTTAATATCGTTTTATTTCCCTCAACATTTACTCAGTGGCCATTCTAAGACTCCGACATTGTGTACATATGGGGTAACTACATGAGGTCAACGCACTTTGTGAATTACTTTCCGGAACTTCCTTTTAGAAGAGGAAGTGTAATATTACTGTTTCCAGTGTATTTCCCCACATACAGTGCTATGTTGTTTAATATGTGTACATATTCATTTATTTTTGTGAATGCACACTAGTGATTAGTTCCAAATCTACTCAGTGTAATATTCTACTGCTAAAAACCCATATACCATATGGACGGGAATAATATACAAGTGAGTAGCACACTTGCAAGCTAGTAACTGGTACATGTAAGATATAGCTAGTATGATATTTGATTTTGTGACTGCTACATGCAAGTATGTTGAGGGTGGGTCGAGGAGGGACCGAAACTTGACACTTTCGCGTCTCGCAGAAATTTACTGGCATGTGTGCATGCATGGTACTAATGTGGCATGTGCCAGTAGATGGCTATTATCCCGTTTTTGTTACATCAGTTATTTTTAAATGAAAGAGATGAGGGAGATGATTACATAACACATTTTTTGTATGTTTTTGTTCTATCTTTTGATTTGAACTAAGATTATTTTCCGTATTTAATTAGATTATTTGCATTCGTCTCGCGTTACGTCTTGATGTTGTTCAGCGCTTTGTAATTCCGTTCACTTCATTCTCGGGATAGACGTCCGTCTCCGCAAACTTCAATTATTCCAATCTTGATTAATATTTGCTTTGGAATATCAAGACTCTGAGAAACAAAAGTTAAGAAACTGGTAATTTGCTTTTAATATTGTTCAGAGACAATATTTTTTAACTATATGTATGTTAGCAATTTTGTATTTTAGATTAATAAAAAATTAACTCTGTGCTTATTCATTTATAAAGAGAATATAAATTGTTATAATATTTAAATAAACGCTTTTTCAAATTCTTTAAACGCGGAGTCGACAACTGGGGTGATATCCTTTGCGGGTTTGTCGTCGGTTGAAAGCCAGATGGAGCCATTAGCGCCTTCTTTGAACATCTTGAGTACACCTGCAGCAGCCGATTCGACCCTGAAACAACATAAATATATAAGTCCTGTAATATCGTAGCTTCACATGTTTAGTCATTTGCTTCTCATTAGTAACTAAATTAATTAAATAGGAGAACTTCAAAATTAATATATTTTTGTGATACAAAATTGGACCACCCCTTACGTTTTGACAGCGCGGAATTAAAAAAGTAGGCCATAATATGCCTATTCATGTTAGCTTCCCTTCAGTGAAAGTCCCATCGAAATCGGCTCAGCCGTTTCGGAGATTACCCGGAACAAACGCGGCTTGCGGACAAATATACAGACAGACAAAAAATTTTTGAGGCGATTTTTGTTATTAGCCACGCAAATAGATCCCGAAATCTGGAATTTTTCTTTTGATGTTACACACACTCCAATTGTATTATATGCATATAGAATAGATAATAAAGTAATTACTTCTGATGTTTCATCTGAGTGCTGATGGCAACTATTTCCTCAGCTCCCAAATCATCTAGAGTTCTCTCTGTCAGTCCTTGTAGCAGCGCAGTCTCCGTCGCTCCAAAGCAAACTGTCAGAATCCTTACACCAGTTTTCTCAAAGAATGGTGGGCACTGAAACATACAGTTACTTTTTGAGATAAAATTATCAAATAACGCAATAATTTACGTTACAGATTTATCGGTAAACAACTTTTTATCACAAAAGCAGTTGCTCGAAAACAACTTCTTTTATGTTATCTATTATTATTATGCAATCAAAATTATATCAAACGAAACATAAAAACAACGTTGATATTTTTTAAATCGATTAAAAGTTATAGTCATATATGCAGTTATTAGGAAAATAATTGAAGATTGGAACAAGTTTGTATCCTAAGCTTTAATTTAAGTGCCTAACTAGGCACTTTGCAGGTGAAGAAACATAACCATAGACATTCGCAATAACGGATGCGTTGCCTACCCTTAATTGATGGAGAAGGAGAAGCACATAGAGGAAATTTTCCCTTCCTATGCGTCTCCTCGACCGTCAAATCCACTTTTTCTTCCCATCTTTTTCTCTTACGAAAAGAGTGGGAACGGAAAGGGACTAAAATTAGGCTGTGCTCCCGTAACCCTTTACGTTTACTACCGATATTTAAAATAAAATTTGAATAACACTGCTGTAACTTACAGCAAGACTTTGACTGAAGTGAAGAACGGCCATCTTGGATCCATTGTAAATTGCGAGAAAGCGGAACTTGTACAGTGCGGCGATTGATGACACATTTATGATGGTCCCACCGACACCTCCTTCATCTTGTCGCATATGTTTTAGACCCTTTAAGGTACTGGATACAAGACCTTGCTGGAATTGAAAAACAAGTGTCATATTCATGTTTTTAAATAAGAAAAGTTACCATCATTAGTTGGAGATCCTTAGATATATAGAAAATATATTCATTTTCAATTTAACTTACCCAATTGACGTCACAAGCTTTCCTCCACCCAGTTGGACTGTCGACCATTATTCCAGCATTATTCATAACCACATCTAACTGCTTGAAATGTCCAATAACTTTTTCAAAAGCTTCAGTTACTTCTTTCTCGTCACCAACATCGCATTTAATGAATATCACTTTATTAGGATAGGTTTCGTTTAATTGTTTTACTACCTCCTGGCCCACGTCCACTTGCACATCCAGAATAGCAACGGCCTGGAATGTAACAATTATTGTCAGAAAAGTTACTTTAATGTAGCATAAAAAATCAAGCTGATAACTCTTGAATTAAAAGTCACTTTAGTAGGTCGTTTAAATTATTTAAAAGGTCGTTTTGAGATCAAAATATTCAGAATTTTAAATCGATGGTGGCGTAGTTGTGAACTTTAAATTTTTTATTTCATACATGCTTATAGTATTTCGTATATCTTTCTGTTATAAAATCAATGTAGTCGCGTCTTCCTCTATTTGTAGTAATTGTTTCTACATTTTTATTTTTATATTAATTTATTGCTCATATTATATAAATTTCTACCTTTGCTCCTTCTCTGAGAAATGTTTCGACGCAATGCTTCCCTATTCCAGAAGCACCTCCAGTTACTAGGAAAGTTTTTCCCTCCGGCGATATTAAATTATCCATCTTCTTGTACCACAAACTATCGACTGTCTACTTTATTATTAAAATTCTTCTTTTATACACGTGATAAGTTAGTATACGAGATAACGAGGACGTAACTATTTTTTGGTCAAGTCATCACAACTGTATGTTTGTTAATGATTCTAATGTTTGTTTTGGAAACAATTAGTTTGTTTTCTTATCTCCGGCTTTGTTTCTATGGGGGATTAGATTATGAGAACTTTATGTTTTCTGTTCGTATACAAGTAAGAAAGATGCCACACGAGCGATGCGGCTGCGGCAAACGTCCTGACTACAGAAGCGAGTAGCCATGGGTAACTCAAATAAAATTGATGACTTTTAGATCAGTTCACGGTTCGCATGTGTGACGCAGATCAGTGAATCAGCTCGCAGATTGGCTCAATTTGTACCTGTATAGAGGTGTGATTTGATTGAGTTGCGAACACTGGACTGTTCAGTCAGCTCCCATAGTTATAGTACATCGCGTTGAGCCATGCTAATTTAGTTGTTGATTTGCAGCTCAACGGTTCAATGCGATGTGAACTGACCTATTGGACAGGTTCAGAGCTGATTTACACAAGTTTAGAAACGAGTCTGTATTAGCTATGTGTTTACTTATTGTTACCAGCACTTCAATGTACCATGTATGTCGAATCGAATATATCTGATTCATATGTTAAAGCTACATTCAAATGCTAAACATGCGTGTTGGTTCTCATTATCGGGTTGCCTCAGTACTCAGTTGAAAAAAAAAAATTAAACACATCGATTGTTCCACTAATGTCAACGTAGAATAAGTACTGATGATTTATTTTCTTAGCCAATATTAATAATTATGTTTTTGTTGATAAAAAAAACCGATACAATTCTTGTCGTGGCTTATCTTGTGTTCTCTACTGAAAAATAACATTGACTGATTAAATGATATCTATGAAAGTCAAGGCGTCTTGATAGCTGTTTGGTCGTGTTTGTTAAAAATCAATATTTTATTTATTTTTTGAAATCTCTTAATAAAGTAATAAAATATATATGTATGAAGTCTAGAAATGGCTCTTGTCCTATCAACCAATAAAGCACACAAGCAAGTCTCCATAAGATTGTGTAGATCTCGACCTATATCCGCACATAGGTTGCAGTCGTCAGCTCTACTCTCAGGCATTCAACGACACCCTCAACGTGCCTCGACTTACGAATTATATGCTCTTTTTTAACGTTTAATATAAGCCAAGGTATAAGAATAATAATTACATCGTGTGTTAACTTTTCAAGTAATTACAAATATTCGCATGGTTTATTTGATGAAAGTTTAAGTTCGCAAATGTTAGAAAAATATGTATTTATATCATCATCTCCCCTGCCTTATCCTACTCCCGTAGGGTCGGCGCGCCAGGTTTTCGTCCTCCAAAGCACTCTATCATCCGTCATCTCAGTTATTACTCCCTTCTTGATCATGTCACCTTTCACCCAATCCACTTATTCTTTTTAGGTCTACCTCTAAAAATATGTATTTATGTATGCTATAGTAATATTATTTTTGTTACAGATGGTATATGGCCAATAGATAGGTCTTCATAAGACAAGGTAAGTAATTACTTGTGTTTATATAATTCCTCTAATAAAAGTTATCTGAACAATGAAACTTTTTAAAATTCATACCCGGATTCCGAAAGTCTGAACAGAAATAATGAATATCGCAACATTAATCCCTTTTCGGACAAAAATGGCTTCTCCTAATTGGCTTCGTGTTACGAAACAAAATTGACTTATTTTCCCCTAAAATAACATGATATCCATGTAAACATCACACACCTTCACATTTGTTCAACTTAATATCTGTTATTTGATCACTATAACATGTTCTGTGTACTGTAGTTTAGTTCTAATCAGGCTAAGATACGTACAGTAGGGGAAACTCCCGGTGTGCCACTTTAGGAAAAATTGCCTTATTGATTGCTAGACTAACTTCGCCTCTTCCTACAAATAACTAATTAAATAGCAGTAGTTGCAAATGCCTTTATTTAAAATAATAATATCATATAAGCTGCGTTGTATTGGTTTTTCTTCCGCGTCTCGTTTCCAAATGTTCAATTGTTTGTAGCTTTCAATGTATCGTCAGTTTCCCCGATTGTACATTAGTTGGCGACAAAGTTATAAACATGTTTTTGTTTTGAGAAAAAGAACAATGATATATTCCGAAAAAAAAAAAACGAAAATCTAACTGTAAATATGAAGTAACGGAGCTATGAAGTTTTAGAATTATTGCCCTAATTATCGTTGTGAGATTGTGGCCGAGATTATGCAATAAAAGTATAAACATAGATAACACAATACTATAACTAACTTTTGTTTAAGGTTTGAATAAGGTTATTAGTTACTTGGTATTTCGTCAATGAAAATAACTTAAATAAATTGATGTAACTCTGAATTGGCTTAGGATTGAGGTAATCATATAAAACTGTACAATATTTTTTACAAACACCATTAATCGTTTTTCGATTTTTTTAAATTTACTTTTTCAAATTATTTAACTCCTGTGATAATATCCGAACGTTCTTATAAGACACGTCCCCTATTTCTCCATAAAGTTGAGAAAATGGTCTAAATTTGTCTCGATCGCGACGTCACGCGTCCTACGAGGTGAGGGGAGCACTTTAATAAAACATGTTATAAATTGCAGAGACGTATCGCTCAGTTATGCTATATTTTTTGTACGAGCATATAAAAGAAGGGAATCGTATATACTTGGCAACGTTTTACGTTCGCTCCTTAGAGAAATGCCACACGGATGACTGAGCTGTTGTCGCATCCTCCGTGTGGGATATCTTTATTAAGAGTTATTAATATGGACCATGATAATTTAAAATGCTCCTAAAAATCTTAATCTCGAACAACATAAGAAAGAATGTATCATCCTGAATAGTCCTAGAAGATTTTTTTCGTTGTTTTCATGTCGTCGTTATAATCATATGTAGAAAGTCTATGAATCTTTAATGTGCCAGCGTAGATTAATTAATGCGATGTTGTAAACCATTACTGTGTTAAAAATTCATTACCGTAATGGAAGATGTTAAAAGGTTGCGTAAAAGGGTTTTATGTCCGTGTATATGATTCAACATTTGTTAGCTAAAGATAGCTGAGTAACTTACGACGAAACTAAGATTTTTATGTTATCTTCAATGTATATAACGGGATTACAAAGAGCATGTAAATTAATTTCGTAGTATATATAAGAAACAAGTTTCTCGAAAGTGGAATAAGATCCGGGTTATATATAAAATTTTTATGCATATAATTTTATTAATATGAAAAATGTTTTCATACAGAATAGATCTTTTTAGCTTGTTTATCAAACTAGACGCAATTGTTACTGCGAGAGCTGAAAGTCTCGTCAGCTTGGCGCCGTCATACCGTGTGTCATATATAGCTTAGTCATCTTACTAATATTATAAATGCGAAAATTTAGATGGATGGATGTTTGTTAGTTTGTAGCGTAAACAGCAGAACCGATCTTTATTATATTTGACATAGATGTAGAGGATAGTCTGGAAGAACACATAGGCTATTTACTTTTGTATTTTTTAATTCCACGCGGATGGAGTCGCGGGCAAAAGCTAGTATTTTATAATAGCTCTGAAACATTATAGGACAAATGAGCAAAGTAATGGTAGTAATTGAACGTCTTTAAGAATCATAACACGTGCGAACACATTGTTTAATGAACAGATACTAGCCGTTTTCTTTCTTCTATACTTATACTTATCTTATCTTATCTATACTATTATAATAAAGCGTAAACACACACTTCTTTGTTGCCTAAGATGTCAGCAAGAGAATTATTTAATAATATGCTGCATATTATTGAATAATTCTCTTTTTATTAAAAAGCCGTACACTTACGTCACGCTTTAGACTACATATTTTCACGCAATTAAACTTAGGGGGTTAATATTTTGGATAAAACCACTAATGTGGGAAAGAGACCATAAGTTACTGCCAACATCAAGGAAGCAAGATTGCCAAGGTTTGTCGTCGTCATGTCATTTTGACATTCGCTATTGATAATTTGACAAATGTAAATAATAAAATAAAATTTTCATAACTTCATGCGGATGAAGGCGCCCGGGAACAGTTAGTTTTTTTTATAAGAGAACGTGTATGGGCTGCAGGTGACCACTGATGCTCATGGCCAGCTGTAATACTAGAGAAACTAAAGATATGTTGACGGATTTAAAAAAGTACGCTCGTTTTTGAAGGATCCTAAGTCGTACTGGTTTGGAAATATCGCTGAGGATAGACCATGTGTAATGCGTTTATGCTGAAAGTTACGGGAAAACTATACTTTTGTGGAATACCAGTCATCCAGGTGATGTGGCACCTTGCGGTCTAAACTGCCTTGCTTATTTTACCTTGCTATTACGTTTAATTTTATAATAAACTATTATACTGTGGAAGGTTTTTTTAAGCTTGGTATACAATAAATACATTGTAATCGCATACTTAGTAGAATATTTTCTGTTAGAGGGTCACCTAAATACGGCGAAAATTAGGTCAGTGGGTCAAGGAATAAGGATAATGGAGATGGGTTGCATCGGGTTTGATGCTGCAGTAATATGTGCGAAATTTTATATTTATACAAATAATACAATACATTTAAGAGATAACGTCTGGAATAATATGTAACTCACAATGGACTGCATTTGTACCAAGAGTTTACTCCGAATAGAGTTGTTTTTGTCTGTCTATATTTTTAATGTCTGTCTATATTTTTAATGTCTGTCTAGGTTATGTCACCCTACCTATGTGTTTATACTTATGTGTAAAGGGGCTAGCTGAAAACCAGCGCAGTAACGGCCTGCGCCGTCTCTTCATTAGTTGAGCTTGCCACCTTTTGCCACATTTCTCTTTTTTTACACTAGATGTAAGGTTTTGTGTATTAAATGTCTTATGTAGTTTTTTTGTGGCAATAAAAAAATTCTATTTATTTATTTGTCATTACAATAAAATTATTTAATTCACAATTTTAAAATCTTAACATTATAAAAGGCATCATTTTTTTTAATTTTTACGAAAGTACGCTTAATATAGACTAGTTGTTCCTGTGCGGCTTCATCCGCATGAAATTAAGAATATTTTATTTTATTGCTTACATTTGTCAAATTATCAGCAGCAAATGTCAAAATGACATGACAATTACAAAACTTGGCAATCTTGCTTCCTTGAAGTTGGCAGCAACTTATGGTCTCTCTCCCACTTTCTTTAGAGGGTTTTTATCCAAAATATTTACCCCCTAAGTTTAATGGCGTAAAAATATATAACCTAAGGCGTGACGGGTAAGTGTAGGGCTTTTCATTAATGAAAGTGTTATTAAAACTATGCTGTAATTGCTGATATCTTAGGCAACAAAGAAGTGTGTGTTTACGCTTTATTATAATAGTATAGATATCTACGTATAAGTCTGAAAGTCGTTTAAGTGAGTGAGTGGGCGTCAGTAGGGGAGCGTGGGAGGTCTCGGTTGACGCATTCTCTTGCCAATCCGTTTATGTTTGTCCCGTTCCAGAAAATTAAACTCTGTTTATATTTAAGAATGACTCGCTCTTGCCCTAGGTCATCCTATCGATTGCTTTATGAATTTCTACACGAATGTTCTTTTATTGTGAATATGTGGATTTCATTATTTAGTTTTGATTTTATAAAGTTGTCTTGCGATCTTAAAAGTTGTGTTTTGTTTCTAAACTATTTAGTATATTTTCAGTCTTCATTTGGTATGTGAGAGAATGGTTCGTAAAATCTCAAGTGAGATAAAAGTAATGAAATGATTTAGGGATTTGCCGACCGCCGATTTGTTGTCAATATTTACTTAATAATAAGGTTGAAAGTTTTTATAATTTTAATAGTTAAAGTAATCTACTATGAGTTAGTACGTAGCTTCTATTCGAAGTAAATTAAACTTTATAAGATTTAATTATTTTCACAATGTTGGGGTAGCCCATATTTGTGCGACAAATGGTACGGGTAATTTCAGTAATAGTTTGAATTGCGTGTTTCTAAAGTTGGGGAGTGGAATAAATGATGGCGTACGTTGATTGGCCGCGGGGCCCGACGAGCCGGCGCCTAGTTCCGTACGAGCCGCAACTAAGGGTCGCTTAAGTTGCATTAGTAAGTAGTTTTATGCAGGGGTTTGCTTATTGTTGCGAACTGTGTATACTAAGCGCCTGTGGAAATATAATAGCAAAATAGAAATTTTTTAAAATCTGCCTACTCATTTAGCTTACGTTTTATAATTATTTTTATTAGCTTTTTCTGAGTCACAGTGATAAGGAATGTGATATAACAGTATCTGATATGTTAGGTACATAGCATTTATTGATGATTCATAATAACTTATGAATCAACGTCCTCCTTGAATCGCATGTAACAAGTTGGACGTTAGTTATGAATGTGAAGGGGTACACCGGTAGAGGTAGACCTAGGAGGAGATGGATGGATTGCATGAAAGGTGGCATGATCAAGAAGGGAGTGATGATTGAGATGACGGATGATAGTTACTTGGAGGATGAAAACCTGGTGCGCTGACTCTACGGGAGTAGGATAAGGCAGGGGAGATGATAATGATTCAATAACTGATAAACATATTTTCATTTCGTTGTGAATTCGGTATGTTGTATCTGTTCTTTGATCTGATGGATGGTGGTGTGGAGGAGTGGGGGGGGGGATATTAAATATGTACGAAGCGTCGACTGAAACGCGCCATCAGTAGCAAACGGGAATTATTGAATCGAACTGTTACTTGTTTATCGAGAATTTATACCTGATAGAGTAGACGATGAAAACTTTATTTCTAAATACGGCTTTACCTCTACAAGTTTTACCTTTTAACATAATTTTACTTAAAATTAATGAATATCTTGAAATGTTATTAAGACCAGTACCAGTATCACAGTAGATTGTGCATCAAATTTGCACAAAAACAGATAAAATTGTTCAATTACTTTTTTGTTTAAACTGGTTATTAGACCCTGCGTAGTTTTCATAGACATATGTATTATGTTTTTATATCAGAGGTAATTGAAATACAGAAACCTATAGTCTGTATTAATGTTATTGAAGTATTACTACTAGTGTTTTACCAGACCATGCCTGGCATAGAGTATAGAATAGAAGGAAGGCAGACCGTAGGGGCATCGACCGACTTGCCTACATATTTCACTCGTATCGTCATGTGCTGAAGTACATAAACAAAGGCAACGTAGCGTCCGGGGACGTGTTTGCTCCACGTCTAGTGTTTGATCCGTAAGAGAAATAAAGTTGCAAGTCTCGGTAAATTTTCTCAGCTTCAATTTTCCGGGTTCTCTGAAAATGTTGCTACATGCTAGCAGTTTCAAATGTACAAATTTTATCTATGTGTTCCATTTTTCATTTACTTCCATTGCTCTTGAAAACATATTTTCAGCTACCTGATACGTAATATAAAAAAAAACATATTTTGTGAATATATTTTATTGGCGTTGATTAGAAAGAAAGACATATTTTTAAATTCTTATCTGTCTGTCTAGAATGCTCCATTTGATTCGCGCAGTCTTTGAAACCACTGGCCCAATTTGACGAAAATTTGATGGGAAAGTAGGTGTTTCCGTAGTAGTCATAGGCTACTTTACGCAGGTGAACGCTAGTTTGATATAAACAAGCATATATTAATATTTCAGTTTATGTAATCTTTTGCATGATGCGATCTTTGACACACAATATTCTAGAGTTTTTTTTACAAAAGAAATTACTCGAAGTCAAAATGTTCTTATAAAGAGAATACGTTTCTTATTCAGACGTGTTACCAGTTCACAAGAGACAGATTAAACGAAGATATATAATTGTACGCACCATAAATTTTTTGCCTCTAGGGAGTTGTTCAAGCTTACGAATATTGTGCGTCACGCAATCAAATAAACATACAAAATATTGCCGACTTGTTACTTGTAAACATAAAGCTTTGCTTTTTAATGTGTTTTCTATACTATTATAATAAAGCGTAAACACACACTTCTTTGTTGCCTAAGATGTCAGCTATTCCAAAATATTTTTGAATAATTCTTTTTAATAAAAAGCCCTACACTTGCGTCACACTTTAGGCTATATATTTTCACGCCATTAAGCTTAGGGGGTAAATATTTTGGATAAAAAGCCTTATGTGGGACAGAGACCATAAGTTGCTACCAACATCAAAAAACGAGATTGTCAAGGTTTGTCATGACATGTCATTTTGACATTTGCTATTGATGATTTGACAAATGTAAACAATAAAATAAAATTTTCATAATTTCATGGATGAAGCCGCAGGGGAACAGCTAGTTTTTGTAATAAAAAGAATACCAAAAATCAATATAGTTTTGTTAGGTTGTTGTTGATTATTGAATGATGAAAGTATTTACGAGTATAAGCATGGTTGTAAGTTTAAATGTGAATAACTTCATACAAGTGGGTTTAGTGCCAAGTACGAATAAGTAACTCGACTTGAAAGTTGTGGATTCAAGCCAAATTCGTTTAATATCTACTAGACTTATATTTTCACTGAAGTAAATTGTAAGGAAGTCGGTTGAACTTCGAACAACCGATCGCTTGTTATCGATTTGACTAGTGTTTTAACTTTCTACTTAAAAAGCTTAGCTTTTAAGTATGTTAAGATAGTAAGTAAGTTAAGTTTAGGAGAAAAAAGAGTTTTTTTCTGGTTAATAATGAGGTTCAATTTTCAAAAATTTCATGTTACATATTGGTTTTTGAGGAGTAGTGTAAAAGTCTCCTTTCTTTATTAATCAATCATAGATTTTATCTTTGGTAAGACAAAACGTCGTCATATAATACAGGATAACACACTGGGAGGAGACAATCGCTATTTAAATTACCCTACATTGTTCTACATTTATATTCATAGCTTGCGTTCATGTTATAAGAACAGGCTTGTGAAAAATTCAATTTATTGCCTTCATATAGGTAAAATCAGCCTTAACTCAATACAGAAGTTACCCCGACGTATATACAATTTTATGACGTCAGTAACGTAATTTTATAACATCCAATAAAATCACTGTTTCAGAAACAAAAGAGCTTTTAACGTATTCAGGACGCTCGCAATGTTTGAAGACTTTGTTATTTAGATTTGAAGTTATATACTTTTTATTCCTGCTGCGTATTTTTGTAAATAATACAGATTTTCATTTCGTACGTTGTTGCCTTTTACATATACAAATATCGCTATAAAAAACAATTGGAATGAACAAAATGGGTTCTACAGTGGAAATGCACTTTTATGTTTAAGAAAATCTTAGCAGTAAACTTTTCAGTCACTACCATAAGCAGTGTTTTAAATATATTTTCTCTTAGACTAGAGCCCGGATCGGATATTTGTAGCTGAAAGAAATGCGGTAAAACATAATCACGTGTAAGTTTATAACATGAATCAGCAGCGACCTGAGTTAAACACGTCCTTAACTAAATATTGTCTAATTATATTTATGAGGGAGTGCAGTTATAGTTACTGCAAAACAACCTTCAACCTTCAGACACCCTTCAGGATAATATTTGTTCAAATGTTAAGTGACAGTTTGACAATGGATGTGAGATTTGTGAGATCCTTATCAACAAAACGTTATGCGGGTGTTAATGAAAATAATGATTCGGCCTTTGATATTGTTCCCGTATTTGTGGTTATCCGATGATTGAAGCTTCATTCTCTTTATTTTTTCATTAGCTCTTTGAAAAGCAAAAGTTGTCGTCCATTTTATACTATTTGAATAAATAGAGATAGCAAGCTTTTTTTGCGCAAATAAATGACATTTGGAATTTATTTTAAGCTCTATAAAATGTAGTCTGAAAGCTTTTACGGTAAGAGGGTTTCGCGTGAATTACCTGTAGTTTATTAAATTATTTTGTAACTATAATAGTAAGCTAGTTTCCGGCTGTAGGTTAATTGTTTTAACAACCACTTAAAGCATAGTGGAGAATAATATGAGATTGATAAAAAATTTTAGATCAAAGTGTAACTTTGAATACCTTGCTCTATTTGTCTTAACATAAATTACCCTTTGAATTACCATTTTAAAAATTTGTAACATAGAAAGTTCGGGAGTATTCGTGACATTTTCAGCTGACGCCATATTTGTAAACTAATCTATCGCTTCAAAACAATGTCTAGGTTTAATGCGGCCAACCAATCGCATGCGAGTCGTAGACGGGCGCGCAAGCGTATACGGGCGTGCGCGGATCGATACGTGACGTCACGCCAACAGACCAATGGCGGACGTCGTTTCCCAATCGATGTGAACGATTCATGTTTCACAATAAATGCTCTTTTTTCACTTTGAAATTCAAAGACAAAGTATACGTTTAATATGTACATTTTTGTAAATGAATACTAAATGCAAGTTCAATCTTTAGGAATAATTAAAATCAAAACAAAATGAATGAACAAAATGGGTCTGTTGAAATCGCGATAAAATTTGCGATATAATTTATTATGATAACAGTAACTGATTATATAGATTGTACTAGAACTTTGGACTTGTAATTGGAAAGTAATCTTTGTTGATTTTTATAAAAGTATATGCTCTTCAAATTGTAATAAAAGTTGGTCCATTTATTTTCATATAAAGAACTTTCATGTTATGCAATGCCAGACATCAAGAGACGTTTTATGAATATATTTGTTTTCATGAATGCTAATGCATTGTATAATTTCAGTTGTGGCCCTTTGATGCCGAGAGAAATTGGACTAATCCTTACGAAAGTGACAAACTATTCGTGTATAGTTTTATAAATATAAATAGATTAAGGAAAGAGTGGTGTAGGTTTGTGCGGTTTTGGGATGTTTCATTACGATAGTCAAGAGTAAGGATTTTAGTGTTTTCCAAAAAAATAATTAAAATTAGTATTTTTGCATATTTCTTATATAATAACCATATTCTTTTTACTAATATGTATCTTACTTCTTACTAATATTATAAATGCGAAAGTTTTGACGGATAAGTGTTTGTTAGAATTTGTAGCGTAAAACGGAATGGATCTATATGAAATTTAAATTGATATAGAGGGTAGTATGGAAGAAAACAAAGGATGTTTTTGTTTTTATTTTATTCCACGCGGACAGAGACGCGGGCGAAAGCTAGTTTAAAAAAGTTAGTTTTTCTAATTCATCAAAGTATTTGTTAATCTGCGGTGTCAGTTCGTGTGGTGGTCGGTCGTGAGTGGAGAGCCAGATCGATCCGTTATTGCCGTCCTTTAATAGCTTCAACATTGTGATCACCGCGGACTCCACACTGAAATTTTAAGATGCTCGTTAAAAGGTAACATGGTGGTAAGCCAATTTGGCTTTTAAGTTAAAGATCTTTGTATGAAATATTTGCCTAGGGTCACTGTTAATTCTGGGATTCACTGTCAGATTAATTTCGAGGATGGATCATGTAACATATCTCTGCTTGTCTTAATCTGTAAGAGTTATAAGTAGGGAAGTATAGAAGCGGTATAAAATTATTTGCAACCCGAAGAATGAAATTAGAAAGACGATCAGTTTAAAGAGTTACCGATGAGAGAAATAGGAAAGTAAGAAAACAGAATAATGATTACATTGTATAGAAGTGACTATGCAATTTTCCATAGTAAACATATCTACATACCTTTGTATGTGTACTTTGCCGAACATTTCTTCCATCATTTGACTGTTTTTCATATCAACGACTTTTTTCGCGAGGCCTTGAACCAGTTTGGTAGCGGTGGCTCCCGGGCACAGTACCATCACTCTTATGCCTGTGTCGTCGAAGAACGGTGGCAACTGAAATGTTAGAATTTATCTTTTATTTTTCTTACTCATCAATAATCTGTCTATACTAATATTATAAGGAGGTAAGATTTGTATTTTTGTATGTATGGAAATAACTAAAAAACTAGTGGATCGATTTTAAAAATTCTTTCACCATTCAAAGTTACGTTATCAATGAACATGGGTATGTTTTTAATGTTTTTTAAATATTAAAATTTACAAAATGTTTTTATTATTTTTGTCCGACTTCCCAAAAAGAAGGAGGTACTCAATTCGTCTGTATCTTATTTTTATTTTTTTTTATGTGTATTATTGTAATAAACACTTACAGCTAAATTTTGTGAGAAGTGAATAACAGCTGCTTTACATCCGCTGTAAATAGGGAAGGTGTTTATTCTAGTCAATCCAGCAGTAGAGGCTATGTTGACTATGACACCGCCAGCGCCTCCTTCGTCCTTCCTCATGTGCTTTACTGCTTTCATTGTGAACGACACTAGTCCTTGCTGAAATGTTTATTTCTATAAATCACCGGGATATAAAGGTAGAGGAAAAAGAGAGGGACAGTGATTAAAGAGATTTTGATCTAAAATGTATATCGCTTCTTTTAAAAAAACATATGCAGGAAAGAAAAGATAAATTGGCATTCTAAGAGCGAATATGATTTGCAAACTAAAGGTTTTATAACTGTTTTTGTTAAATTAAAATCTAATAGGCTGATGCAACATTTCCCTCAAATTATCAAAACATGCCATAATTCCAAAAGTTATATGATTAGTTAAGAACCAAAAAGAGATAAAAATATTGTGTTTGCTAGTTTGTACTTTGATCAAGTACAGTCAGCTAAATAAATATGTAGTTATACATTCACAAAGCTTTAGAAGCATAAGCCTTAAGTATCAAAAATATGTCATACATGTACTTATCATATGTGTCTCTATAATTTCTATTTTGGATACATAATTTGATGAATAAGTGCAAACTTTTTTTTGAAACCGAACGCCTATACATGTTTTGTAAATGTATACATACTTATGCAGCTGAATGTACTTCATTAGGTTGATAATAATGTCTTGTAAATGTTTATAGGTAAATTAAAAGTACACATTGCATTCACTTCCCATTTAGGAAAGAATATCGTACAGAAAACTGTTTCTTAGAGATATAACTACGGATTTGTGTTACTGTGACTCCTCTTTTTGCTATCTGAGTATGATATTTCACCAAAATGGGTATGAGATAAATGTATTAAACGTATATATGTTTTTATAATAATTCAGTTTCTTACATAATTAACATCACTTGCTAATCTCCATGTTGTTTCCAAGTCACTCATGATACCTGCGTTGTTTATCAAAACGTCAATATTTCCAAATTCTTTAACCACAATATTAAAGCAATGGTCAATCTCTGGTTCTTTGCTGACATCGCATTTGACAAATATAACTGAATTGTTATACGTTTCGTTTAATTGAGCGACTAATTCTTGTCCAGCTTGTTCATCAATATCAACAACTGCTACTTTCTGAAACAAATGTTATGGTTGTAGAAGTATTAACACATGGTATATACAAATCAAAATAGAAACAATATTTTTATTAGATTATTTTCTCCTTTTTTATCTCATTGTCACCCTGCAGTGGCATAATATTATGCGGAGAGATGATGAAAGGTGGAGTAAGATCGAAGTAACTACAGATGGTTTGTGTGAAAGAGAATATTCGTAAGAAATGAACGAATACAACATAATACGGCTGATATAGAGATGTATGGAAAAGATTAGGATCAAACATGGCGGATCTAGTACACTTAATGGGCATCAGTTATTTCCGTATAGAAGTAAAAAAGCTAAATAAAAGGAATATTAATTTTAGAGGTGTGGATTGAGTAGTATGGTTCGATGAGATATACCTAGAAATGGGTTTCCAGGATGATAGTAAAAAATGGCATCGAAAAAGGTGTAATTGTAATGTTATATGTCATGTTCTAACTTATTTGTGAGAACGGAAATTTAACATGCAAACAATGTTTTGCAAATCATGATGAGACCGGTTTTTTAAAAGCGCCTTTGTACTTAGAGTTATCGAAGGTTAATCCGTTCTTGAATTTGTAACTTATTAGCTGATTCACTTTTTGGCACCGTCTAGTTATTTTTTTTAAATTAAGCTGTAAACTATTTTAAATTAGGATACATTGTGATTGTTGAATATGATGATGTAACCTGATGATTTAAAATTTTGTACATATTGAAAACGAGTGAAAATCCTTGTAAATTACCTTTGCACCTTCTTTTAATAAAGCTTCAACATATGCTGCGCCTAATCCTGCAGCAGCACCGGTGATTAGACAGTTTTTATTTTTCGCGTCCCACTGAGCGGCCATCTTTGTTTAGTCCGTGTTGTACCGATCAAACTTCATAAAATGACTAAACAATTTTTAAATTTGGTTAGTATTTATAGTAATCCGAAGCATATTTGTTGTAAAAATAGATTAGATAAATGATTTGACAATATTTATATTTGTGCGTGTGTCTGCGGCCATAGCAGTACAAAAACATGTTTGTTGTCTTTATTTTTTCAAATAATGACTGGGACATTATAAGCGTGGATAAAATAGGTTAAATTACTCCCGCACACGCTACCTTCAAGTAAATGACCTGTCAAAATTGGTCCAGTCGAATCGGAGATTTCCAAGGATTTGCGAACAGACAAGATTTTTAAAGTTGGAACTTCCGTTTTCTATTAAAACTAGATAACGATAAAGAACGTAATTAGGAATACAGATATAAAACCATTTTTACCCCAAAAATTGGCTCCAGGCATCATTTTTTTGGGGGTAAAATTACTACAAAAGTACTAATAAAGTTTTTAAACGTAATAATAAACTTTGGTTTTAAAAATGATGGTGTTTTTTTTAGTAAACCGTGTATTTTCGTTTGGGTGACAATTTGCTCTTGTATACAATTGCGTTACTACACACAAATTGACACTCCTAGAATTATCGTATCCTAATCCTTGCATCAGATGTGATAAAAAAAAGATATTCGTGATGTGAATAATTTTCGGCGTAGGACAAAGTACAAAATTAGTCATCGTTACATTTATTAAAAATCGTTTATCTAAAAAATTTAATATGTGATTAGTTATGATTAACAAGCGAGGTTCGATATAAAAATATATAGTTTATTAAACACTAGCTGTTCCCTTGCGGCTTTATCCGCATGAAATTATGAAAATTTTATATTGTTTACGTTTGTCAAATTATCAATTGCAAATGTCAAAATGACATGACATGACAAACCTTGGCTTCCTTGATATTGGCAACAACATATGATCTCTTTCCCACATTAGGGTTTTTATCTAAAATATTTACCCCCTAAGTTTAATGGCGTAAAAATATATAGCCTAAAGCGTGAAGTAAGTGTAGGGTTTTTTATTAAAAACGAATTATTCAAAAATATGCTGTAATTGCTGACATCTTAGGCAACAAAGAAGTGTGTGTTTACACTTTATTATAATAGTATAGATAAACTATATATTTTATATCTGAATGTCTTTTCTTGCGAAAGTACATTTCGCGTTTAAAGCGGAGTAACACAGCAAGGTTAGTTAAAATGATATATAATAAAAACGTAATATTTATTTAAACATAAAACAAAAGGTATACATTTACAAAATTTAAATTAATAAAAAAAATTTGGAAGATTGTTACGTGATTTTTTTTGGTCAAATTCAAAAGTAAAAATATTAAAATATAAAAAAATCAAGGAAGCGTTAACTTTTCCAGTTCATTCAAGTATTTGTTGATTTGGGGCGTCAGTTCTAGGGCTGGCTTGTCGTTAGCGGAGAGCCAGATGGAGCCATTGTCGCCGTCTTTTAGCAGCTTCATCATGGCGGCCACTGCAGACTCAATTCTGGAAATAATAAAAACCCGATTATATACAAAAGGCAGATTTTACAGATTCCAGCTAATTTCATTTTTTTCTGGTATAAAGTGATAATCGTCCGATAAATTGTATTGTATGAAATGTGTAAAAATTTGCAGTTAGTCTAAAATATTCGGGCTTCGTATGTTGAAGATTGACCCACCCAACAAAGAGTCAGTTTAAGAGATCTTTAGAGAAATATCCCTATTTTTAAACCTTCTCTAGCAATTTCACGCCCTGGAGATTTCCAGGATGTGGAATTTCCAATAAATCTCTGAATGAAAAATACTTTTTTATCCTCGTTGAACTTTAAAAAGTACGTAAACATTTTTTGGTACTTCGTTTTATATTTTGAGTGTCTAATTTTCTAAACATATCAAAGAATAAAAGAAATCATGTAAATGAACCGATAACTAATAAAAAACTAACCTTTGTATGATAACACCATCCAATTGTAGCTGTTTCATAGTAGTCGTTTCAACAATTCTTTGGTCCATACCCTCCATCAGCTTGGTAGCGGTGGGCCCCGGGCACAGTGTGAGCACTCTTATACCCGTATTATCGTAGAATGGCGCACTCTGAAATTTGAATTACGAATTAGGGATATGCATACTACGACATACTATTAAATGAACATAGAACTAAACATGCATTTATTTGTGAATTTATTTAAATCAAATAATTTTTATTACTGGAGATTGACAGCTAAACATTAATATCAATCGGCACTATCACGCAGATTAAAAAATACTAAAGTAACAGGCGCTTTTTAATACTTCTTTGAAAGGTATATAACCATTCTTAAAGGAGCATAACAAAAAGTTAAATCTATAATTCTTATATTATTTTCTCTTGGATGCCCCAAGGAAAATTAAAGTAATTTCACTTTTAATATATTACTTTTAAGTTTTTTTTAAATTTTTATTTTCAACTTCTACAGACTCTTGGTCCGTACTCTTTTTTGCATAGTTTGTCCTATTTTTTTTTGTTGCATAATCCGTATGTCATTAGTGAGTTCCCTTTTTTTATATACAATTATACTACTGCTTTTACTTATACTAGCGCGACAGTTGTCAGTGGCGACGGATGTATCTTTGAACCGAGTCTATGTAATTTTAAGTTTTAGTACATACCGCAAGACTTTGGCTGAAATGCAAGACGGCACCTTTGCTTCCGCAATAAATTGGCAAGAAGTTAAGTTTACATATTCCAGCAGTAGAGGATATGTTGACTATGGTACCACCAGCACCACCTTCGTCCTTCCTCATGTGCTTCACTGCTTTCATTGTAAATGACACCAATCCTTGCTGAAATAATCAATAATTGAAACATTTAGTCACCAACCAAGACAGAGCGAGCTGGCGGCGTACTGTGGACGCCCTCTGTCCCACTTTGGGGACATAGGAATGGAAGAGAGAGAGAGAGAAACATTTAGTCGTAGATTCATTTGTTAAGGAAAGTCTAAATTAAGTGATTGCTTCCATCAACCTAAATGCAAATTTTATTTTGATTTTACCAAACTTGATGAAATTGTAAACGCCATACAGAATACAGACTTTCATTTAATCAGAACACAAACACGTTCTGGATGATGGGGATATTTAGTGCATATTACAACCGTTTGTTTTAATGTTGGCTTGACAGTCCACGCCTATCAAACTATCAGCCGATGAAAAGTTTGTTATCAGCGGTAACCTTGATGTAATAACTAAATCGTTTAAAGTGTAGAGGGAGAAAGTTCTCCAATACAGTCGAATACACGGATATATTATAAGAGATATAGTCGTTTTAAAACACAAATAATAAACAATCATAGTAATCAATTGTCGTAATCACATTATATCATCTATATGTGTGTTAATTAACAAAAAAATCACGCGTCTTTAAAGTGTGCAAATTTAAAATGAATTCCTACGATAAGGTTATCGATTTCCGACTATCAATTTCACTATGTGTCAATTTTTTCACACATTTTTAGCATCTGTTTACTTTTATTCAGATTTATAAGCAGGGGTTCCACTGTAATGTTCTTAAGATACGGTTTTCATACAACAATTAGGTTGTTTTATCTCGCGATATTTCGGAACAGTTGCATGTGCCATGTTCACGGGCTGACTGAAATGATGCGGTAAGAAACCCGTATCTTATAGATATATTTGTAAAAACTACGATGCTTTAAAGGGGTTTTATGCGTAACTATTTTTAACATGCCAAACCCTGTTCATGTTTTGTAACCTATAGCCGTTTAGTTTCGCTTTGATTTCTATGAGCTTAAATGGAGGTGGCACACAACTCGATTTATGGTCGTGCAACTAAACAGTTAAATTGGCTGCGAAACAATCGACAATCAACACAACAGTTGTGCGATAGTTTAGTCAAAGGTGTGCGCCCACTCTAATGTTGATTTAATTGTCTTACCCAGTTGACATCAGATGCTAATCTCCACAAAGAGTCGGTGTCACTCATAATCCCTGCGTTGTTTATCAAAACATCTATCCTTTGAAATTGATTGAGAACAGTTTTAAAACTATTATCTATATCTGCTTCTTTGCTGACATCACATCTTATAAAGATAGCTTTATTGTTGTACGTCTCGTTTAACTTTGCGACGAAATTCTGTCCGGTCTTTTCATCAATATCTAATACAGCGATATTCTGAAATGAAATAAAATATTGTAAAATTAACTTTAAGCTCGAACAAACCCTACCATATGTAAATACGAAATTAATTCAAAATGTAAAAAAAAAAACACAGCCCATATGAGCTCTATAATACTTAAATGAAGGATACTCGAATGGCAGTGGACTTGTTAAAAATGCTATGTCGTATATGCTACCTGTGGTAGTGCCCGCTTTAACATCTTAGCACTGAAGGGCCGGCACGCCCGGTGTAATACCACGACCACACAGAAGACAGGCGTGAAATGGAAGCAATTCCGTGTTTCGTCTGATGAGAGTGGTGCCGGAGGCCTAATTTAAGTCCCTTTCTCTTTACCTCCCTTTTCTTATAAGGAGAGGTTGAAAAGGGGAAGTGGATTTGACAGTGGAGGAGATGCATAGGAAAGGATAATATCCTCTTTTTGTGCGTCTCCTTCTCCGTCGTATAAGGGTAGGCAACGCATCTGCAATTGCGGATGTCTATGGGCAGCGGTCGCTCCGCCATTTTGGCGGATTCAAGTGGCCGCTTGCTCGTTTGCCACCTTTTGTTATATAAAAAAAAATGCTACAGGTGGTCACAATAGAAGTCACATGTAAACACGCATACATAAAAAAAGAATTATCAAAATCGGTCCACTAGCGGCGGAGTTATGCCGTAACACACATAAAAAAAAGAAAAAAAATACAGACGAATTGAGTACCTTCGAAAAAAACTTACAGTCCTGAAGTAGTCGAATAATGAACAAGCTCAATCAAAATACTTAATCACAAATACCTGTGCTCCATCTCTTAATAAAGCTTGTGCATACGCAGCGCCAAGGCCTGATGCGGCTCCGGTGATTAGAATGTTTTTGTTTTTCGCGTTCCACTGGGCGGCCATCTTTGTTCAGTAAGGCACAGAACTTCGCGTCTCAAATGACTTGTGATTTAACAGTTCAGTATTTATATATTCGCGGTTACCGCATGTCATGCGTTATCAAAAATATTATGATAAATTTTGCACGTAAAGCCGGAAATAATCGTGCAAGTAGTTTGCTCCCTTACTTCATTCATAGTGGCACGTGTCATATAAAAGTATAAGTGAATGCTAGCATGATATTTGTTTTTGTGATACTTGCAAGTTGCAGTTGTAGTACTTGTTAGTAAGTTGATAAAGGGGGAGACACTCTACTCGTCTTGTCTCACCCATTGACATTTTTTTTTATAACATAACAAACGAGGTGGCAAACGAGCGGCCGATGCCCATAAACATCCGCAATTGCAAATGCGTTGCCTACCCATTATTGACGGAGGAGGAGACGCACACAAAAAGGACATTTTCCCTTCCTATGCGTCTCCTCCACCGTCAAATCTACTTTTCGTTTTCATCCTTTCCTATTAAGATAAGGATGGAAAGGGAAAAGGACTAAAATTAGGCTGCCGGCACCACACTCATCAGACGAAACGCGGAATTGCTTCCACTTCACGCCTGTTTCCTGTGTGGTCGTGGTATTACACCGGACATACAAGCTGCTACCCTGTTTCACTGGCATGTGTATTTCCGCTCTAACGGCATGTTAAGAGAAAATCTTGTAACACCGAAATTTGAATCTATTATTTATATCAAAAAAAAGAGACAGGCTTAGGCTCGAGAGTTTTCTCGAATATTTATGTTATTAAGTAACACATGTAGGTGAACACTAGACAAGGATTTCATAATGCTAAGGTTTTTAGTAGGAATGAAAGGAGAAATGTTTCATTTAGCAGAATTACTTAGAAATTGGAAAAAATCAACATCACACAACACAACAACAACAACACACAGCTTGTACAACTAATACATATACATACATACATACAGGAATACATAGGTAAGTACCTTTATAAATGTAGCTAGGTACATACCCATGTAGAAGATTACCTTCCTGACTTTCTTAAGAGGGGATTTTATCTAATGTATTATGTAAATAGAGTTGGTAACAAGTTTTTCGTGTAACGATGACACGCAAAAAAGCAAAACAAATTGTAAAAAAAACATGCTATATAACGTCATCATGATTGGCGAAATAATTGAAGGGAAAAATATAAAAGGAAAACAACGTTCATAGATCGTCCCTTAGGAGATAGCCAGTTGGCAGCGATTAGGGATCTTTAATGGAATTTCACTTACGATGGATCAAAATATCTACCATAAGACCCCTTTTCCACTAGCTTAATTGCTATCTCTTGAATAATGTAACCGTCTTACCAAAGTTTCAGAAAATCAGGTATAATAACGCAAAAGGGAACACAAACTTTTATAAAGATAGAAGTTAGAAGTACAAAAAATAAATAACATTTTTCACCTATTAAAAAGTAGCTTTAAAAATAAATTTATGTATGTGATTAGTCCAATTTAATAAAAAAAAATCAACTGTTTCTGATAATGATAATATGCATCTGTTAGCTAATTTATTGGTTTTGTGAATACTTGTTTTCTAATTTCCTATGTAATTAAGTGATTAAATTATCCATTGTGTGTACTTATGTAAATCAATAAATAAACAATTAACAATAGCCTCAGAGAACAAGGTCTATATTAAAATGAAATATGTAGGTCTGTCTGCGCAGTGTTGTCGATGTTCTCTCTATTGATTGGTCCCATGAAGCTCTGACCTTTCCCGCCCGCGCTATATTCTCTGCGCTCGTCAGCTCACAGTCTGTCTATACGAACATATATTAATTACAATACGTCTATTTCATTACGCTAATAATACGTAAAATGCCAGTATTCATCGTATTTTTTTCTTATCAATTAAAAAATCATGATAGAAGATCGTCAAACTGTAAATCCTGGTATCAAATCTCAAAAATACACGAACACTTGATGATTCCCTCGACATTATATTAATCATATGTACTATAAAGCAAAAGGGTGGGCATGTTAATCAGGGTTGCCCCCCCGCGGTGCTGAGGCCGTAACCTTGTCGGTCACCTTCCCTTTGATGGTCGGTCTGATAATGACGACGTAACCCCCACTGACTTAACTGAGTTTCCAATTAGGATAAATTCACTCAAGTTTTTATTGTACATCCTATTTACTTAGTCTGTTCAATTGTTAATACGTTCCTTAAGTCCACTCAGAGTTAAAGGTTAAGGAATCTTGGTTATTTATACATCTTATAATAATTATTTAACATGGTATTCCAGTTAACTACTATACCCGCTTACGACAAATTAGATCGTAAGTAAATCTTATTTAAAGGCGTTCTTTAACTTCTCCTCCTGAATAGTTACTGCTGTTGAATTTAATTGTTTTTTGTTATTGTAGCCAAGAAGAACAGTTTTTTCTAGAAGAGGTAAAATTTATTAAGATAAATACAATAATGGATATTTTCTAGACTTTATAATTTACTTAGCATGAATACTTTGTCTATGACTTACTGAAATTGTCAAATATTTTTTTCGGATATGGGTAGAAGATCAAAAAATGCTAGTAGTGACGCTTTGTTTGGTCTATTATCTAGCAATATTAATTCGTGTGACCTTTAGGAAAAGCAATTTTAAAATACCGATGTTTCATGAAGTTTGTCCCAGCGGAGCGGCCAAGCTACTTCTCAATGTTAAACTTCAATTTCATAGCAATGTTTGCCGCAAGACCCCTTGAGAGTTCCGACGACTTGGCACGCAGAATATTCCAGAATTATTGGACTTAGGTTTTTTATAGCATTAAACGTACTTGGAACTGTAGTTTATTAGATTTACTGAACTAGTTATTTACCAATTCTGTACTTAATTATGTTTCATATTTGTCATTGAGTTTTAAATTTTTTATGTATTAAAATTATACGCATTCTTAAATAAGGCTTTCTGTAATTCTATTTATTAATATTATTGGCAAACGAGGGATATTTAAGTGACTTGGACTATTGGACTTTCGCCATTTGTTTTTTGATACCACGACCTTGAAATCGAGTCCAAGTGAACTGCTCAATATAACAAGCCTAAGTCTAAAGGGCAATCTTGTATCAGATAAGATAATTCATTTGTCATCAGATATATTAAACTATTCGTTTACGTTTTTGGTTCGATAACTTCAGGAAATGCGTTTCCGAACTACGTAACTTGTGTTTCACTCCGTTGTAACTTGATCAACCTGACACTAATGCATCACAATTTAACAGTGTAATACCACGACCACACAGAAAACAGGCGTGAAGTGGAAGCAATTCCGCGTTTCGACTGATAAGTGTAGTGCCGGAGGATTATTAGTCCCTTTCCCCTTTCAAACCTTTTCTTTTGAGGAAAGGATAGAAAGGCAAAGTGGATTTGACGGTGGAGATGCATAAGAAGGGGAAATGTCCTTTTTATGTGCGTCTCCTCCTCCGTCAATTAAGGGTAGGCGACGCATCTGCAATTGCTGATGTTTATGGGCAGCGGTCGCTTTCCATTTCGGTGGATTCAGGTGGCCGCTTGCTCGTTTGCCCTTATATTAAAAAAAAATCAATAGGTAACGCGGCACGCAGTGACCGACGCGACCAAAGGACCCCCTATGGGTCTGAAACTGGTCGGTGTCTACACCGAAGGTTGTCACGTGAGTTTAGCCCTGTTATAATTTATACACTCGGTAACGGTTAAATAAATAGAAACTTTAGCAACTCAGCATAAGTGAATCAAACGTTATAATTGTTTTTAACTACTACCTTTTTCCCTAGTTGTTTTATACCAACACGACACAATGAACAAGAACGGCAGATGGTATCTTTTACTTGATAAGTCCACTTATTTAAACTGAATCCTTGACACAATTTCTTATAAACAATGGAAATAATGTTTGACCTTTTGTTAGTAAAGAGATAGATATGAATTGTGATGGACACATTTAGTCTTCGAAGAAATAATTAATTAAATACTGAATCAAGCAATTTGTAATGTAATTCGTAATTTTACTTGTTTTTGTTCCTGTACTTTAATAGATGAAGAAAGGTTTTAGATTATTTTAGATTTTGGATTATTATAGATTATTTTTTCTTAGATTATTAGGCAACGATCGCTTCGCCTTCTCGGCGAATTCAGTTGGCAATTCGCTCTATTGCTACCTTATAATAAATAAAATTATGTAAAAACATATCTGCAGTATTTTTGACACTATCATCGTTACGAAATAAAAAATGATATCACGATTTTAGCAGCGTCACGATTGTTATTCACTTTTTAGCAATTTTGTTTGTTCTTTAATATATTTCCTAGTATTCTTAAGATTATAACATACTGGCGACCAGCCCCGGCTTCGCATGGGTCTAATGCTGATACTAAAATGTTTTACGTCATATTAGAATCCTCTTTAATTATCAGCATATCTATTACATACTTTAGCAAACATTCATCTTGAATTTTATCCATTTAAAAAAAGCATTAAAATCGGTTGCGTAGTTTTAAAGATCTAAGCACACCTAGAGACAGGTAGACACCGGAAGTGACTTTGTTCTATACTGGAGTTATATATTTACGGAAGTTACATCCAAAACAAGTTTTTTTTTTCGGAGGTTTACATAAATGCGTGCAGCATTGTAGAAAAGCAATTTCAGGTCTCGGAGTCTGGGTTAAGACTCGTCGGAATTAATTTGACTTTGAAAAATTGAATTACTCTGAATTGTAATTAAATTTCGCGGATATGCAATAACAAAAAAGCAGTTGGTTTCATATTTGCAAATTATAAGGAATTTTTCTTGGGTATATTTTTTTATTTTCCATTTATCTTATTAACTTATCTTTAATCATTAGTATATCGTGTTAATACACTTTTTATATTGATTACGAGAATGTTTTTAAATAAATAGATAACATTTACGTAATTATAATCAAAAATTATCATCATTGAGTACGTGAGATGATTATAATATACGAGTATCTGCGAAGATACCGCACTGCGCAAGTCATGGTGGTGATGCGATTTTTTATAACAATATAAAAAGTTTAAAAAGTTGATATAAAAAAAAAAATTTGAGTAGCCTTTGTTTTCCAGACTATCCTATACATCTATACCAAATTTCATCGAAATTCGTTCATCGATTTAGGCTACAAACTAAGTTGGTATAATGGTATGATATAATATTGTTGTTGAAAGATGCATTCATCAAGGTTTGAAAAATCCACCATTTTGTTCTTTCGTTAATTCTTTTACAAAATTAAATGTCTTCTAAAAGTAAAATCATCATCATCTCCCCTGCCTTATCCTACTCCCGTAGGGTCGGCGCACCGGGTTCCAACGATGATTAACCCTTAAATATAAGATTATTTCTTATTAAATACCCTAAAATTGAACATAGATCAAGGGAAAAATAAAGTTTTTTTTTTAATCATCTATTGGGTGTGGATGAGAAGACAAATGTATCATCATGCATTTAAGACACTAAGTTCTAATTGACAATTTAAACTGTATAGTCGATGTATTTAGCTAAAACTGTTCAAGTGTAGGCAAAATTGTAACTATAAGTTGAGATGTATAACAACTTTGCCAACAAACGCAGTTTAAATTTACAGTTCTCATCAGTTAAAATTGTAAAGTAGCATATGCTTCAGTCTGTAGTTATTTATTGGTATTATTTAGTTTACAAGGGTATGTCATACATTGTCACGCGTGAATACCATTATCTTTCTGTCAGTCAAGAATAAGGTAAAAGTAAAAGAGAAAAAATACCAAGTACAAAATATTTAAGGAAAATATTAACAAAATTTTCCGTTCTGATTTTTTCTTAAAACATCAACTGTATCCGTTAAGGGTAGTACAGACCCTTCGTAGTTTTTATCGCAGCTTCATGCTGTGTTGGGTGGCTATGAGGCAATTCAACAAATGCGGTACGAATGAGAGTTTGCTTCGATAACGCCCAACGAACCGTTTAAATTGATATACGTAATATCCCTAAAACATTTCCTTGTGAACCAAGGATGTATCGTATTAAATGTGAACTGCTTGGTTTTAATATGTTTTTTTTTTAAAGCTATCGTAGAGTAGGTTGTTTATAATTGTACCTCTCGTGACGTATCGTTTGGACTAATCGTGTTAATTTTTGGACAAATATGAAAGTTAAAAAAAACTGTTAAATTTTTTAATCTGCAGCAATAAGTCTAAAAAGATGAGGTATATAATACCTAGGGCATCTTTAAAAAAATGTATTTTGAAACAATCTTGGCTTAATAAATTTAAGCGCCAATAGCCTAATGGTTTGGGGTACGGGCTACCGATCTTGCGGTCGAAGGTTCGAATCCCGCCATTCGACTATTGTCGTGAACCATATCTTAGCACAAGCCTAGAGCTTAGTTGGAATAGTTAAAGGAAATATTGGTAAAATAAAAAAAAATCTACTAATATGTTTGTTTACTAATAACTATAGCCATTGGGATCTTATTGTAGAAGAACGAATATTGTGGGGATAAGAAAAATGAGCTATTGTGTAGGCGGACATTTCTCAATATTGAATGGGAAGGTACTTTTATATTACGACAATACTGGCATAAGCCTGGTGTATTAAATCGAACAAAGATAATATCAGGAGTATATAAAATATCAAAAATTGAAAAGTGGATTTGACGGTGCAGGAGATGCATATGAAGGGGGAATGTCCTTTTATGTGCGTCTCCTCCTCCGTTAGGGTAGGCAACGCATCTCAAACTGCGGTTGTTTATGGGCAGCGGTCGCTTTCTATTTCGGTGGATTCAGATGGCCGCTTGCTCGTTGGCCACCTTATATTATATAAAAAAAATTACTACACTTGAGCTCAGCTGTTATTTACCTGCAATTATAATAAACGTAAGTCCTTACAAAACAAGGTATATAATAGTAGTAAGGTATGTCGTGCTGAAGGGCTCTAATCCGCAATCAATACTAGGCAATTACGTCATCACACCGCTCAGGAATAGTGGGTTATTTCGTTTCTGTAGTTCTTTGACCTAAGTAAGCATATAATCACTTAGTTTTATGCTTTACATGAAAAGGTAATGATGCTATGCAAACACATACTCGTCACGAGGAAACGAGATTAACTTCGTGTCTCGAAATGTCATTTTAAATTCTTAAAAACGTTGGATATTCCAGAATGCCATCGATCGTTAAATTGTTTGTCGAACTAGTTCACAGTATACAGCGTTGCCAATAGTTGGGAACTAGGTAATAAAGCTCGTTCGAGTATTTTATACTTGTTTCATTTCCTGAAACTGAGAACTAGATATGTATATGCGATGTAATTATACATATTCAGTAGAGCACAATAGAACGTTGATGCTTGAATAGTGTGGCAAGGCCTATTTGCATTTTATTATCTTGAAACTTGAAATTGAAATCAAACAAATATGTCGTCATTTTATTCGTATTTGTAATTTAATCAAGAACAAAATACGGTTTTTTTTTTAATTCATTAAAAGAAATGTTTTCTATACTGAGTAAAGTAAAATCTTAATGATTCAGTTACTTTTTTTATTTAAGTAGAGGTGCAGTGACGACAAACAAAATGGGCGTTGAATTCGTCAAAGGCTCCCAAGCGTCAAACGTTTCCCACGCCTTGCGGGGAATGGCGTCAATGAAAAACCGTTCCAATCTTGTAATTAGAGTCGATTCAACCGTAGTCGGCTCTCTGGGCTCTCGAAATGGCCGTGTGGAGTCGCTAACGTTATTTGCGGTGGCGGATGCGCGGCCCGAGCGGCGCAGCCCGCCGGCGCCGGGGATCGAAGCCTCGGGCCGGAGTACGCGTGCGCGCGCCTTCGCCCTCGCCGCCGCGCCGCCGCCGCTCCCGCCGCCTGCTCCCCGCAGTCGCAACGCGCTCCCCGCCGCGACACCATGCCGGCCGAGGCTGCGACCTGACCTCACCGACCAGCTCTCAAACCTTCGAATAACAAACGACGTACCCGCGATCCACACCCTCGTCCCACGGATACCGGGGTAAGTCCGCAGCGGCACTCGTCATCATCGATCGCCGCATCGAATGCATTCTCAAGGTTAACGCGCTGCTCCCGGACGTCGCTCGCCGCGGTTGGGGCGCTAGGGGGCGCTAGGGGCGCGGTGAGTCATCTCTGCTGCGACACATTTCCAGCGCCTCTTCGATCTCGTGGATTCTCGAACGGAAGATGTAGGTTGCAGTGCATGTTACGTAAGCGAGGATTGCACCGGCCGTGGCGGCCGCTACTTTCGACGCCGTGTTCAGCCGACCGTTAGCCGCCGAGCGCAGCACGCGAGGATCGCTTACAGGAACACATTCACCATTTTGTATACGAGTCTTGCGCCGCGAACAGCCGTGCTCCGCTCCAGTCCGTGTAGTATGCGCTCTACATACCCCTCTGTGTTTAAATACGCTTTTGATATGGATATCGTGTGAATATTATGTTGTGCAAGTGGCGTTAAATATTTTAAATTATCTAATATTTTCAATCTTTTAAAGTAGAATAAGTGCTTGGTTTAATTCTGGTGTTCGACTTTCAGTGTCGTGAAAATTGTAAGAAAATAATTTAGTGACGTAATTATTTAATCGAGCTCAGATGAATGTAAGACACATCGATTAATTTAATCTGTACCTGCTCGATTGAACTTAAAATCGATTCGACGGCGGCCTTTGTTCGGGTCCGCACGAAACAGCTGACGGGCGCGCGCGCACTGACCGCCTGTGCGCCGCCTGTGCAGCGAGCCGCGACAGCCGCCGCTCGGGCTAACGGTAGTCCGCTCCAAACTAACTACGCAATATCCAAGATACTTGATTGCCTCTCAAGTAGTAACAATGCCGGTGAAGTTTTTTGCAACGCCATTTTCGCATGACTCATTGACCGACCTGAAAACGTTAGACTAGTTAGCCAATACGCGAGTAGAATCGGAACATAACGTTAATGCCTTTGTAAGATATATTTATAAATATTGTCTTTTTCTCGTATTATAAATCTTAATTTACATACAATCGTGAAGTTATTCTTATTTGCTTCGTTAATAAAAGGAACATTGGAGCCTTTTAAAAAGTTATTGTATTTGGTGTTTACCTTCGCAATCCGACCCTAAATACGCGATATTTGCCGTTACTTCTGTGTGTGATGTGATACTTGACCAGTACTGACCTCCGAATAATTAATAGGAATGTTACAACATATTAAAGTTCTTAAAGGATTTTGTTTTGTAAATGAAGCTAGTTAAAAAATTAAAGCATAGGAGCCAGAGGTTTTGTAAGGTTCTGGTTCCTTACGCAGTCTCTATTTCAAATTTTTTCCAAATGTTTTCAGTGGAGACGTAATTCTTGATATTTATTATTTTTGGTGCAGGTGTAAATCAGCAATAGTACCGATGTGCTAGAGGCAAAGGCTACGAGAAACTTCAGCCATGTCGTCGGTGAAGGTGGCGGTGCGGGTCCGCCCCTTCAACTCGCGCGAGATCGCCAAGGAGTGCAAATGCATCATAGAAATGTCTGGCAATACTACAGGTTAGTGAATACAATACAAGAACATCCTTATCTCTTTTAGGAATAAAAGTTACATCTACTTTCTTAGATTATCCATAATTGCTGTTGTTTACATGCACTGTTTGACTATGTAATCCATAGAAAAATATCCAAGTAATTTGTATTACAATAATTATTGAGACTTTCCCTTCATTAGTTAGATAATATTAAAAATACAAAGGGTTTCTAAAAGAGTGTTAATTAAATGTGGATAAAAAAGGTAGAGGAAGACCGAAGAAAGTATGGATGGATTATGTGAAAGAAGATATGTCTATGAAGGGAGTGGATTTAGATATGACGGTTTATAGAAATGTATGGAAGAGCAGCACATACTGTGCCGACCCTTTGTAAGGATAAGGGCAGGTTTATGCTGACAAGAGCTTCTACAAGCATTGTCTTTGTGGTAAATGTAATTTTTCGATCGTCTTACATTAATGAAAACCTACTTCAAGCATTTATCTAGCTAACAAGTAAGCGAAAATTTTGACCTTTTGACCCTTGTTAATGAAGATTGGCGTTTACAGCATAATAAAACCTAAAATATCCTGCATAAAGTGCGATGTGACGATAAAATAGGCGTAATGGTTATTGATGACTACCTCGCATGTTCCTTCATATACGACAATGTTGTTAACGACCAAGTTTTTGATTGGGTTTTTTTATTTTTTATGGGAAAAAATGCTTTATCTCTATTTAATTTCCGTATATACTTACAAATGTAAAAATACTAAATTTTGTGGCTTAAAGTAACACTTACATGAATATTTCCCTTTTAAGATAATGTTTGTTATAAACTTTGGGTGCGGTTGTTACTCGTATTTTATTTCCTTTTTCATTTGCGATAAACGATTACGAATTGCGTTTGAAAGTTTAAAATTAAATCCTAAAGGACTTTTAATTAAGTGGAACTTGCAATAAAGTCGACTTTACAGTCGGGAAAACTTCCACTTCTGTGTACTAGCTTTCAGAGAACTCCTTTGCTTTCATTTATTTCCAGGGATCGTTTATTTTTAAACTGTAATTACAGTTAGGTAACTAAAAGTATTTAATACGCACTCTCCTAGTTTTTATTAAACAAAAATTATATGTATCATTGTTTTCACATATCTCATCATAATTATAATTCACGTCTGTAAGAAGGTAGAGATAATGGACTTAATTTTTTTTCTTATTCAAACTATTACAGAAATTCCTCGTACGTAAATGTATAACGACCACACGCTTTCGCTACACCGTTATATATATTACAACTGTAAAAATAATTTCTATAACATTCTTGTAGCCCCAAAAATGTATACTAAAAGGCATTTCTCTGTTTAATTAAAGAGTTTTCTACAGTGGTATTTAGGGATTACTTCGCTAACCTTAGTTGAATTAAAAACTAATTTTAGAACTGACAATAAGGTCAGGGGTCAAATAAAAATAATGAGAGTATAATGTACGCAAGTATGAAAACATTTAATACACAAAGTTAGTTTATCCTCTAACAAAAGAATCTCTGTGAGTTTTAGAATGTTCTTGTTTTCTTTATTAGATCTAGATTTTGATTGGCGGTTTTCAGCGCTGGAGGAAATTAGTTTCTTAAAACATTTTATTTCAATTTTCAAGTTCAAAGTCACTGCGCTCCGGTGGGTGATAAAGCACGAAGTGGGGTGCAATGACGTCACAGCGTGCGTCAATCTTGGGTCCATTAATATGCATTAGCTTGATATTAAAACTGTTTATACTGAACGTCAACGCCTATGCACACACTGGGGGTACTATTTAGTGACGATAGCTTTATAAAGTGACTAGCTTTCGCCCGCGACTCAGTCCGCGCGGAATTAAAAAAAAACCAAAAGCAAGTAGCCTGTGTTCTTCCAGACTATCCTTTACATCTACGCCAAATTTCATCGAAATTCATCTAAACTTTCGGATTTATAATATTAGTGTGATATTTAAATGTAGTATACTATAATATCATATGATATTAGTGTGATAACTTGTTTTAGGTTCATACAACCTCAGTTTTAACAGGCTATTCGGACTGTAGAATTAAAACCTACCTGTTTAGGCAAACAGTGAACTTTACAGTTTAAATCCGACTATATATTTAAATTAAATTAAAAAAGAAAAATAGGCTTAAATTGCGGAAAATGTACCGTTCTTTTTCATTACTTTCGTAATAAACCTCAATCTTTTTCTTAATTCCAGGGTAATAAACTTGTCGCAATTTTATATTAATGAGATATATCTAACGAGTTTCCTTAGTTTTATGGTAAATCTTAGAAAGACGCAGATGCGAGCTGAATCATAATAATTCTTTACGAGCATCGAATGTAGGTTATGAGGACCGTCGTAAATTACAGTAATCCAGGGTAAAGTTCAATTTGGTAGGGGTGTTGTATTAAGTGAGGTCACTGCACGCGATATTAGAAGAATAAACCATTGTTAGTTTACCTAAATAACGTGTGAAACATGAATAAAATTTTCAATACTGATTTATTGATCCATGTAGTTTATATAAGTAAATACAATTTAGGTGTAAGTAATAAAAAAATTATGAAACACTAGTTGTCGTCTGTGACTTCGTCCGCGCAGAATTAACAAAAAAAGTGAATAGTTTATGTCTTCCAGCCTATCCACTGTTAGTACCGAATTTAATCGTAATCCATTCAGCCGTTTAGGCTACAAACTTTAACATAAGATTAGTAAGAAGAGTAAGATTAAACCATCATATGTATGTGAAGTTTATTATAACTACATTGGGTTCTTTGTATGAATTTATATTACAGAAATATAAAATTTCAAATTAATAACACAATGGTTGTTTCGGTTTTCTTAAAGCAAACGAGAGGGATGACAATACATGCGTATGAGTTTCAACAGTGACTAGTTTGTTTCCTTTTTAGAATAGTATAGTAGATTTCAATTGTGTTTATAGCAGGTCGATGTACTACATCGAATTAATCGCTTCATCGCCTCTCAGTAAGCACCCTCTACAGGACACCATATGACTCACGGCCAGACGTCTGTTGACCTCTACTCCCGTCTAGTTTCTTAACCTCTCATTTTACTGAATATCTCATTTATCTATTTAATAAGTAAATGTTAGACGTTAGGGTTTGTTTCGAATTTGGTTAAGTTAATTAATTATATTCACTACATTTGCTTTCGATATAACCTCCGTTAAAGATTCATTACTACAAATAGGCATCTAATTTCAGTTAAAAATAATTTAAATGAAGAAGAAAAAATGTTTGGAATAATGGATCTCTGTTACTATTTAACAGGTTTCTAATGTTTTTTTATTAATTTGTTAAGTTGTCTTTTACAAACTATTTTTTCTCGAGTAGAGGTCAAAGAGTTATATATTTTTTTTATTAAATTTTAATAAGATAAAAAATATGACATATAACAATATAAGGCAGAAAGGAAAATGTAATTCGTTGATATTTGCAGCGGGGTCGGTTTTATTAGATTTTCCCCGAGCTTGGTAAATATGACAAAGGTGTAAGAGGTAGTAACAAAGGCTTTGTTTGTCGGCTGTTTCATGAGAGCTCGTTGTCGCCAACAGCCTGAAACTACATGAGATAACAAGGAAGTAGGTTTAAATTTCAATTGTAGTTTTTTAGTAAACATACGGTTACTTTATAGTAAAAACAGATTAACTGCACATAAAAGTATAGATTTGAAATTGAATTATAAATCTAGGGTTTCCTTAGCTCTTCATTAAAGATTCTGGGTGCGGCAGTTTATAATTTCTCTTTGCTGCAAGTATTGTTATGCATTGCCGGTCGATACAAGGTATTCGTTGGTTTTTGTGTCGCTGACCTCGACTGCTCCGTTTACACAAAGGCTATTCTTTCATAGTTGATTATCGTTTTCTATACAATCTAAGTTCGACTTATAATCAAACTATTATATAAAATATGTGAATGTAATTATTCGTAATAGAGTTTTACTTACGACCTATTTTTATTTTCATTGGTATTTTAGTCAAGGAATGTTATTCTCGACTTTATCAAGCAACTGATCTGGTATTTGTTTCAGAAATAATGTATGAAGAAAATTAAAGTAAGAATAAAGTGTATTAGCTTGTAAATGTGTATAGCAAAGACTGTTTCATTTCCAGACAAATTTAAAGTTGTAGTGCTGCTGTAAAATTTTCAAGTTAACTCTAAATAAAAGTAGAAAAATCTACCATAATACGGTATAAGCAATTTCCTACATCTCTTAACGTTAGACGTTCTTTTATGTTCTTTCGTCACGTACGAGTAAATCAAACTTTTACAGTTTTCAATTTAATATATCCTTTGCACCGTAAATGTATTTTTCACTCGTTGGCTACGTCTCTACGTTTCCTTGGCAACTGCAATAAAGGGGGCTGGAGGTGGGTAGAGGGTGGTAGTAGTCGTTGCAGCGCGATGCAACTTGATGACTCATAAAACCAGGGGAAGAAAAACAAGATGGCGACGTCGGAAGTAGTTTTATTAATGTCGTTATACAGGATGACTTGTAGTTTCAGTTACAGGATGTTTTCAGTTTATTGCTTAAAGTACAGTCATGTCAGTTTACATTGATCCAGTCCAGCGATAGAATTTAGCACTTATAACAGGAAAAATTTAAACACAAACTATTTTTGTGAAGTACTTAATACTCACGGAATTAACTAGAACATACTTTTTCCGTGACATAAAGCAATTTGAGTACATCCTTGATGTTCTAAAAAGAGTTTAACATTGAAATTTCCTTTTTTATCAAGGTTCTTACATATATTTCGGTATATTCAAAGGTTTTGTTAAACTTGTGAAATCTTTACCGTCTATATAAGACTGACTGTAGACGCCGACGTCGGTCGATACGTCGCGCCAGACGGACTGGTGTCGCGCCCCCGACACCTTGCCGTCTACTTTTACCACACAAATGCAAAGTAAAAGGATATACCTTTTATCACTAGTACCTCCTTTATTACTGTAATATATATGTAGTTATTTACAACTTTTAAAGTGAACTTCAACGACTTTAATGGAGATGTCTCAACCATCAAAGTATTAAAACCATCCAAATGATAATTTGAGTCTACTTTTTATTTCGTACTCGAAGAGTTTTATTTTAGAATACTTTATGAAAATTCTTTTGTTATCTATTCCATTGTCGTGACTCATATATGTATAGAAATGGTTATCTTTTAAATTTGTTATTATTAATTTTCTTTGTTACAGTGATAATGAACCCGAAAGCCCTACCGGGCAACAAGGAACCTCCGAAAAGTTTCAACTTCGATTTCTCTTACTGGTCACACAACGTAAGTATTGTAAATTATCCAAAATATTAATTTCAAATAAACATATACTTGTATACATACTTATAACTAAGCGAGTTAGGTTACGTCCGCTCTATAGAATCGATTCAGCAACCAGCCCACGGTCCGAGGCTCGCATTTCCTGTGTCAATAGATGGGGGATGGAAACTTAATGGAATCGCTGATTGCTTACTGTGGCCCTAGTCGGTCGATGTTTGTAATTAGATAACTATTGTTTACGGACATTGATGTGTCGTCAACTCATATAAAAGCATATATATGGGTAGGCAACCCTAAGATCTTGAGCGGTCTTTAGATTATGCATTTTCCGAGAATTAGTAGAAAGATTAAGAGAACGAGATCTAGAAATAAGTGAAACTAGTCTTAAAAACTTTATTATACAACAGCTAAATTCTTCATTCATTCCAAAAAGTGGTTGTATAATAAATTGCCATGACTGTAAATATAACTAAAAGGTCTGTGCAAACAAAAGTGAAGAAATTATTCGTATAGTTTTGATTATTTTATCTAATTTATGTGTTGGATTATTGCCAATTTAGCACTTAGCGCTTTTATAAATCACTAGCTTTCGCCCGCGACTCCTTCCCTGTGGAATTAACAAAAACCAAAAGTAAATTGCCTATGTGTCCTTCCAGACCATCCTATAATCTATGCCATTTTTTGATCGAGGTCGGTTCAGCAGTTTAGGACACAAAATTTAATAAATATATCTAAACATTCGCATTCATAATGTTAGTAGGATTTTTTAAAATAAAGTTTTTCACTTAGTAAAAAGTATTCGTAATGATTTCTTTAATTTTTTAAAAACTTACAAGTATAAATATTAAACTCGTTAATTATGAGTTTGTAATCGTCGAAACAATTTGCGCGTCCTTTTTCGACAGCGGCCATATTGGATTTAGTCGCAAGAGGATTATCGGATTGGCTATCTGTAGTCCACGAATATGGCTTCCTTATTGAACGTACATGTTATTACATTCGTATTTTAGATATGGACGTAACTATATTTAATGAATATATTCTCTCATTGAAAAACTGTCAAAATAAGTTCGACACTTTGTTGAAAAAAAAAGTTTATTAAAAAAAAATATCATGTTATTTTGTTAAAATAACGTTTAATTTTTCTTCAGTAAAATGGATTTACTCAAAAGATTAAGAACACTCAGTAAGTGTTCTTAATTTTACAAATTTCATTAGATTGTCTGTTAATCAAGATAATTTATGCAAATTGTAAATAAGTTTTGTTTTGCCGGGCCTGTGCTCAAAAGGATTATATTAAATTATCCGAAAGTTATACGAATAATATTGTGTTATTCGAAAGTAAGACACAATAAACTTTGGCACAGAGTTCCTTACCATTTAGTATTCTGATATTTTTATTACTCATTTTCTTTAAATCAAAAAAGATATAATGTTCAGGGTAAACATCACTTAGTGAAAACTTTGAAAATACTATTTTTTGACTTTATTTGTTTACAAAATTATTTGTTTTATCTTGTATTCAAAATTCAATTTACTTATTTTGTTTCAGCCAAATGATCCGGAATTCTCCTCTCAAATTATGGTGTACAAAGACATCGGAGAGGAGATGTTACAACATGCTTTTGACGGTATGTAAAATATTTAGAGTCAGTCCTACCAAATTCTTCTAAATTGTCTGACAATCCAACCTGTAAATTATGTGATGGAAATATCGGATTTTGTTATTTTATATCAGTGACGTCATTTTAAGCCACCTGAGCCTCTATCAGCCAGTGGTGGGATAGGTCCTTATAATTATAAGAAATCAATTAACTATTCTCATTGTACACTGACATTATTTTTATTTAGTTTGGGTGTTTACTTGTGCCATTTTGTTTATAGGTTACAATATATGTATATTCGCTTACGGGCAAACCGGCGCTGGCAAATCTTATACGATGATGGGCCGCGGGGAAGATGGGCAAGAGGGTATCATCCCTCAGATCTGCAAGGACCTCTTCCGACGCATCCGACAAACTACAAGCGATGATCTTACATACTCTGTAAGTAACTAAATCTATTTTAACATGATGCATATGGACATGCATGTTTATGGGCAGAGGTCGCTTTCCATTTCGGAGGATTCAGGTGGCCACTTGCTTGTTTGCCACGTCATATCATAAAAAACATTGAATTGCCTAACACCGATAAGCCTCTGTTTATCGTTAATCTTGGATCGGAATGTAGAAAAAAGATTTGTCAAAGTAAAATATTATTATTTGAAAATAGTGTTACAGCTATTCTTAAAAAGCGTATAGAAATAGATAAAATTTCTAGACACGGTTTAATCTAGCGTTTTATGATCTTCGTTCATGTCTATATTTTTGCCTTCAGTCCACCTTTTTATAAAAGATGTACTTATATAATTGATATGATATGATTTTGATTGAAAATTATTTTAAATGGTTCTTTATTCAATTGTGAAAGGTGGAAGTATCGTACATGGAGATATACTGCGAACGCGTCCGCGATTTGCTGAACCCCAAGAATAAGGGCAATCTGCGTGTGCGCGAGCACCCCGCCCTCGGACCTTACGTGGAGGACCTCAGCAAGCTCGCAGTCACCTCCTACCAGGATATATACGACCTCATCGACGAGGGAAACAAGGCTAGGTAAGTTATACACTAATATTATAAAGAGGAAATTTATTTTTGGATTGTATGTACACGAGTATTTGATTCAATTAAAAACTGCTAGGCCGATTTCAAATCATTTATACATGGGACGGATCTAGGATTACTGGGTTACACTTACGTTGGGTTGCTAAAGTTTCCATTAGTTAGATTGATTTTACGGATTTTACTTGTTTTGAATAAAAGAATTTTGCTTTGCTATCAGTTGCAAAGATACTAGTGAGTTTAATATGGAATTTAGATCCTAAATAGTTTTTATGGATTTCTGAGTTATAACATTTTGTCACAGGACCGTCGCGGCGACCAACATGAACGAGACATCGTCTCGCTCTCACGCCGTATTTACGATATTCTTCACACAGCAACGACATGACAAGACCACCAATCTTATGTCAGAGAAGGTGACGAATTAAATGTATTTTATGACTTTATACGCTCTCACTTGCGACTCAGCCTGCGTGTAACAAAAAAAAAAATCTACTTACTTATGTGTTCTTCCAGAATATTCTCTACATCGATACCAAATTTCATCCATTTGCGTTTAGCAGTTTACGCTACAAACTCCAACATCTACGTATAAAATTATGTATTTATAATATTAGTAACATTAAAAAGAGAATTAAAATACATTCCGTTACAGGAATTTTAGGAGTAAAATGCAATTTTTAATTACATTTTCTTTATACAGGTGTCAAAGATATCCTTAGTGGATCTAGCCGGGTCCGAACGTGCGGACTCTACCGGCGCTAAGGGCACCCGCCTCAAAGAGGGTGCGAATATCAACAAGTCTCTTACCACCCTTGGAAAAGTCATTTCCGCCTTGGCTGAGATCGTGAGTAGTTTTGTGTTATTATTTAAAATGTATAAAGCATAGATTAAAAAACTGCTATAGTAATGGTTTTCTATTGATGTCAAAACTTTACCGTAAGAAATGTTTGAAATTGACTAAATGCGATAAAAACCTCCCAAGAGAATTGTTTGAATATAAGGTTTGTCTACAGAAATAATATTTAAAAGGATGTATGTTTAAGTAAATTAAAAAAAACAGATTTTTAGTTTCATAAATATCTTTGCTATCGTTTTTTGTCTATTTTTGAGCACATTCATTTTGCTATACCATTATTCTCGATTACTCTTAAAAATGGCTAATTCATGCTAGTTAATACGAAAATCATAGTATTTTCTCATAAAATATTATAAATTTTTAATGCGATACATTCGTTCGGAAATACAGTCGGTAAGTAATGTTTGGCATTCGATTCTCTTGTGAAAAATGCTTTGAGATCATTTGTTAATAATAACATTTGTTTTTCTATTATTAATTTCACCAATGGCAACTTTAAATTAGCTTAAAAGTCACGCTATTGCATACAAGTAAGCTAGATCTACAAATACATATATATAGACTTTATGGAGCTACCTATGTTTATATGTGGAATCCATCGATTATGCGCGGTTTACACTTAGCCAGTACAGTTGGTTAGTAGCGCTCTGAATGTGAACTCTAACAGGACTCAATATCGCTTGCCGTCGCAATTGTCCTACTGTACTGGCGAAGTGTGCACCGGCCATTAAGGATGTGTAGACAGTGAGAGTATAAGTTCACTTGTTATTTGCTTATTAAGACGTTTTTGCATATATATTATCGTGCACAATTCATTTTTGTACGGTGGTAAACGAAGGTAGTATATTATGAAGTAACCGCTACCTAAAGATTTTTTTAAAGATTAGAGTGCAAATGCGTTTTATATAATGAATGTAGAGAAATGATATTTCTCTTTCCTATGTAATGCCTACCTTTTTTTCCGAGGGGAATGCTTTATGTATACTGCCGTCCCCCTGGGGGAGGGGGGCAGTAATGTGGGATTCTCCTCTGCGAGGCAAACCCACTAAACTGCTCGGTTTCTCCAACGCATTAGGTCGGGGCCACGGGCACGCTTTCGCTTACGTCCGCGACCCCGCCCGCATACATCCCCTACCTCGCATCTATTTTCCAACCTTCACATATTAGAAAAAGGTAGAAAAGGGAAGCGATCTAGACTTTTTAGGACATCAAATTAATATCCAAGTATTAAATATACCATTACCTCTTAGGCGTCGAAGAGCAAGAAGTCAAAGAAAGCAGATTTCATCCCGTACCGTGACTCTGTGCTGACCTGGTTACTCCGGGAGAACCTCGGCGGTAACTCCAAGACCGCTATGATTGCGGCCATCTCTCCGGCCGATATTAACTATGATGAAACACTTAGTACTCTTAGGTAAGAGATAATTAACAGAGACATGAAATTTTACACTAATATAAAGCGTAAACACACTACTTAGTTATGTAGGATGTCAGCAATTATACTACACTTACGATACGCTTTAGGCTGTATTTTTACGCAATAAAACTTAGGGTTAAATATATTTGAACCGTAAAATCGTTAAACGGGAAAGAGACAAGAATTACATTGTTGTCAATATCGGAAAAGAAGCAAGTCCCCAAAGCTATACATAATTTCAGCCAATATTAAGAGCCTTAGTTGCTATTGAAGCATTTGTAATTGAAAGTTTTACGTAATGTAAACAGTAAATTACAGCTTTTATGTTTTACGGATGAAAGCTTCTTGCGTCAAGGGACAAACAGCTAGTGAGAAATAACGGATTAAAAACGCTTTTTTTTTGGTTACCAGATATGCCGACCGCGCTAAACAGATCGTGTGTAAGGCTGTTGTTAACGAGGATGCCAACGCGAAACTCATCCGAGAGCTCAAAGAGGAAATTCTCAAACTGCGTGAGCTTCTCAAAGCCGAAGGAATCGACGTCGAAGAAGGTAAGCCAAAAACAACCTTAATCTCATACAGATAAAGACTAGGCCGCTTAGTTATGTGAACTAGATCGTCATGTGTGAATAGAATGTCATGCTAAAATGAAACGTAACGCCACAGAGTTAGATTTTAAATTCAAATGGCAACATTTCTGATGTTAAATTTTAACTTTTGTTTCAAAAAATCAACCGATCTAGGACCGGATGGTAAAGTCGTTTATGAAAAGAAAGAACCGACCATCAGTAAGTAATTATTTAAAGAGGCTTGTGCATTGCATATGTACACCCCACCTGTACGCTTGGCCTCCTACAGGGTTGCCAGATCCAAAAATATGTATAATCATTTTGGACATTCCTCTGGCAACCCCACACATGAGAAAATAAAAAGCAATTTTGCACCCTTACTCCAGCTTGTGGCGTTGTAGGAAATATTATATACAGTCACTTCACAATTGTTTCAAATATTATGAAGTGATGAAATTTTTAAATACGTAAATTTTATATACTGCGCTTACGTCATATTGTTTTGGTGTTTCATTACACATATACTTAGATGTTTATTCGATGTGATTTATTTCTTTGTGTTTTTTTAAATATAGTGGGAATTGCCGAGCATTTTAGCTTCAACAGCCTAAAGGCTTGTATTTAAATATATATGCTATAGCTGGCAACAAAAAAATCTTTTTATCGTTTTTTAATATTCTATAAAAATGCTCAGTTATGTTTTTTTACAATAAGACCGTTCGCGGCCAACAAATAAAAATATTGGCCAGTAACAAATGAAATGAAAGAGATAATTTTGCGAATAAAAAAAGGAGAATTGTCTATGCCCAAAGGTCGCGGACGGATATTTTTCGTGTCAATGTGTTGCTATAAAAAAAAAGCTTAATAGCTTTCGTCAAGCATTTGCATGTACTCCTAATAAAAAAAAACATTTTTTTTTATTTCATTAATGAAAAAAGATTATTTATTCTGTGCAATTTAAAATATTGTATCAAATAAATATGTTTAAAACGACGAAATACGCTATAAAAATTATACCAAATTAGCTATTTTTCGCATAGGATATAAAACATTACAAAATAAATAGTGTTCAAGTTACATAACAATGTAAATTATCACATTTTCAATAGAATGGTTGGTCGTGGTTACAAAATTTATTTAAAAACAGCACAGGATATACGTTAAATTATACTCTGGTGTTGTACAAAAGACTAAACTTAAACATTTAAACTAAATAAATTAATAATTACAAATAATTTAGATTCTAAAATGTTTGCTATTCAATAAAAACAAAAAAAAATAGTACATAGTATGTTCTCGAAATTAGTTCAGCTATCTTCTGTCCTTGTCTCTCCTTATTGAATGTAACGTGTTAAAACAGCCGAGGAGATATCGCCGGCTCGCAAGAAGAGCGAGGAGGCGGTACTGTCGCCCAAGTTGTCGCGCGCTGCGACCACCATTGCTGAAGAGGCCGTCGATCAACTGCAGGCCTCAGAAAAACTCATCGCTGGTATGTGTACTTTTTTCCACTGAAATTCACTATAACGCACCTTTATTCATAAAAATACTTAATTGTTTTTTGAGTTTTTATTGTAAACGACATTCGTTAAGCGAGAAGAATACGACTAATTCAAAGCGTCACAATATAACGAAAATAAAAGAGATACGACATCTTTCTCTCTCAACTCAAATCTCCTGTAAACATACCAAACTTCAAACGCCATTTCCCAAAAAATATACAATTTGAGTTAATTGGTTTTATATATAAAGGTGTGAGGTCAGTTTTAACTATTGTTTAGTTGCGTTGCTTACTTTTGAGCTGAAAATACGAGATGTAAAGAGTATCATTGCTGATCTCCTTCTTGTTAAAAAGAATGTGTATAATACATGTGCGTTGTGAGTGTGGGTGCACTGTTAGAAAGAGATAGATGGACTGCGTGAAAGGTAACATGATTAAAGGAGTGACTGAGATGACGGATGAAAGAACAAAGGAATTTAAACAGCGTTATAGTTTACAAAATATTTTAATTTATCGATTTATTCTTGGTAACAGAGTTAAATGAAACCTGGGAGGAGAAATTGAAACGTACGGAGCAGATCCGAGTGCAACGAGAGGCGGTTTTCGCTGAGATGGGCGTGGCCGTTAAAGAAGGCATTACTGTGGGCGTGTACTCGCCTAAGAAGACGCCCCATCTCGTCAACTTGAACGAAGACCCGAATCTGTCTGAATGTCTTATATACTACATTAAAGATGGTGAGATTTTGTTGTTATTTAACTCAATAATTGCTTACTGGCTTCCGCCCGCGACTCTTTCCGCGCGGAATTAACAGAAAAACTTAATAGTTAAGTAGCTTATCTGTTCTTCTACATCTGTGTTTTAGGCTGTGAACTCTAAAATCTATCCATTCAAATTTTCCCGTTTGTATTAGTAAGATATCCCTGTTGCAATTTTTTTGTGCCAAACATTGGTGTTATTTTATACTAATAAATAGAAAAGATTTGTATTTTTGTATAATTGAAATAACTCAGAATTTACTGAGCTGATTTAAAAAATTCTTTCACCATTAAAAAGCTACGTTATAAGTTAGTAACAGGCTATGTTATATACTATTTTTAATTACACGTAGACGAAGTCGGGAGCAACAGCTAGTTGATATTAAAATCAAAACATTTTCCATAACATTGGTTGATGTTCTCATAACCGTTTTTCTTGTGTGTCAGGTGTGACTCGCCTGGGCACCTCGGAGGCCAACGTGCCGCAAGACATCCAGCTGTCGGGCTCGCACATCCTCAGCGAGCACTGCATATTCGAGAACACGGACGGCGTCATCTGCCTCATCCCGCACCGCGGCGCGCTTGTGTACGTCAACGGACGTGAGGTACGTACTACGTGCACTAAGTACACTACGTACAGTACGGGAAACTGGCGGTGTTCGCACTTGTGTACGTCAACGGACGTGAGGTACGTACTACACTACGTATACTACGTACAGTACGGGAAACTGGCGGTGTTCTTTAAAAGCTACAATCGTTTGAACATTTTGAAACGAGACTCGGAACAAAAATCAATACAACGCAGCTTGTAAATGTATCTGTACAAAAAAAAAAAAACCAATTGTAATGCAGTTTGTAAATGTATCTTTACGAAAAAAAAGTCGGTTAGTGAAACACGGCTAGTTTGTGTTTATTATTGTCTATTCTTTTGCACTGACTGCTATCTAATTAGTTAAGAGGCGGAATGTCTCGATACGATGAACAAGGCAATATTTCCTAAAGTGCAACACCGTTGATTTCCGTGATTGTACAATCCGACTAGTAGTATTGTGTACTAATAACATGTTTTTAAATCAACTAATGAAATTAAAATTTACTGTCGATATCCGAGTCCTTAAAGGTTCTTTAAGCCCGCTATACACGTTCAATTTAGTCTGAACAGTCGGATCGTTGAGATAAATCTAACGTCTGTAGGAAACAGAACTGAACAGTTTGTCGGACTGTTCAGATTAAACCTGAATGGATATTTGTAGTTTAGAATGAGAAATCTATACTATCTCTTAGTAACAGAATCAAGACTGCGTATATGTATGACGTATTATTTACTTATTTTCATTTTTTTATTTGCTTAATTCTTTTCTTATAGGTGCACGAGCCAATAATCCTGAAGACAGGCTCTCGCGTGATCCTGGGCAAGAACCACGTGTTCCGCTTCACGCATCCCGGACAGCGCTATGAACCTTCATCCCTCGCCAGCAAGGAGCTAGCAGACACCAATACAGAGACAATCGAAACTAATAACGATGGTAAAGAGATTTAATTTGAAGAGCGATTTATGCTGGTTTGATAAAGTTTCCATTTATTTTATTATAACGTAGTGATTCCTTCTTAGAGCAACCAAATTGAATACCTCATTTTCGAGGTTATAAACCTAAATGTCGTTCCAGTAGTCTTATGATAGTTTAACTATCCTCTGTTAACTGTAATATGTAGTAGGAAATTAATATAAATGTTTTCATGAAACTGTTTTTTAAAAATCAAAGTATGTCCTAAAATGGCAGCTTGCTTGTTTTTTTTCTATATGAAAAGATCACTGGCTACTCTTATGAATTCCTTTGGTTTTAATAATATGTACAGAAGGCAAGGAGGGCGAGAACATAGACTGGGACTTCGCGCAGTGCGAGCTGCTGGAGAAGCAGGGCATCGACCTGAAGGCGGAGATGCAGAAGCGGCTGCTGGCGCTGGAGGAGCAGTTCCGCAGGGAGAAGGAGCACGCGGACCAGCAGTTTGAGGAGCAGAGGAAGGTACGAATTACACAGACTTGAAAACACATGTTTTCAATTAAACACAGAAGCTCTTTAAAATAAATCCATAGACAACAAATGATATTAATACACTGACCTCTTTAAATAGACAGGATGAATACTTTGTGCTTTGGTTTTCGACATTTTAGCGCTAATGGTTTCAGTTGGTTGCAGTGGAAAATGTTACATATGTATTTACTAGCTTTTGCCCGCGACTCCGTCTGCAAGAAATTAAAAAAACAAAACTGAGTAGCCTATGTGTTCTTCCAGACTTTCCTCTACGTCTTTGCCAAATTTCATCGAGATCCGTTCAGCCGTTTATGCTACAAACTCTAACAAACATCCATCCATCTAAACTTTCGCATTTGTAATTTGTACAGAACTATGAAGCTCGTATCGACGCGCTGCAGCGTCAGGTGGAGGAGCAGAGTGTCACCATGTCCATGTACAGCTCCTACACTCCTGAGGACTTCCACAATGATGAGGATATCTTCGGTGAGTTCATAATAACATGTGGGATAATAATACAAAGGTAAAAACACACCAGAGTGGAATGACAGAAAAATTTTCTCAGATAATATCTTTATGTGCGTATTTTCTAGAATAAAGATAGGCAACTCATCTGTAATTACGGATGTCTATAAGAAGTGCGTTTCGCCATTTCGGCGAATTAGATAGACGCTTGCTTTTGCCTATAGATATAAGAAAATTGCATCTAGGGCCGTTAGAATTGACTAAATATATCCAATATAACACAATCTTAAATTACTTATGAATGTTTTTTTGGTAAATTCAATTCTGGTGCGGTTTTACCGTATAAAATATTTCTTGCAATTTTTAAGATTAGTAGGTTTTGAAGCCTTAAATCTTCTATTTGAAAATAATTACGATTTTAAATCATTGATTTTTACATATATTGCAATTTTAACATTATGCATGTTGTAATAAAATCATGCGCATGGTAACCGCATGGGTTATATATTTTTAATTGAAAATTTTATTATTATGAAGGTTAAATACATAAAAACAAATAAAGTGTTAGACCATTTTATGCATTAAATGCATTTGAAACATGCATTCAATAAAGTTAGTAGTTTGTAAAAACATTTATTGATAAATCCATTATTACTTACTAATAAAGAAGCATTCACATACTGGAATGTTAACCATGTAACATTACATTTCGCCATGTAACATAATTACATCGTTATTTATTTTTACATTTAATTTCCAATACATAACCGTAGCTGGGATGAAATTTTAAAAAAAATCTTACAACAAATATTTTTTTGAAATTATTCATGTCAAAAATAAAATAACTATGAATTTTGAAAATGAACTATGAAATTTATATAAAAATTATAAAAGGAAGAACTTAACCCTTGCATGATTTTTTTCTTTTTACATACCATAAATTGGAACAGGTAGTAAATTAAATAGAGATTAAGGAAATACAAAAAAAAAGATGATTTTAAAAAAAAGTCTATTGTGTACAGAAGAAAAGACTGATAAATGCATCATTATGCATTTATAGGTTAACTCATTGTTTTTCTAGTAAAATAATCAATTCTCTTGATACTCTACTTTGTTACTTAAAATAGTGTAATTAATGAAGTCCCAGCTACGTATGTGATATCATGGTAGGTGTTCAATGCATGGGTGTATGGTAACTTGTCGGTTTGGTCCATTTAGTGAACCCCCTGTTTGAGACAGAGTGTTGGTCGGCGCGCGAGGTGGGGCTGGCCGCGTGGGCGTTCCGCAAGTGGAAGTACCACCAGTTCACCTCGCTGCGGGACGACCTATGGGGCAACGCTATATTCTTGAAGGTAATACAGGGACTGTTTAATAAAGAAATACTACTCATAAAATATTAAATAATTTTTACTCGTTTTCTCCTTGTAGAATTAAAAAAATAAAAGTGATAAGCCCATGTGTTCTTCCAGACTATCCTCTACATCTATGACAAATTTCATCGAGATCCGTTTAGCAGTTTAATTTACAAACTCTAAGTAACATCCAACTAAATCGCATTTGTGATATTATTTAGATAAAATACATCTATATATTTAAAAATCTGTAACATCAACGAGTATAGCATCTGTAACATCGAAACATCCATTTATCCAAACAAAGTTCAAAACCCTATTTTCTTTAAACAATCAAATATTTTAAAACCATAAAATCTTATAGGAAGCGAACGCGATATCAGTGGAACTCCGTAAGAAGGTGCAGTTCCAATTTACCCTCCTCACTGACACGCCCTACTCCCCCCTGCCGGCCGAGCTCGCCCCCAGGGATGACGCGGACGACGAGTACCGCCCCGGCGCGCCCACTGTCGTTGCCGTCGAGGTCACCGACACCAAGAACGGCGCCACGCACTACTGGACCTTGGAGAAACTACGGTATGTCTTAAAACGACAATTTTAATAAGTATAATACAATACAAACTTTATGTCAGCTCGATGGGAACACATAACTTCAATGTCTAGTGAAGTACGTCCTTTTAATAAAGAATGGTGCGTCTCCTATTCTTTTTTATGGTAGAGGAAATTTAGTATTTGTGGACTCCGCCCTCTAACATTTACGTAGTGTCTAGTTGTTTGTGTTTAATATCGAGCAGGTATAAAGTTTGAATGTAATTATACATGTTAGAAATTTCTTAATATAGTAAACGAAAGAAATAGTTTAAAAACGTGTTTTAATATAAATGTTTGATTATTAAGTGTAGGATAGGGTTTTTTGTTTTTAATTTTTATAAATATTGACTTTATAATTATAAATAGATGCATGATTCAATTTCGTCAAAGAATAGAAATTTAGATGAATGTCTGGGATTCTGTAGACATTGTATAAATGTTAATAACAGAGAAATTAAAACTGATGCAAGCAATAAAATAAAATAAAGTAGCCTATATTTAGACTTGAATTGATTTTATTGTTTGTAATACTTACTGCAAATAAGGATTTAGTTTAAAAATATTTAAGTTCAATGAATTCATAACACTTGCTTCTTTTATACTTTATTTTGGAAATTAACGTTTTTGTTGCGTCTTTTATGATTTATTCCTCACATTTCTTATTTTTATTTTTATTTGTACTATATTTTGTTGATTTCTTTAAGTTTTGCTATAGCTATTTCAGTTATCATTTTATCATGTATATTTTTATTTTTAAATATCTTAAAGGTGAGTAAAATATATTAAAATATATTTAATCTGATGTAAATTCTAAATATTTATAGATGCTGTGTTTTTTATTGTGCTTGTATATCATTTGCTGCTTAGTATTTTTTGTTGCATATAATTTTAATGTTGCTATATTTTTTTAATATATCCGCTTTATATTTCATCCAATATACGTATAATTTTATATTTTATTAACCATTATATTAACGCCAAGCTACCAATTATTACATTCCATTTCACACAATTTAATAGTTATAGGAAAGGAACAATAGAAATCTTGAATTACAGAGAAAGGATAGGTTTACGTATCGAGTATTTTCGTCGAAATAGTTAAAGAATTTAATTTAAGAGCGGTGTACAAAAAGTCAAATACATAAAAAAAGGGGGAAAGTGTATGGGCTGTATGGAGGAAAGGGCAATCGTACATGGCGGTGTATTGTCCGTAGCCATCGGCTGGAGCTCATGCGACAGATATACAACATGAACGAGACGTGCGGGGAGGAGGAGGTGTCCCCTCCGCTGCCCGCGCTCCCCGCCCCGCCCCCGCCCGCGGAGCCCGCGCCCGCCCCCGCCCCCGCCCCGCACTCGCCCGACATACTGCAGTGCATATCCGCCAGGCTCTCGCTAGCCAACCTGCTGCCCTCCAGGTTTGTGAGGCAGAAACGAACCAGCCTACCCTGACCCCTCAGAAACACACGTGCACGAACCACTCACGGCTCTAACGACACTTAGGTTCGAGTGCACTTAGATAATGATCGTCCATGCAACTAAAAAGACAAAATGTTAGGATATCTTGTCAGATTTAATTTAACAGTCTGTTTTGTTTCTACCGAAGAAGGTTATTTTATCTGTTTGTTGTTGTCACTTGTCTCGGCTTCGTTTGCAATCACGCTTTCCGTAAAGATCCGTCAAATAAATATGTAAAAATCATATTCCCTTTTACGAAGTTTCCAATATGCGCCTTTTTATGCAGTTGATTAGCTTCTGTGGCCTCAATCGAAAGTCATTTTTTCTATAAATAAATTTACATGTCTATCCTCGAAATAAAGTGTAAATTTATTTTGTACGTTGTTTTTAGATCACACTTGAATCCACATTTGTTTACCGTCGAAGCTTTTGTCATTTAGTTAATTGTTTTGTTTAGACATTTTTTTTATTTTGTATGTATTGCAAATATTTATATCGTTTTATTACTAATTTTCGGTGTGCTTTATCTGTTAATAATAATCAACTTTTGTCAATGTAAATGTATAATTGTAAATTATAGATAGATGTACAACCTAACCAAGAATATAAAATCTCTGGCCTATGGCGATGGTTTTTATATTTCTGGTCAGGTGTTTTCGTTGTTCTGTCCTTGTGTTTATATTTTTTTTGTGAATTCACTTTTTATGAACTAATTGTATTAACTTATTAAATATACTATGTTTATACAGATTATATTCATATATCTATTAAAATAGAAAGTGTAATCACTAAAAAATTTGTAATTGTTAAATCATTACTCATACTAGGTTCTTGGCTTGGTCATGTTTGTGCACGCTTAACGATTGGAAAATTCGCCTTATTTAGCTTAGCAGAAGATAAAGATTAAATTTAACTTTGCTGTTTTTGTAAAATTGTCATATATTTCACAGACAAAGACTGGAGCTGATGCGAGAGATGTATCACAACGAGGCGGAGCTCTCTCCCACGTCGCCGGATCATAACATAGAGTCGGTGACTGGAGGTGATCCATTCTATGACCGCTTCCCTTGGTTCCGTATGGTTGGACGGTTAGTGTTTGTTTTGTAGTTTTTTAGTAGTAGTAGTCGAGAAATTAAGAAATAAAAGGTTTGTGTATGGACATCTTATGCGATTAGAGGATGGGGACATGAACCAGAAAGTGTTAAGACTGATTTGTGGCTACAAATGTAGAAGACTGAAGAAAGTATGGATGGATTGTGTGAAAGAGGATTTTCTTAAGAAAGGAGTGGATTCAGATATGACGGCTGATAGAGATGTATGGAACAGCACATACTGTGCCGACCCCCAGTAAGGACAAGAGCAAGTTGATGAATGAAGGTTTTATACATTTTTATAGTAATTAATTGTAAATGTTTATGTTTAGGAGCTTCGTTTACCTTTCGAACCTGCTGTACCCGGTTCCGCTCATTCACAAAGTGGCGATAGTGAATGAGAAGGGAGACGTGAAGGGCTATTTGCGAGTGGCCGTACAGGCGGTTATCGACACCGAAAAGAGTGAGTTACATTCGTTATTCATTCATTCATTCATTCGTTGATAATCATAAGTGTTGATCATTCAATCTTAGTTGAACTTTGTCGATTTTACTGTTGTAAATTACTATCTTCGAGAAAGTCTCTGTGTCTACTACAGAGTTCTAGAAGTTTCCAAGCGTTTCAACATATTTATATCGGGCTTAACATCTTTTGATAAAATTGTCATGATCAGAGTATAAGAAGTTATCTACCTATTTGTTAATTTTTCATTGCTTTTCTAAGATTAATTCGTCCGTTTTTCGTAATTTTTCATGTTATTTTTCATACAATACTAGCGCCCTAGCTTGCATGGGTCCAATAACACGAAAATATGCTTATAAAATAGAAATCTCTAAAATTACCGGTATATCTTTAATATATGTTGCGGATGTCCATAGGCGTCGTTGACCACCTCTGTGTTCCCGCTGCTAGTTTGCCCCCCTTCTTTTATGTAAAAAAAAAAATATCTATTACATATAAACCTACTTGGATTACTATAAAAAACTACTTCAAAATCCCTTGCGTAGTTTTTAACATCTAAGTTATAGTCATTCAGGGGGAAGAGATTACTTTTATCTTATGTAAGGAAGTATTATGGCTATATTATTATAGTTTTAGTGTTATTTATAAGTTGTGAACATTATATACCCTCGTGTTAGACAACGCGGAGCTGGCGGCGGGCGTGAAGCAGTCCGCTAAGATATCGTTCGAGGACGAGGCGGCGCCGGCGCGCAGCCGCCTCAAGACGCTCTCCGCGCTCTCCGCGCTCTCCGCCGTCGACAAGAACAACGCCCTCAACCTGGAGGACCGCATCGAAGGACAAGATTCTAACATTAAGATCGAAGGTATGTTCAATATATTGTTTTTGTTAGTATAAGGCCTTTATTTCTGAAACTAAAAGTAAATTTTACAATTTTTTTTAACAAATATAGTCCTTTTTTTATTGATGATGAGACAAATGGCATTATCGATTATAAATAGTTTTGTAACTGACTGACATAAGTGTTATTTTTGTCGCAAGTTTGTTATGTAACTTAGTCTTTAGGAAGTCTTTTTCTTCCTTTTCCAACAAGTAAGGGTAGACAATACTTGATATTGTAGATGTCTATGGGTAGAGGCCGCTTCATTCAAATTTCAATTCAAATTTAGCCGCGTCATTTCAAATTTAGGTGACCGCTCGCTCGTTATAAATTAAAAAAGTGACTTATGCGCTAAGGGTAGTTAACGTAGCATGAAACTGAATCACAGAAATTAACCCCAAGGGTGTTACTTAACGAAACGGTGCCAGTGAGGGTGACAATAAGCTAAGATTCTCAAGTTATATGTTCCCTTGACTTATATCTTGCATGTCGTATCAGAGCTAGGTCTGGGCGTGGGCGAGTGCGACGCTGACAGTGGACGCGGCGACAGCTCGCTGGCTTCCGAGCTGAAGGATGAAGAGCTTCCGGAGCACCTGGCGCCAGGACGAGACTTCACCTTCCGCGTCACCGTGCTGCAGGCGCACGCCGTCTCCACTGACTACGCTGATGTCTTCTGCCAGTTCAAGTACACATTCTAGCAATAACCATAGTCTTGTAACCATAGACTTCTGGATGTTTTAACGTGCTGGTCTTCCAATTCAAATCAGTAATTTGCTTTTTAATACTAGCTGTTCGAGACTTCGACCGCGTGAAATTTTAAAAAATATAGCCTATTTTACTCACTGATTACAATGCTTTTTAACTGTGAAAGAATTTTTAAAACTACCCTGTAGTTTTTGAGTTATTTCAATATATACTAACATAATCTTTCCTTTTTATAACATTAGTATAGCTTAATCCTATGTCTATTTTTTTAATAATAATTATTATTACAGCTTCTTACATCGCAATGAAGATGCATTCTCAACAGAACCGGTTAAGAACACCGGCAAAAACACGCCTCTCGGTTTCTATCACGTACAAAATGTAAGTTGACGTTATATTTTAATGTTATTCCCGCAATTTGATTTAGTATATTAATGTATTGTTTCGTCTTGCAGATTACAGTACCGGTGACGAAATCGTTTGTCGAATATATTAAAACACAGCCGATCGTTTTCGAAGTATTTGGACATTATCAACAACATCCACTGCACAAGGTATTTAATTTAGATACTGTATTAATATGCTAATGTTCCTGATTATCAAACTTTTATATTTTCTTCACAGGATGCGAAACAAGACGGTCCAGTAGCGGGACGCACTCCCCCGCGACGCATGCTACCCCCATCTATCCCCATCTCGGCGCCGGTGCGCAGCCCCAAGTGGGGCGCGGCCAGCGTGGCGCCGCCCTGCTGCTCCTCACATCTGCACTCCAAGCACGACCTCCTCGTCTGGTTCGAGATCTGCGAGCTCGCGCCCAGCGGCGACTACGTGCCCGCCGTCAGTACTCACCAACATTACACATTACACACTAATTATACACATAAGCACACAAGCTACACACAAGAGTACACTAATTACACATCCAAACACACTAATTACACAAAAGAACATACAAATGAGCATAGAAATTGCACACATGAGCAAAATAAATACATATACGAGCAGACAAATTACACAAATGAGGACACAAATTTTGACATTGATGTCAACTGTAACGTATCAACGTTACATATACTAAACTAGCCGTTCTCGTGCGGCTTCATCCGCATGAAATTATGAAAATTTTATTTTATTGTTTACATTTGTGAAATTATTAGTAGCAAATGTTAAAATGACATGACAAACCTTAGCAATCTTGCTTTCTTGATGTTGGCAGCAACTTTTGGTCTCTTTCCCACATTAGGTTTTTTATCCAAAATTTATTCCCTAAGTTTCATCATCATCATCATCACCAGCTCACTATACGTCCCCACCGAGGGGCTCGGAGCCTACCCTAAAGTTAGGGTGACTAGGCCATAGTCAACCACGCTGGCCAAGTGCGGGTTGGTTGACTTCACACATATCTTTGAATTTCTTCGCCGATATGTGCAGGTTGCATCACGATGTTTTCCTTCACCGTAAGAACGTCGGGTAAATTATGTACATATGAAAATTCGAAAAATCGAAAATCACATTGGTACATGGCGGGACTCGAACCCAAGACCTGTAGATTATAAGTCAAGTGCTTAAACCACTGAGCCAAGTTTAATTTAATGTCTGCCAAGTCAAATTTAATTTCCCTAAGTTTAATGGCGTGAAAATATATAGCCTAAAGCGTGACGTAAGTGTAGGACTTTTTATTAAAAAAAAGAGTTAATCAAAAATATGCTGTAATTGCTGACATCTTAGGCAACAAAGAAGTATGTGTTTACGCTTTATTATAATAGTATAGATGTATGTTCGTATGTTTATGTTTAACTGGTATGTGTAGGTGGTGGAGCACAGCGACGAGCTGCCGTGCCGCGGGCTGTTCGTGCTGCACCAGGGCATCCAGCGCCGCATCCGCATCACCATCCTGCACGAGCCCTCCTCCGACCTGCAGTGGAGCGATGTGCGGGAACTTGTTGTCGGTAAGATATTTCACTTCACATGTACTCACACACATATATACATATATTTTTACTTAAATGTACTAGATTGTTGTTAATTTACTAATATTTCCTTTAACCATTTCAACTAATCTCTAGGCTTTTTCACGATAAAAGAATGGTGGAATTCGAATCCTCGACCGCAAGATCTGTAGTCTGTACCCCAAACTATTATTGGCGCTTATATATACACTTCCATTCTGAGGAAAAGATAAATATATAAATACTTTTTTAATTTCACTAGTTAAATCTACTAAACATTTGTTAATTCTATGTTCCACACTAAACATTGGAAGTCATTGGTAAATAGGTCTCCTAGTTAAAAAGGCAACACTGACTGATAAAATTGTAGTGTGCAAAAACATCTTTCTCTTTCTAACACACCTTCTCACTCTCGTTGAAATGCTAAAAAGGTGTTTATGTGTCAGGTCGTATCCGCAACACGCCGGAGGCCAACGAGGAGTCGTCGGAGGGCGATGAAGATGGCGCGCTCTCGCTCGGCCTCTTCCCCGGCGAGCGGCCCACACTCGATGACCGCGCCATCTTCCGGTAACACACACACACACACACAAATTAACGTATATTTCACACTAATCGTTCAACTAGCTGTTCCCATGCGGCTTTATACGCATAACATTATAAAAACTGTCTTTAACTGTTTACATTTCGTAAAACTTTCAATTGCAAATACTTCAATAAACAAAGAAGGCTCTTGAATTTGGCTTAAAATTATTTATAAGTAACCATGGTAACCTTGCTTCTTTGCTGATATTGGCAGCATTGTAATTTTTATCCCTTTCCCTCATGTCAGTTTTACGGATCCAATTTATTTACCCCTTTAAGTTTAATAGAGTGAAAATATATAGTCTAAAGTATCGCAAGTGTAGATTTTTTTATTAAAAGAAAGTTTATTCCAAAATATGTTATGATTGCCGACATGTTATATTACTTAATGTGTTTTACACTTTATTATATTAGTATGGGTAACATTATAACGTTTTTTTTAGTACATGATATTTCTCGTATTAGAGACTAGGTTTTTGGATTAAATTTGTCTAATTTTTTATTGTATTGTTTTGATAAATTTCGACTAAATAACCTATTTATAGATTCGAAGCGGCGTGGGACAGCAGCCTGCACGGCTCGCCCTTGCTAAATAGGGTCAGCGCTAACGGAGAAGTCGTCTATATCACGCTCAGCGCTTATCTTGAGGTAATTATTAAGAACTTGGAGTATACAAGAATACATATACGTTAATGAAATATCTCCCATATTAGTGAAGGTGAATCTTTATTGACGTAGTCAAGCGTTAGGTATTAAACGAATCAAACTTCATGGAGGTTTGTGTTTTTTGTATTGGGCGGATCCATGCCGCCCTCTTGTTGGAACGGGCATGGAAATCAGAGCCTTGATAGTCTTTATTTTATTAATTTGCAACATTCTATTACTTATCTATACATTTATTTTTTATTTTTACTCGTTTTAATAAAATACAAGATTCATATTCATTAAGGTTGTGATTATTAGTGTTGGCAAGCCGTGTATGGATGGAGAAAAGTCAAGAAAAGTGCTTTTACTCGTATACCCTTTTGACATTTAAAGTAGTATTGCAATTTGCATATATTTGGTATATTTCTATACCCAGGTGGAGAACTGCGGCCGTCCTGCCATCATCACCAAGGATCTGTCAGTTGTGGTGGTAGGTCGCGAACGTTCGGGACGTTCGCTGCGTCGTGCGCTGTTCGGTTCGCGAGCCGCTCGCGCTGATCACCTCACTGGAGTATACGAACTTAGCCTGCACCGCGCCCTCGAGCCTGGTATGTACAAACTGAATTACTGAACCGCACATAATATTTGCTTAATATGAAACTAACTTCGTAGAGTTTAAATGTTCAGTCATTCGTTACTTATCTAATAAATCTTTATGAAAAAAACCTTTATCTGCAAGAAATGCTGAAAAGCTTTAATGGTACAATTACTTAATAATTTGCAAGCATTTATAAGTTGTGTAATAAAAATCGATTGTCGACATTTCTATAATAATTGTGTCCCTTCTAAAGTATCCAGAGTCAGTTTTTTCTTACTATAATGTGTGGTGTAGGCGTGCAGCGCAGACAGCGCCGCGTGCTGGACACTAGCGGCACGTACGTGCGCGGCGAGGAGAACCTGCACGGCTGGCGGCCGCGCGGGGACTCGCTCATATTTGACCATCAGGTACTCACACAACTCATACATCACTCATACATCACTCATACAAATCATACATACATATGTAGACATATCTAACTGAAAGTTAGGATATCATAATAAAATTCCATATAGATTATTCATCTATGATATGAAAGTACAGTTTTTATTCAAAAATTGTTGAATAATCACAGAGGCACACTTTTCAATAGGATTTAAGGATAACAATAACTTTTAGTTCAATCTGTTACTTATTTAGTAGTAAGTAATAAATAGCTAGTGCTAATACCGGCGACTTTTTGGTCTACATCTGTACCAAATTTCATAAAAATCTGTTAAGTCGTTTTGGTGATACCTTGTAACATACATTCATCCATACAAACTTATTTATAATAATAAGTAATATTTTATTAAAAATATTAATTTTTTCATGTCATCATTGTTGTTAATTTTAACCGACATTCATAAAAGCAATTAAGAAACTTTAAAGAACTAGTTATCAATTTTTTGCAAACAATTCAGTAGTTAACTAGTTACTAGTCTTTGTAAGTCTGAAGCGTTAGAGTGAGACAGAAGATGATAAACCAAAGCTACGACAGAGACAACTTCAGGCTATCAAAGATTTGTAACGAGTATTTTAGTATAACACGATTCAAACTTTATGACTGCTCGTAATTACCTAAACTGCAGGTAAAGCGTATATAGTACTTCGGATTATAAAATATCGAGCCGGCATAAAGTTTGAATAGCAATATATCGGCTTTTTAATAAATTAAATAATGTGCTAGAATAGTAATGCTATATACAAAGACATTTAAAATATATAGACTAGGCAAAATGATTAACATTTTTTCATCGGTACTTTCTCTGAAAGGTAATTTCAGTTGTCAAGTTTAGTACTTCATCTCTTGTCCTCGTGTCCATGTAATAAAATATTTAACAAATTTGTGATAAGCGCCATCTTTTGCTATAAAAAAAAAACTAAACACTGTCACAAAATAAAATATAATTATTATTATTAGCAATTAATTTAAATAAAATTAATATTAACTTATGGTTTTGATAGCGTTAGTGAGATTATACGAATAATTGTTTTCAGTAAAGTCACTATGCCTACTCTATATAATTTGAATATCTTTGGCTATATATTTTATACCACTGTAATATATGAAAACTTTCTCCTTGCCAGAAGAAGCGTATCGTGCGTAAGCTGGTATATGATTGGCCGCAGGACGTTGTGGATAGCGCCCAGGTCCACAAATGCTTCCTTAGCTATTTAGTATGTGCGAACCCGCAATCATTCATCCAATCCTCATTTCAATACTAAATAGCTACCGAATTTATTTGTGTACTGGCAAATACTTCCTGTTATTGCGCACTTGCCAATGCACGTTAGTAACGTGTGACATGTGACGTATCAGGCATCGGCAAATCTGCGCACTAAAAGTCTTGTCCATACGATATACTTTTTACATGTCGTAAAGTAATAATAATTGACTAAAATGAATACTAAAATAAGATGTATTCATTTTAGACAATTATTAGTATTTAAAAAAAAAACAACAAAAAAAATTCTTTCATTTAAATTTAATCTTAAAATTTCTTTTATAATCTGTATGTTTGGACAGACTATAAGCTTATCCCGTATTTAACCAATTAACAAACACAATTGCTTTTTTATTGGTACGAGTTTTCTTACATTTTCAAATATAAATTAATGTTGCAATTTTTATAGTATAAGAATGCTCGGATCAATAATTCTATTTTCCATTTATTTTTTATATATTTTCAAATAATTCATTCGTATTAAAATAACATTAAATCATTAAAAATAAATCATCGCTTAACACATAATTTATTGGCTTATGTCTCGTAACTCCATTAGTTTACTAACAATTTTAGTGCAAGATTTTGGAAATTAACGTTTATATAGATTTAGTTAAATCTTGTTAAATAGGAAGTGTGTTTATCTAAATTTTATAAGTAGTTATATAGCTTGTATTCAAATTAAATACTAAAATATACTAAACTGTATTTCATTTAGTTAAAATAATCATTGACACAAAATATAATATCTAAAAGAAACAAGGAGTACCTAAATATTTTCTAAATTTCAAATTTCCTTGACATTTGTAATTATTTGCACTAAAGTAAAACATTTGTCTGGTGGTGGTAATATATAACAGTTATGTAGTTTTGTATGTAATATTTATATATTTATATGTACATGTGCAGTGGGAGCTGGAGAAGATGACGCGCCTGGAGCAGGTCGGCCGCACGCGCCACTTCCTCGCGCTGCGCGAGCGTCTGCGACACGGACACGAGAATACCGTCGCTCCCAATGACTTCACTAAGACAGAGAAGGTTTGTATTATTCTAGAACAATGATTATCAAACTTATTTCTTTTACCGCCCCCCTTTGAAAATGATTTTTCAGCGCCCCCAATTTTTTATACAATGTTATTGAAAAAAATAAAATACTTTATAAAATAAATGAAATTACAAATTATACATCGCCCTCCTAACCCACATCAACGCCCCCCATTTTTTCAAATTTCAAACCCC